TTTTTTTATTTTTTACCTATAAAACATTTTATCGCTAATTTTCAATCAGACTTTGTCCGCCTTTCGTACGGTCCGCGCATGGACGTTCTCAAGAAGGGCCTCGATGGCATCGAGCGTGTTGTCAATAAGTACGTTACCACCTTGTCCATATCTATATGTTTACAATTATCTATTCCTCTTTTATTGACTTTCCAACACACTGCCATCTTACCCATTTTACTCATCTTATCCACCTTCCCATCTTGCACATCTGCCCACTTCTTTCAACCTTAATATCACCCATCAAGAAATACCCTACTAACATATCCACGCACTCCAGACACCGAGAACAACACGAGATGATGAAGACGGAAATGAGATACTGAAGCGCGAGCTTCTCACTCATATCTTGTTTTTTCTTCTTATTTTCCTTTGAATATATCCAGCCTACTTAGTATCTGTACTTATCTGTACTTATCTCTCTTTCCAACTTTTCATATTTTCTTCCCCCCCTCCCTTAAGCAGCAGCACTGAGATGTACATACTCTTTTTTCCCGACTAAGCGGTGTGCATATGAAATAATTATGTTGTATGTTGTGCTGTACATCTATTATTACCTACAGGCTGTGACTCCATGTTCACGTACTATACGATAGGATTCTTACTCGCGGAGATTTAAATCTAGAAATATTCCAAGGAAGCTTTAACATCTGTAGAGCATCACACGACAATGTGAGCAACTGTCCCAATTAGGGGGAGAATAGTACATGCATACCAGATCATCTTTATCAACGTAATAACTCATTCGGATGACACATGTTAGTTAGACAAACAAAGAAATAAGCTGATTTGATTCAAGTCTAGCATGCACTATTTCAACATCTCAAATACGGTATATATATATGTCACAAGTACAAATACACTACACTGTAGGTACAGTACAGTATATAGAAGAATTAAAAAAGTTACAATTGCACATCATCAACGTAATCGTCACTCAATAGGCTCTTCTTCCAGTAAGAGCTTGAAACTGAACGGCTCAAAGGGAATCTATCATAGGACAGAGAGGTTAGTAACGAACAAGAACAAAGTGCTTCGAATCAAAGACCCAAAATGGAGACACGGTTGGAAAATTTGACATCTCGAGAGGGAGAAAGACGGAGAAAGACGGAGAGAAAATTGGTAGGAAAAAGAAGAGGATAAACTTACGCCATCGCCTATGAAATGTTTACTCATCGCCTCGACCCAGTGGAGACGCAGCGAGTGTAACATGGCACTGGTACCCTCCATGACGCAAAGGATGGCGACGGTGAGGAAGAACCAAAGATAAAAGAGGCAGAAGACGGCAATGACGCCGACAGCGCCAGACATGGAAAAGGCAATACCAATCGTCATGTTCCACAAGACAATGGACAGCTGTTGGTGAGCCAGGGACAAGGCCCAGAGACGAAGGTACGAAGCCGTGTGGGAAACGCAGTTGAGACAGAATTCTTCAACGGCTTGATTAGCAATGTGCTTGCAAATTTAACACGCGAAGAGATGGATTAAAATGAGTCCGATTGGGGAATTGCAGGAAGAAAAAAGACCAAAACAGGAACATACCAATAGTGTGAATGACTTGATGGATCATGACTTCGCCAAACTCAAATTCCTCGTGCTCTTCCTCGCCACCAATATCCTGAGTAATCATGGCAATGCCCTCACTGTCACTGGCAAAGCTGTCACGTCCAGCGCCATTCATGCCCTGGCTAGCATTGTCCTCATCGTCCAGTGCGCTGATACGCGTACTCTCACCAATGCCGCGGTATCCCAGGGCACGAGCGCGGTTGTGCTCCCAGCGTAGGTAAAAGGGCTTGAGGAAGAGTAGGATAGGTACGCAAGCAACTGCAATGAGAAGCAAAGCTATTTGTAGTGGCGCTTGGCCACCAAAGAGTGGCTCCTCGACGGTACCAGGAGAGAGGAACATGTAGATGAGAGTGTTCAGAAGCCCAGGAGGAGATTGACCAATGGCGTACCAGTCAATGGACCACTTGAAGACGATACAGAAGACCAGGTAACCAAAGATGGACTGGAAAAAGACCATGCCAGGCACAAAGTTTCCCCAGATGTCAATGGGCGATTTGAAGTGGCGTGCGTTGATGAAAGAGAAGCATAGAGAGTAGGTCATCTAACAATAAATGGTAAGTCACGCCGCAAGCACAAGTATGGTTCTGCAAACTTGATAATACTCACATGGGCCCAACCCAACAAGATACTAAGCTTCATTTTGTAGCTGTTGCCAAACAGCAGGTCGTTCTCAGTGTCGTGCCACATCCAGTCCAAGCCAAACGGATACCGGTAACCGGACTTGAGATGGGCCTCGACTGACTCTCCCTCTTTGAAATTCTTGGGCCATGCCCACGCACTGTCAAAGAGCGAAAAGGACTTGGAAAAGACATCATTATAGATGAGGCCGGTGTACATGGAGTACAGACCCATCATGAGCATGATGTAACGACCGAAAAACGCCATTGAAACAATCTCGTCAAGCTTTGACTTGCCGAGCTTCTTCTCAAAATAAATCATGGCGGCAGCAGCCAAAAACATGATGAAACCGTGACCAAAGTCACCAAACATGACGGCGAACAGAAATGGGAAAGTGACAATTGTGGGCAGACCAGGGTTCACTTCGGTGTACTTGGCGGTACCGTAGGCGTCAATGATGGTCTGAAAGCCCAAGGTAAACTTGTTGGTCTTGTTGTAGGTTGGCGGAGTCTTGGAAGTCTTGATCTGGTTGACAATAGTCGGTACTGTCAGACCAGCGCGGTCGTTTACATCTTGCAAGGTCGATTTGATGAGCCCCAACGTGCTGGTAGGACACCACGCTTCGGCAATAAGAGTCTTGCGCTGCTGGTCGTACGAGAAGCGGTTCAGCGTCTGATATACTGCCTTCTCCTTTTTCACAATGAGCATCCAGATTGCAAGGCTGCGAGCAATCTGGGTGAGTTCCGCGTCCAGTGTGAGTTTCGTGTTCCGCAAAACACTAGCGAGATCGCTGAGACGGTTGTTGACTTCATGGATCTGATCTCGTCGAAGATCGCTATTCTCATCAACGCTGTACAAGTTGGCACCCATGGATTCTGAAATTTTCCGGATCTTGGCAATGATCTCCTTTCCATGCGCAAAGATGACAAAGACATTCTTGTTCGACTTCTCGTCAGTCTCAGGGTTGGCAATTGGCTCGGGAATCTCCGACTGATTCATATAGAGGTTGCCACGCAGCGTTCTCCAGAGAATTCGCTCAAAAGCGGCAATGCGTTCCCTCGGTATCGTACCGCAGACGAAGCCAATATTCATGACTGAGAAGGAGGTTTCGCCTTGCGCCTCGCCATTCTGCCCTCTGGGAGCGTGCTGCTCCACGTCTTGTAGGAGTGGTGCCTCATCATTGTCCGTTGAGTGACGAATTTCATCCGTATGACCGTGGGCCTTATCAACCTTTAGCAAAGATCATCTCTGGTGACTATCAACGAGATCTCTTACCCGATCAAAGAATCCACCAGTCTCCCTTAACACCCATCGCCATTCGAGCAGCTCAACTTCACGACGCTTCAACGTCTCGTAGCTCTCATTGAGTGATACAATTCGCTGTTCCAAGCTCTGACTCCGCTCGGCGAGCTCATCGATCTCGGCCGCCGTAGGCGCAGCAACGGTATTGGGCAAGTCATCGAGCGGACGAAGAGGAATTCCAGACTTGTCCATTTGTCCATGAAAGTACCCTATGCACCTGTTAGTCGCTCGAGTTTTTCGTCCAACGCCCATCCTTGTCTACACATACGTAGCTGTCTCTCGACGTTATCTAGTCGTCGAATCTCCTGAGTGAACGTGCGCTGAAATGCCGACGCTTCGGCGTTCAACTGTCATTTCAAGTTAGCAATCGCTATATGACTCAAAAAAGAGCGAAAATAAAAGCTAAAATGAGATGATGGGCTCAGGAAATCCCTTAACAATAAAATGTATAGATAGCATCACAGAGTTGCTATCAGGCTTTTTTAATTCACATCTTTGCCTCCCTCGAAACGTGTCAAATGTAAAATGAAAAGAACTTGACAGCTTACATCGCGAAATTGCATGACACCGAGTTCACCCAGAGCACTAACGACCTCCCGACCAATCTCATTGGCAATATAGAGCTGGGTCAGGGACATCTCCGCCGAGCGGAACAGGCTGTCTTTACTCGCAGTCATGTTGGCGGTAGATACTGTCCAGCTGATCCTGAAAAGCTGCTAGCCAATAGTTGATCTTGTTTCGTTCTAGATGTAGGTCTTCCTGCCTCGACGCCAGCTGGGAGCCTAGCTATCACTCCCAAGCAATTGTTCAATTCCTCGTCTCTTTCGTTGATAATCGCGCGTAACCCAGCTGTGACCTTCACCACCCTTCAGCTTTATTCTGGAGAAGGGAGAGGAAGAACCCAGACACGGGCTGGTGGCAGCTGATAAAGCTGTTAATGGTGGCCCTGACAAGCAGGAAGAGATGTGGGAAGGTTGGCGATGATGATGTTGCTCAGAGAGTACCTGTAGTGTCAGTTCGTTAGCATCGCTTCATTGCGCCCCACCGATCCAATCAGATTGGGCCGGCGTGTGTCTGATAATGACTAAGCAGAACTGCTCCTCGAGCCTTTGCCTGAGACGCGAAGATAAATAACTTCCACCTCAACCTTTTCTTTTCACGTTCCTATTCTTTTCTTCATACCCTACTCTCCGATGGACACTCCCTTGATATGATTTAAAGGGCAAGATTCAATCAATCTTGGCCTAATAGAATCACTTTCGAATTAATGAAATTGTTTTCTTATTTACCCTCATCTACGAGAATCGAGTCCACGAACTTGACTCTCGTGAGCTGATTTTAGATGATACACAAAGCATATCCAGGCTTTTAATCTCACATATACTCAATGCATATTGTGACTCGTATATATTTTCATATAACGGAACCAAATTGTCACGCATGGACGAAGCTTATATTTTCCACTTCGTACCAGGCCCTCTAGACCGTTCCAAGAGAAAAGTTTCATCCGTGATAGCAACAAGGTCTGCAGGTACGTCACTCTGCACGACCATTGCATAACGGAAATATACAAATTATATGTACATGTATGAGTTGAATATGAGCCTTTTTCCTTTTGTGCAAAGGAACAACAAACTTAAAGATGCCATAATGCTTTTCCAGATGAGTCGCCATTTTGAATATGGGTTATCCAAAAACAATCAATGACCTAAACGCCACAAACCCAAGTCCTGGCGCACATACACAGAAAGAACCAAGTCCTATTTTTTAAACATGTAATGTCCATAGAGACCACCGACTTCGCTCCAAGCCACGGGGACTTTGCGCATCCCCCACCATTGCGCACCCATCTTCCATGGCCGTCGCCCATTGTCAGGGCTGGCCCCATCGATTCCCGGCTTCCGTTTTCGAACGTACCAGCCTCGACGCCCGAGTTCTCGCACTGCCCAACCAAGGCGCTCATTGGTCGAAGGGCGCTCCTGAAGTGTGTTTATCATCTTCTCTCCAAACTCAATCACTTCCAAAGGTTGCGTTGTCGGGAGCAGCAGAACAGACGAATGGGTGAAGAGGGTCCCAAGAGTGATCGATGCGACTCCAGTGAGGTCGAGGTAGCGAAGACTCGATGGCTGCCATTCCTCCTTCGCGACCGTGATCCCGTCCGGTTGTTCTGACGGAGGGATGAAGAGTGAGTTTACTTCCTTGACGCTAAGGTCTGCGTACCCTAAGCTCAGCTCTTCGAGGTGCTTGGTTAGAGGAAGTAGCAGAGAAACATGTTCGCCGATAATCTTTGCACCGCTCAAATTCAATGACCGCAGTGAGGTCGGGAGCTTTGGCAACAATCCTTCGACGTCTTCTTGGTTGAGCAGCCGATATCGAGAAATGTCGCAAAAAAGGTTCAAGTAAACAAGGCTTTCGTTGACAGCGGGATGTGTCGTCAGAAAGCTGACTACTCCTCCTCCCGTCAGATGTGTGCACTTGCTAAGATTTAGATGCGTCAGATTCGCGGTATGCGGAAGGTAATGTAAGGCACGGTTCGTGACTTGGGTATGAGCCAGATCGAGATGCGTCAGGCGGGGAAGGCGGGAGAGGAGATGCTCCAGCGTTGTATCGGATATGGTGCTACATTCGTGCAAGCAGAGGCGCTTCAACACAAGATTATACGGTAGATGCGGGTTGTCGGGGCTGAGGACCGCATCAATGGAAGAACGGAATGCCACCGAAGAACATCCTGAGAGATCAACCGCTTGAAGATGCGGCAACTCACAGAATATTTTCCACAGCACTTTCTCGTCTAAATCATCTTCAATGTGTTCTTGTGCAAGAAATTCTCGAAGTTGTGGCATGAGATCAAGGCACTTTCGTAACGTGGTGCCCGTGAGATTCTGGATCTCTGCATTCATTCGCCGGGTGCGTCCTAGTCCAACTGAAGTGAAGTGAGAAAGATCAAGCCGTCGGACTACCGTGCCCAGAGCAGGATACTGCGAGAGCTGCGACAAGAATTTCGAGAAGACTGGTGACTGTGGTATGGTGATTTGCCGGTAAAGGATTGAGATTGTAGTCGCATGTAGCGTTCGTGAGGTGAGAAGGCATGACATGAGATCCATATTTCGAGGTGCATATCCATTAGGCGGGAGATCGACTACTAAATAAGATATAATAAGGTCTGTATATCATGATTAGTGCTGCTCACGTGTATACTTTGGCATAGCATCAAGAGCAATTTCGCCAGGGTATTCCACAAACGAGCCATGGCTGTTCCAGGTATTGTTTTGAAAAAGAAAATTGAACACTTACCGAGGATTTCTGTGGGCAATCTTTCCAAAAATGATTGACCTGAGTGAGTTGTCAGGGACGGCTCTTCAGATGGCCTTGGAGCAGGAGTTTTCTCTTCCTCCCACCCCCAATCATACCATCCATCACCGCCGAAGGCGCGCAAATCACTATAGCTCTTGCTCAGTTTCCTCCCTCCGAGTCTAATCTGTTTCCAGCCCCTGAAGCTGCCGCAAGGGCAACAAAACTCTGGGCCATGGGGAACTTGAACGGGCATCACGGCAGGAGAGTCAATTGGGGAATTGGATGCGATCGCGTCCCTGGGAATAGTAGAGCTCTTCAAACTTCTGGAATCTAAGAAGGCCTGAGGTCCACCTAGAGCATGTTAGTGTATTTTTGTCGGAAAGATCTTGTATGGAGGTAGAATTGGGCGCGCTGTGAGAGCAGTGAAACCTTCCACGTACCGACTAAGTCTTCCTTGACGGACGAAAAAGAGCCTCTATCGGACCTGCTAGAGGCTCTGGAATGTTCACTTATAATCAATCGACTGGGAGAATTTCGACGAGCAGAGGTTCCAAATCCTATATTATGTAGCGCTCCAGGGGCAGGTATGATTGACGGGACGTCGTGATGAGCTCCGCCTTGATGCGGTAAGAAGCCATTCGTCGTCCCCTGGTCGGTGGATTCTTTATAGTCAGACATGGTGGGGCGAGTCCTACAACAGACAAAGAGGTTGCAATGACAGTCCGGATTCCTTGGTCAGCGGCCCTTTCCCTTAGTTTCCGATGCGTGATCTGGTCTGATGGTGGTTGGGCTCTTTTCCAAGTGCCTTCGGTCTTGCAGTAATAGGTCACATCGGATAAACAGGCAAGGAGCCCCGCACCCAAAACGAAAGGAATTGTCTAGCGGTGCATTGAAATTACGAGGTGATTATTCCCAGTGAGGAACCCAGATGCTGGTCATTGAATAATGGAAATACAGACATGTTCCCGGGTTTCCCATTTGTGGATTGCGGGGAAGGACGAGCAATTCCGTTGGAGCAACCCATAATGACGCAATCTCTCGAAGCTCCAAAGAAATGCTCTCTACACACCCTTACATTAATGGCATCAACAAGCTATCCTGTCAAAAAAAGGAGAAGTTACGATGATGTTCTTTGTTTCTGGTCAAGTTCCCACTGATGTCCACCGTTGCAGTGCAGAAGAGGCTGACCCGATTCATCCAGGAACAGACCGCAAGGACCTTGTCGCTGCATGACTCGACAACATTCTGGTCGATCATTCGAGCGGCCAAGCCATCGTGTGGAGAAGCGAGTGGGCGGAAAGCCAATTCTCTGACACATCGCGCAAAGCCAGAGTTAGCGCACGTGGACCGCTGCTTGCGTCCGACTTGAGCGAGGGTGGTAGCTCCCTCTTTTCCTTTCTCCGAGGACCGAGACTGTTCTCTAGCAAATTAGTGACTGAGATGGAGGACCTGGATGCCCTGGGACAGCCCAAAAACTAGCCTGGGGTAGGCAAAGGCGCGGCTAGAGAAGGATGTGGTCCGCCAAACTTTGCAGAGGAATGTCCTAGGGGGCGTTTTCCTGTACCACGAGGGCCACCTACCACCGCAGACTTAAACGCATGACATTTGGCACACGCCTTGACCGCCTGGATGGACCTTCCTCGCAAAAGGGCCAATTCTGTCCGGAAATTGTGGGGAAGAATCCGAACCGCTAGAATCAACCGGGGATGTTGTTGTGGTGGTTAATAGCCGCTCTATTGTAGCTGCCGGGGGTGCTGTCAAAATCATTTTGGGCACCGCATGCAAAGGGGCTAAGGGAGAAGGTTTCCCTTAGAAGCTTGAAAGACCTTCCACACGCATTAGCAAAGCATGGAGCATCGTTAAGACTTTGTCTTTCGTTGACCCTGGTCAAAGTCATATTTCGCCATTGCCACAAGCAAGCAGGTGATGGATGGGTATTTGCTGCTAAGCACCCGCTGGTCTATCGCCGCTGAGTGTTGAAAATGGGTTTCATATATATCATTTATAACAGCAACAAAATGAATACATCTACACTCAGCATGATACCATCTTTCCTCAGTGTGATTGGGAAAAGCTTCCTTTTATGCTTCGATGCAGGTCGCCCTTCAACATACTATCCCTGCAACGGACCCAGAGGCTGCGCTGTGATTGGCATGTAGGGGTTCGCCATGAAGTTCACCAGGTGCGGTTACTTATCGGCCGTCGCGTTACGCCTTACCCCGGCAGATCATCTACCTCGGTTTCCTTGCCATGTAATAGACTCCAATCTCGCCATTACTCATACGAGCAATTTAACTCTTTCTCCTCTTTATTGAGAGAGAAAGGGGCCCAACTTGACGTCCTCGTACAGTGTCAAACACAAAATAGCCCAAGGCATTCAATGCGGCGCAGGTAAAAGCGAAAGCGCTTATGGTCACGCATCCCTGGCGGAGTCCGAGTCAAGAGGAGCTGCTACCGTCTGGGTCGGCGGGGATAGCAATGCATGAGTACGCAGAAGACAGCCAGGTCGCAAAGGATAGATCACGAATCGAAGAGCAGCCTTCCGATGGCGTCGAGGCAGGGGCATCGCACGCCACCATTAATGACTATGGCGAAGGCACATCGTCGGGACAAGTAACCGATAGCTCGGACACACCATTGATGCCAGCATATCGAGTGTACAGACGACGCTGGTTTGGGTTGGCGCAGCTAGTTCTGCTGAATATCATTGTGAGCTGGAATGTGAGTGACAGCTTCATGTTTGGTTTTGTTATGTCGTGTTGTTTTTTGTATGCAAGTTTCGAATTAGACCAAGGAGACCAATTTTATCAACTAACATTGAACAACTCGGTGATAAAAATATCAGTGGCTTACCTTTTCTCCCGTCTCAACTACATCCGCCCAATTTTTTGGTGTCTCTGAAAGCGCAATAAATTGGCTTAGCACAGCATTTTTATTTGCCTTTTGCGTTGTCAGTCCGTAAGTGGTCATACTGTCATTGCCCTCCTCCTTGTCGCCTCACCACTTTCCTGTGCCCCATACAAACAGATTCCAATATATCATCTCATGACTACCATTTTTACACTACATGCAATGTAACCCAAAGCTAACGGAGGCCACTGGGAAAATTGTAACAGAGTAGTAATATGGACCCTCAACAAAGGCGGCCCGAAACCTGCAATTGTCACATCAAGCATCTTTGTGCTGGCAGGCAATTGGATTCGATATGGCGGAACTCGCGCATCGCCACCTCGATTCGGCGTCGTCATGTTTGGTCAGGTTCTTATCGGACTTGCGCAACCGTTTGTGCTTGCGGCTCCGACGAGATACAGTGATCTGTGGTTTACGGACCGAGGCCGTATTTCTGCGACAGCAATAGCATCTTTAGCCAATCCGTTTGGCGGCGCTGTACGTTTCTGCACCGTCGTGTTCACCGAAGAGAGAAGTCTAATCATTGACAAACTTCTAGCTTGGCCAATTGGTTGACCCATTTCTCGCAACTAAGCCGAGCGACATGCCCAACATGGTTCTCATAGTTGCCATTATCGTATGTCTATCTAGCTAGTGTCATACTATATCTGCAGCCATCAAAATGATACTCGCTCTGGCTACATGGCTACATTGCTAACGAACATTTCCAAAAGGCATCTGTTGCTTCTCTCCCCAGCTTCGTCATTCCAGGCCGACCTCCTACGCCACCAAGCGCATCGGCTGCGCAGACAAAAATGCCATTAAGGCAAGCTATACGCACAGTCGTCAAGGCTATTGACTTTTGGCTGCTCTTTATTCCCGTAAGTCCCCTCACCCCATATTGCAAATCCCATGTCATTACACTATCCACTAATATCCCACTTGCAGTTCAGCATCTACGTGGGTCTCTTCAACAGCATATCCTCTCTCCTCAATCAAATCCTCTCGCCCTACGGGTTCAGCGAAACCGAAGCGGGGATCTGCGGCGCGCTCTTGATTATTGTCGGACTGGTCGCATCCGCTGTTACTTCTCCCTTGATCGACAAGTACAAGTTCTTCCTTGCAGCTATTAAGCTCCTGGTTCCCATTATTGCGATCTGTTACCTCGTGTTTATATTTGCGCCGCCCACGCGCACTGTTGCCGCGCCGTATGTCATTGCATCGATCCTTGGAGCTTCTTGTTTCAGTCTAGTTCCCGTGGCACTGGAATGGTTGGTCGAGATATCGCATCCCGTGAGTCCGGAGTTTTCGAGCACAGTGTGCTGGACTGGCGGACAGTTATTGGGCGCTTGTTTCATTCTGATTGAGGATGCGTTGAGAGATGGGTCAACTCCTCAAACCCCTGGAAAGGGGAGGGAATGGTGGCCGCAGGGAAATCTGCAGCGCGCGCTAATCTTCCAGGCTGTCATCGCCGCTGTAGGTGTGCCTTTGGCGTTGTGTATTGGACTATGGGGGGAAGAAAATAGCGGTGGGTTCTGGGGAATGTTTAAAGGAAAGAGTGTAGGCAAGCGTTTGGCTGTGGATTTACATAGAGATTCAACTAGTGGGATTGTGAGGAGGAGCAGTGCATCGGAAGAGGAACAGGTGAATGTCTAGGGAATGGGAGGATGATAGGCATAAAGTCTGGTGGGATCGTGACGGACACGGTTTTGGATGTGTTATGGTTCCGCAATGACACCTACTTTTATCAGTTATCTATTAGTATCATGAAATTGGAAGCCGTTGATTTTCCGCAATGTTTGGGCAACACCCCATTCGATCCTCTTCCGGCTTGGAATCGAATCTATATCAATTTTATGGTAGCAGTACATAGTCATACGTAGGTTGACCAAGGCCAGGCAAGATGGCATGAGTTATGCCACACAGATGAATAATTGACAAAAATTGAAACAAATTTGAGGCTCATATACAGTGGTTTTAGGGATACAGATACAAGAGACAAGGTGCACATCGCACCTATCTTCCATCTAAGTCTATCCACCCCTATCACTTTCTCACACGGCACGAAAAACTTACAAATCCATGCCCCGCCAGAACGATCCAATCGCTATGCTCCTATGCCGTTTCTTTCCTTCTGCCGCTCACCACGCTCATCCTTTTCACTTCTTATCTCGCCAGTCGACCAATCAGCCAATCATGTAAATACGTGGGAATCGGATTGTTTCATGGTCAGACTAGAATCCGCCGAGGAAAATGGAGAAACGTAGTAATCGTTTACTTGAGGTTGGCCCACAGCTTGGGGGCGGCGCAGGCAGTGGCGCAGTGGGCGAGGTGGAAGACTAAACAATAAAACGTCAGCTTATTCATTCGATCTCGCCCGCCATTCTGCAGTGATGTATGTGGTGCGGGAGATGATTTATCATGAGGTTGGCATGAATTGAAGGTTTTGTTCAAAGCAGTACTTACACTCCTCAACGCAGTCCTCCTTGGGAGCCTTGTTGTCGGCGTCATCAGCGGCAGCGGTGACACGCTCAACGCACTCGTCGTAGTGGTGCTTAGCGGGAGCGCACTGCTTGGAGTTGGCGCAGTCTGTCGAGACACGTTCTGTTAGCCAGTGGCTCGCGTAATTGATGATATTGAAAATGATGGAACGTTGTCTTTGATGTATTTTGACATTGGGTATGACGAAATCGATGGAACGCGGCTTAGTGAGATGAGACACTCCGTGACAATGTCGACTAGACAATTGAATGTATGCAATTGATCCGCATCGATATCTTTGAGGAGGGGCATCCAAGGCCTTAAGCCGCTGCTTGATTCCGGTCGAGTAATCGGAGAATTGGAATTGGTGCGGACAGAAAGGACGGTTCCGAGGACTCAATTACGAGGGACAGATCAAAACTCACCCTCCTGAAGCTTGGGCTGAATGTCCTCAGGCTCTTCCTCCTCCTCTTCCTCCTCGGGCTCAGGCTCCTCAGCCTCGGGCTCCTCGGCCTTCTCCTCGGCCTGAGGCTCCTCCTTGGGCTCTTCAGCGGGAGCCTCGGCGTAAGCCTCAGTGAAGGTCAGGGAAGCGTAAATGTCCGAGAACAAATCGGTGAGCCCCATCGTGAATAGCGATTGAATGGCCAATTGATGAGGTTGCGCGGATTGTTTTCGGGGGGGAAGAGGTTGGATCGAGGAGATTGTCGAAAGGACGTTCGATAGAGACTGCGACGACAAGCGAGAGAGATTCAATGTCGAAGAGCCTGAGTTGGTTAGGGAGCCCGTAGCTCAGTTGGATTACGTGAATTATGATTGGCCAGTGATATAGATCACGTGAGCGGATTGATTGCCGGCATTTTACGGGGCTTCATGCAAACCTATTATGCGAAATGGTCATACTACGGCACGAACTCCAACCATCGATGCAACTATGCGATGCACAAACAGATAACTCCAGGCTCAAAGTGATGATCATGAAATAAGAAATACGGAGTAGTTGAGCCCCGCCTTCTTGAATAGAGATTCGAGCTATGAGAACAGCATATCTGTGTACGGATGTATAATTCCCAGTTCTAACCCCAGAACTCCGCTCCTTGAGCCGATCTCAATGCTTCGACAGAACCATGTAAACTCCCGGTAATGCAAACCAAAACTCCTGGCCTGAAATACAGATTGGTATCATGTAGGAACCATATAGGTCTTCAATCCCATCAGCTCACTGCGACGCTCGAAGACGTCTCTCAAGCTCGTCCGCCACGCTCTCCCTCTGTACTTCTTCATAGCCGGGCGGTGGCTCCGTTGGTGGTGAGAAATGATCGGTCTCGGACGGGCAAGAGTTGTCGGCTTCTTGGCATGCTCCTTCACTAGCACTATGCAGAGATGTCGGGGGTTGCTGTCCAGGTGCATACGCAGGAAGTTCATCGAGGTGGACAGCTGCCAAACTGACACCGGCCAAAGGCCCACCACCGCGCCCGGCTTGTTGCGCCGATCCATCCCCAGCCATGGCGCCGCTCTCCCGTGCCACCTCAACGGCCTGTTCGAGACGCTCCTTGATTCGCTCAAATTGTGAGTGAAAGTCAAACGCGCCACCATCCTTAAATACCATTCGAATCTCGACCACTGCATGTTGAGGGGGGATTCCTCCACCAGGGACAGGTTGGAGTATACCAGTCCAAACGTTGGGACCGAAAAATGGCGCCGATACGTGGGTATCATGGAGATTCAGAATCGGGGCAGAGAAGGATTGCAGTTGTGGCGTTGGACCCGCAGGAAGATAAACTATCTTAATCAAAGTGAGCTAGGTGTTAAGACAAACCCCGATGTGTCAAAAACGTACTCGTTGGTTCGTCAAATGAACACAGCCCGCACTGCTATGTATAGAGAGTGGCTCCTTTCCCGGATATTTATTCGGTGTCTGAAGCGCCAGAGTTGTTCGCGGAGGCGATGTGTAGACGATGCGCTCACCGGGAAGAGGCACGAAGCCTTGAGTCTCGGAGAGCATAACCCAACTATTATAGCGCGCACGCATCCGTTTTAGCATGGTCATCTTCATCGATCAAATTGTGAAAATATAATGAAAAGATTCAAGAGCAAGGCGGAGTAGAAGCAAATCGCATAGGGTAGCTAAACTGATCTTGAACGGAGAGAGCACCGGCTGCTTACTTTATGGACATCGTGGCGGTCGAGTCCCGCAAAAGACCCCTTGCAAATCTTTCCAGTGACCTTCCAAGGTGATCCGGTTTTCAGAAAATGAGCCTCAAGTAGCGTCAAGCCCGGGCAGATCGAGTCTGTACGAGTGGTCAGGGTTCAGCTGCCTAGCGGCCTGTGCCCTCTCGATCTCCCGTTCCGACCTGCAGAAATTTCCCGTCCCGGAAAAAGCTAGTTATAAAATGATGCTGAAAAGGCAATAAGTTTGATAGATTCGTCACAAAGGAGCCCGGGAGAAGAGTGGTTGGTGAAACTTTATCTGGAGATAGCGGCGGTAACGGCGGCTCAAAGGTGGGGAGTATTTATCGATTCGCTTACGACAGCGAAGTCAGTTGGAGTTGACGATGGTTATTGCCTCGTTTTGGTGGGGTAACTTTGAGCTCGCCTGAGAGGACGTGCCAGGTGGCTTTAGCTTGCATGGGAACTGTCACTGCTCGGCGAACCTTTCACTGCTTGTTGGATCGAAATAAAAAGCTTACGGAGTACAGGTGAATGTTCAAGACGTACGTTGCTAAGTTCTGAAGGCGTTGAGCTGCTTCATCAATCAAAGCAATGAGAAGCTGAATTTGTGGCTGACACTAGTCAAAGCATCCAGTGTGGCATCTCTCAATCTTCCCAGCAAATGCGCCTTGTCAGCTACCCAGATATTAAACACCAATTCACAAAATGTGATATACAGATGGCGAATGAACACCTGAGCCACTTCCACCTACTTTGCCCAAAAGCGTTCTTTAGCACGGATTTTATGGTTCCTTTTTCAATTTTGTGACAATGTTCTGCCGAGACGCTCAAAGTGACGGCTATATACCTTTTCAAGAATATGTGGATGAGATTACTCCCCGTCAAATGAAAGGCAATTAGCTCCCGAAATGTCACGGAAACGGGATTTAAAGTTGAGGCTCTTGCGACTACAACGCACTCTCAACCATGTTCGCCTTAATTGACCACGTCGGTTACCCACCTCTGATGACGGCTGAGCCGCTGGGCAGAACGTGCCCAGTTCGGTTAAGTTTTCCGGGGCATGCCCCTCTCTTCCTGACTCATGTTAGTTAACGTTGCGACTAAAGTTATGTGGAGTTGATAGGAAGCGCGATCCGGTTGATACCCGGGCCGGAACATTGATAGGCTGTGGGGTAGAAGGCACATTTAAACCCATCAAAAAGATGAAATTAAGTGATCAAGAATAGAGCATCATCAATATGGGGTCTGTGGAGCAATTATTGTTCAACCATAACAATACTATAGTCTCTGTGGCAAGCGCCATAACGGCAGTGGTACTGCTATTAACATGGCATCGACGCCGCAGCCAACAGCAGCAATTGCAGGTAAGAAGGGTGCTGGATACATTAAATATCATTTGCCAATCAATGTCTCAGAATATATCTGTTTTTCTTTCAATTCTCCCCCCACTTTTTCTAAACATATCTGCTTTAACGGCAAATCTAAAATTGTTCATTTTAAATTGGCTGGTCTAATTGTTCCAAAGCTGATAAAACAACATTTTTCTAGCAACAAAATGCATCCATATCCGGGGCACAGGAAAAGCCCAAAACATTTCCAAAAATTGAACCGCATCCAGAATTTGACTGGCAGGCCACACCGCCAGTCAAATTCCGTCCGTTTAAGCCAAAATACCATCTCAGCATGTGTACGTTGTTCCACCACCTCTCCGCCAAAGCCTATTATCTATTCTCCTTAGCTTCTTAACCCTAACGTTTTCTCACCCAGCAATATCCCGTCTAAACCCCTCCGAGCTGGTCCAAATGGACTCGACATATCTCTCAAGGCTAGAATTTCGACGATCCGTCATGGCCGCTTCATCCTCTGCACCGCACGTGCTAGGTGTTGTCGAGGATCCAAGCATGAGCGCCGGTGCTAAACTCGCTGTCCAAGAACTATACACTTGGATCTTCAAAGACTATCTCCCCACACGTTTCCCCTTTATTTATAAACTCATCGACAAGTCTTCGAAAGACGAAAAGCCCACTGTACCGTCTCAAGGAGGAAGTGGCTCAAGTTTATACACACTGAATCAAGCCACAAACGACCTCGTCCCTGTGACTCCGCCAGAAGATACAAAGGAAGCACTACAAATCCTCGGAGCACACGTCGACCAAGACTTTCTGTTCCTGCTCCCGGCTCCCGACGGCGACGGATACGCCCTTTATGCGTTCGTCACGTGTTGTCCGAATGGATTCGACTCTGCTGAAAAACTGGGCAAGAAGCTCCGCGACATTCACACTCCGGTGCCGGGATACAAGGAGAAATTGGAAAAGAGCATGGATCGGTTTTTCGCAAAGATTGAAGTCGGAGAGTATGTGCAGCGGGTTAATGTACGTTTTCTTGTCTCGTCCTTCTCCTTGTCCAATATTCCACTCTCCTTGTCATCTTAATCAACACATATTCCACTATCCTGCGCCCTACTTTCCTTCCAAACTTGATCGTCTCTAACTAAGCACATCCCACTGCAGTGGTCATTCACAACGACCGACAAACTCTACACGCCGGGCGGGAACCACCTATACGAAGGCGAAGAGGTATCCGACGCCGAAAAGGACGCGATTGACATTTCCAAGGTGCATCTGCGATGCGAGCGCCAAGTGCTACATCGGCTGCCCAGTTCGCGGGCCGTCGTTTTCTCTTTCAAGACGTACATGTACTCCCTCCCCGAACTCAAAGCCGAGGGACCTAGCGCGGCTCAGGAAATTGCAGATGGCATTGACGGCTTGAAGCTGGGCAATGTGCCGGATATGCATTTCTATAAACGTGCCGTTGTGTGGGGAGATGCCGTCAAGGCGTATTTGCTTTCTTGATTCACGTTATTTCTCTATCCAACTGATTATATATATTTATATTTATCTGCCTGTCCTGATCTGTATATATACTCGTTGTATGTATGCGTGTCGTCGGAGAAAGGAAAAAGAAACGGAAGAACAGTACGTGGGAAGGTGTATTGAATGAGAACCCGCAACAATGGTATATAATAAATAGATATATGAGAGAACTGCAAAAAATAAGGTCAATATATATAAAGAAAAGAAAAGGAAAATAAGTAAAGATAATAAGCCCCCTGAATAACAACAAGAAGGTAAGTAGCTACGCGCTACTGACAATGATCCGGATTGCCGTTGGGATTTCCCCACCAGGTCGGGAAGGGATGTTCTTTGCCCGAGGCGCCAAAGACCGCAAAGGAGAGAATGAAAATGACAATCTGGGAGCCACCATCCAGGGCGGCACCAATGAGGTAATTATATTTGTTATAGATGCGGGGGATGCGGCGTCGGAGCCAGAACTGAGAAAAGACGCCGACGGCAATGGAGGACCAGATCCAGGACGTGTTTCCGTAATACTGCAAGCCGGCATAGGAGATGATGATTGTGGTATTGAGAGGCCACTTCTGGATTCGTGGAAATAGCTTGATCAGACCCCAGTGGAACACGGGCAGGGCCAGACCGATCAGGAGACCGAGGGGCACGATGAGGTAGCGGCCATTGATGCCGTAGACGTCCTTTGCCAGGGCCCAGGTGACGGCCTGGGAATTGAGGCTCTGCATGATGGAGCCGCTCCAGACGCTGTTGCCCTTGGGGTCGAGCAGGATCTCGCGCTGGTTGGTCACGACGGTGGTCATGATGGCGTAGTTGAGGCCGGCGCCCAGGAGGGTGCCGTAGATCTGGGTGCCGAACATGACGCGGTGGGGCACTTTGGTGTACTGGCCGACTTTGAGCCAGTTGGCGAGATTGACCGAGAGCAAGATGACCTGGTGCGACCAGCTGGCAAAGTAGAGATTGGCAAGGGGGCGGCCGGGGTGGATGGCGCCTCCGACCATTTTGGAGAGCTGGTTGGTGGCGACGCCGTTGCCGTAGAGGCCGTACAGGACGCACGAAAAGGGGGCGATGAAGGCGCCGAGAAGGAGAGCGATGATGTAGCCCCAGGCCGGCAGGGTGGTTTCGCCTTTGATGTTGACAATCAGGCCGGCGAAAAAGGCCAGGACAAAGAGCGCAAAGTACCACCACATGGGCACTTCCTTGTACTTGAGCATGGCCTGGTAGTGCGGGTCTGGCTGGGTTCTGGCGCGTGCCTGCTTCCAGGCAACATACATGTCTTTACCGAAGAAGATGAGGACGTGTGTGATCAGGGCGCCAATGGCCAGGTTCTGGGTGAAGTAACCCCAAACGGTGCTGGAAGTGAGATACGGCAGACCCACTTCCTTGAATTTGGCGTAGTCGATTAGGCCATTGCTGTTCAAAATCGATGTCACGGAGAACCGGCTGCCGTCGCTCTTGAAGAGAGAAGTGGACATGAAGGGGAAGTTTTGCGCGTTCCAGGCGTTTCCGTAGTAGAGTCCAAGCATGGCAACATACCATATCACGTAGCCAATCCAGCTGTTTAGCTGTTGCTTGAACGGCAACGAAAGGTATGTGCTCTGGATATATTGCCAGTCCAAGCCGAAATTCAACAGGCCCAAGCCTTCGTTGGACGAAGCTCCTCCAAAGACGGAAGAAAAGACGGATCCAATGTGTGCAGGGGCATGCATAGAGGCCAGGCAGAAAATAGAGATGCCGCTAAACCAAGTCATAATGTACGCAGGAAATATCTCCCACAGAGCAGAAAGACCAAGAGCCCAGCCAAATTTGATGAGACGGCGCCTGTTGGCATGCTTGTCAAAGTGGAGATTCTGGAAGAGCACCACTTGAGGCAACGTGGACCAGTACACCATTTCTGCAGGATAAACAATCAGCGCGCGCAGCACGCCTGCCAGGACGAATCCACAGAGAGAAATCGAAAAAGTACCCAGAACCGCAGTGGTCGCAGATACACTTCTGTTGTAGAACAGCCTTTCGACAGCATACACCTCGACTCCAGAGAGACCGTTGTTCCCGGACGAGGCGATCAAGGCGGCAACCACATGTTCTTTGATGCCGAAGGGCTGTCCAAAATTGAGAAAGCGAAGCGTATTCTGCAGCCATTTGCCCCTGAATCTCTCCGGCTTGGGGGTAAGAAGAGCCCACGCTTGGCCGACAACGTAGACGAGAACTAGAAAAAGTGTGAGTATGCCGGTGCAAAAAAAAAAAAAAAAAAAAAGGCCCCAATTAGGACAACAAACTTACGTTGCAGAAAGATACCAGACACCGTCATCTCAGTAGGCTTGAAGGTATAAAGAATGGTAATCGCACTGGACAGAGCAGTGAACGCCGTGCCCAGAACGATCGAACGAAAAGTGAGAGCAGGATCTCCATCATCTCGCAGAGATACAATGTATTTTGATACATCGAAACCTAATCAGGAGCATTAGCTGCAATAAAACATGATTCGCATGTTTCCAGAGGTTTACCATTCTGAATGACGGGGTGCCCGTTGACATATTCGGCATCCTCATCACGTGGGGATCCTAAGGAATCCTCATCGCTGTCTGTGCCATGGATTTCACGTGGCAGATCCTTTGCCTGTTTATCACTGGCAATTTCGTATGGCTGTTCCGTGACATGGTCTCCGTCCTTGGGTTTAGACACTTCCAAGACACCTCCCGCCGCACTGATTGGTGCTTCGGCATGTTCGGGCATTTTCTTGAATGGTGAGGATTCAAGTGCTGACGACGCTCAAGACATTAAAGCTAGGGATCGACAGATGGGTCCAGGGGAAAAACAGATAGAATTTATACAAGTTACATGTACTGTAGAAAGAGACATATAAAACATGAAGAAAAAAGCAATGTTGCAATATCATATATGTATTGCCCAACACGAAAATTTTCAAAGCATGCAATGCATCGATCCATAACACGGACAAGAGGAGTCGGGAAAAAAGAGGGTCTGGCCTTGGTCCCGTTCTATTGAACATGATGTGATCGTTGATATTGATGGTGAAATGGGGCCCCGCTGTCCGTCACCTATTCTTTGTTAGGAAGGAGATAAGACATGGTGATGGGAGGGGCATAGCTGTTCAATTAAGGTAGGGTCTAAATCGTCCTTATGCTGTTAGCACGTCACGTATGTGTACTTTAGACCGAGTAGTGGTTCAAAAGTAGTCGTTCTCCGCTTGCAGTGGAGAGAGAAATTTGTACGGATCATGATGACTACTGTACAAATCTCATTAGATCTTGTTTTATGCACCAATCGGCAATATTTCGGGTTGCATTGACAGAGCCGAAATTGTTCAAATAAAATTTAGCATCTCCTCATGAATGAGACTAAGTCAGCCACCCGCTCGATGGTGCACCTGTCATGTTACAGAATTGCCGCAGACGCGGGATGATTTTTACCGCAAAAAGAGATTGGCGCTCTTACCGTCGGACTTGCCCCATATGGAAGTTTCTGTTTTGCCTCCCCATGAATGAGGCCATTACAGAAGCACTCCATCAATCCCTCTCATGAGTGCTTGTCGAACACATATATTAGCCTATCAAGCTCATTCTTATCATCGCCCGCCTTAATTTTCTCCATTGGGTTCATTGCAGGGAGTTTCTCCGCGACACCTCCCCTTCAACGCAACCTATTAAATGCCTCGGTTTAACACCCCACCACCAGCACCCTCAGACATCTCAACAATAAAAAGCTTGCATACAGTACTGCCCTGGAGGGTAGAGCACGCTATCACGCTAATCCAAAGCTAATAAATGGGTAACACATGAGATGTACATCGTCCAGAGACAAGCATTTCCATTGTGACTAGTGCAATTTTACTCGGTACAGTCGAGAAGCTTCATCTGTTTCCAAATCTTTGTCCAGAAGATCACCTCTTTTTTATTCAATCAGGTCCAATATTCTATAGAAGTGATGACGGCATGAACTCGTTGTTTCTAGTAATCTTGTTTGTTCATAAAGTTTCCCGATTGCTATTCGTAGATTGAACATGTAACCCTTCATCCAATACAGGGCTCAGCAATCTAAATGCATTGATGACCTCCCACCTGGATATAATGCAAGGCTGAAAGATCTGTATCAAAAAAATCCGTCGACCAAAAAAAATTGTCGCGAGTGAACAGACAGGGTATCATATCTATGAGAAAAAACGCCATCATCCACCCATCCCTGACATGCCAAACCAATCATGAGCTCTTCAAATGTTCGAGACCTGCTCGAATATGCAACATGGGAAAAAGACAACGCCGTATACGAGTGACCACGTTCCACATGTGATGCAACCCCATTCCAACAAAAAAAAAACGCCACAATCATATGTTCACAGGAGCCGGCAGCCAATGATTATTTCAAAGGACATACCTTCTCCCCCCGAGTCCCAATAAGAGGGCTTGACCGGTATCCTGCACCGGTCCACCGGTCCACCGTCGCCGCAGCAGCCGGGGACGATCACTTCTTGGCCGCCTTACGGCCCCGGGCTTTGCATGCCCGGCCTTTGCCTTTCGGCGCAGGCGCAGGCTCGGGCAAGGGTTGCTTGCCACCCAGAGCCGCGAGGCGGCTAGAACTTCTCGTCACCCGGCGCTTTGGCTCGGGTGCCTCCCCCTCTCCGTCCTCGACCCTGTCGGCACCAGCCTTGCGCTTTTTGGATTCTTCTTCAGCAAGTTAGCATATCATTCAATCATAATAGTAGTGTCGTGGATTCATTCTACTTACTGGCTGGCGCCCGGGTCGAACGCCTCTTGGGCGCATGCTCCTCAGCATCGGCCACGGACTCTTCGGCCGCCGCCTTCCTCTTGCGCGAGGCGGTGGCGGCCCCGATCGTGGCCTTTGCTTTGAGGAGCTTTTGCTCCTGCGGGAGCTCCTCTGTGGGAGCCGCCTCAGACTCCCGATAGCGCGCAAGCTGCTCATCCCAGCTCACGGTCTTCTTCTGTGCCCAAACTCGCTCGGGCAGCGGGGAGTTGACCTTGGCAGACCGAAGTCTGTCAAGAGTCACCCGCGCGGCAGTGGCATCAGCCTTGTTGCGGCGGGTGTTCAGACGCGTAAGCGCCGCCACCCGCCTGGCTGCCTCACCCGAGGCGCTGAGCACAGGAAGAATGACCGCGGCTGGCTGAGCCAGCTCACGATTACGGCCGCTGCGGCGGAGCACCTTTGGAGGAGTCCCCGGAACAACTTCTCCCTCGCCCTCCAGCGCAGTCCTCACGGGCGAAGCCGCGTTTGCAGAAATATCTGCAAGTGGCTTCCTCGGGGACTGCGCCGGAGAGGCTGCGACCAGCGTCGCAGCAGGCTCGTCAGTCTGGTCGATTGTCTCTTCGACCGACGGCCCCTGGGAGAAGATCAGGAGCAATTCAGCGTCTGAAGCCTTGGCCGGGCTAACCGTGGATTGGTGCCCGACCTGGCCAGACGCCACATTGGCGCCTGTGGTGACAAGTTAGACTTTGGCTTTCAAGTGGGCTTCGTCTCTCACTTACCCATGGTACGGAGAAGGGGAGGGCCACTGGGAGCGTCCTCGGACTCGGGGGGGAGTAGGCCCGCCGCCCTTGCGGCGGCGATCCCCTTGATGGGCTCAATGGGACGGGCTGGGTCCCATTTGAGCCAGCCCCTAGAGGTGGTAAGTATTGTGCAAACACTGGCATCTGAGATTTCATCAAACTTACTTCACGGGCCGCCTCATGTCGAGGCCGACGGTTCGACTAAACAAATTAGCATTATCCCAAAGCTTTCAAAGGCAATTAAGAAGGGGAAGTATGGAGTTGGATCACAAAAGCTATCGAGCGAATACACCTACCCTTCTTCGTCAAAGTCAATGTAGTACCCCCATTTTTCGGCCAGCCTAGAGGCAAGTCCATCAGTAAATGCAGACCAGAGGAGTGAGACAAAGGAGAAAGACTTACCACTGACGTCTCCGAATGGACTCGCTTCTTGAGTGGATATTGCCCATTTTGATCAAGCGTTGAGTGGTATCAAAAATGAGCTGAAATAGAAAGTGGCCTCAACAAAAGGAACCTGCAATGTATCGAAGTATTGGGACGATACAAGGCAGAGGATATGAGATGACGTAGTGTAGGCTTTTTCTCGAGGGGTGTCGCTTTTCGACAAGCAGCAAATATGATGTGTGGGATCCGTCTGTGAAATCCAGGTGTGTTATGAGAAAGAGGTGGCTTATGTCGCGAGAGAAACAGGTGTATGAGGTAGAGGGCTGTTTTTAAGAAAGGAAGGAGTATGACAAGGAATGGAGAGTGAAGGGTAATCTGGGCTCCTTTAAAGGAAACCGCTCCGCGCCTCTGAGAGGATTAGAGAGACCTGCGTATTGAGTCTTTGGCGCTTCGCAACCAATATATTGGAGAGAGTTGAGGAAGTATGTGTGTCGGAGAAAAGGGAAAGGGTGAGCGGGATCCTTGAGGAAACCCTGCCTCTTTTTTGGCGGATACAAAAATGAGTAAGATAGGTCGCTCGGTGCTCTTAAAGACCGAAACGTCTGGAGGAGATGAAAAGAATGAAGTGTGACGAGAGAAAAGGAGGAAGGTGATTTGAAGGGATCTTTCAAGAAACCCTGCCGTGTTATCTGTAAGCGACCACGACTATGGATGAGAACCGCTGTGCAGAATCTCGTTGCTCTGTGGCAACTACAAATGTGTAGAGAGGTAAAAGAAGGAGTGGATGACGAGAGGCAAGAGTGGAGTATGATGAGACAGGATCCTTGAGGAAACCTGTAGAGTCCCGCCGTGCGGAACTTGCTGCTCTTTGGCAGATCTTAATGTGGAGGGAGGGAGTGAAGAAAGACTGTGACGAGAATTGGAAGAAAAAGTGACGGAACAGGACCCTTTAGGAAACCCGTCGAAGGAACCTGGGATGGGTTCTCACTGCTCTGTGGCAGGTGTAAATGGGAGAGGGAGAAAGAAGAACTTTATGACGAGAGGTAAAAGAGAAATGTTATGGGAGCAGGATCCTTGGGGAAACCTGCTGATGGGGACCGCGCGCGGAATATTCGTCGCTGTAACGCGGTCGGTGGCAGATGAGATGTCGGTATGAAGAAGGTATCTATGACGAGAGGAGATGGAAGTGGCAGAGGAGCGGGAGCTTTCTCTGAGAGAAGGGATGAGAAATGACAAGACGGGGTCCTTTAAAGGAAACCCAGCTGCGATCTTGCAGCGTTACGCGCTCAGCAAGGAAGCGTGGGACGCAACCAGCCTACTCCGCCTGGAATTATAGAATGTGTCTAGAGAAACAGATGATTTCGAGAAAGCTCGAGAAAGGAGCGGGGGTTGAGGATCGATTGTAAGTGACGCGATGAATAAGGGGATGTGTGTTATGATCGAGAGTGAGAAAAGTTCAGGGTTGGACGAAATTCGAAGGAAGTTTAAGGAGATCTGTGTATGTGTGTAAGCGTTGCTGTTTGGATTGAAACGATTCGCGACGCAGAACGGTAAGGGTGAAGAAGAGAAGAAGAAGAGAAGAGCGAAGAGATGCTGGGGGAAAGATTTGTACCCGTCTATTGTGGCCGTCAATCGCGACTCGCGCGCGCCGGATCACTCATGTTTTGACGTACAATAAGAGGAAAGAGCATTGAGGATAGGCGGGGGGGGCTACGGAGAATGGCAGGAGCATTGAGGACAGCCCTGAATATAGCTCTTCGGCTATTGTGAATTGGTGAAAGTTGCGAGCGAAGACAATAGCAACAATAAGAAAAGAATAAGGTAAAACGGGGTCAATCGCAGTTTCCTCGAGAATAATTGATGGCGAGCAGTCGCAAATGACCAAATCGGGTCGGAAAATCCCCCACGTTAAGCCTCGCACGGATAAATGTAAACAATCTAGGTGGGGGCCAATCATATCGAGTTTCGGAAGTAAGCGAGACTACCATCGCCATCTGGGTATAGTCTCGAAGTTATGCATCTGCACATGTCACGTGTAGCAGATTGCATAAGTCCCTTTATGCAACTTCACATCTCCAATGAACTTGTGAAAGATTCCCAAAAGAATTGAGTTGCAGCAACGACGAGATATCAACTTCGACATTCGCCCCCTTTTTCGTCGTCACGCTTCGACATAACAATCGCAATGCCTCCCAAGACGACGACCAAGGCGCCTATGCGTCTTCCCCCGCTGCCCAAGCTGCGTGTCCGACACCCTAATAAGACCGAAACCAACCCGTGCATGGCCATTATGTCGTCGATGTTGGGTACGCCTCCCCTTTTCCCCGCGGTCCATTTTCGTCATTCTTTTATACTGCATTGCTTTTGCTGCTTGCACCCCTTGCAAGGTGGCAAAGTACATCTCACTATAGTTCACTTAGCTAATATTTGTGGGTAGGATGCTGGGCCTCGTCAGGATACAACATGGCAGGCTGTGTTGGTCTTGAGCAGCAATTGCGCATGTGCATGGACACAAAGGTGCGTCTTTACATTCCTCTTCATTTCTTCCTGAGCTTTTTTTTTTTTTTTTCTTTTCCGACCTTCGTCCCGTCTCGTACAGCATCTGACATGCACGACTACAGAAACCCAAGGTCGAAAAGCGCAACACGATCAACTACCACCTGTCGAGACTGTACCCCAAGATTATCGGTCCTCACAAGCGAAAGTAGATCCATTTTTTTGCGATCAATTCGTTGTTCATACCTTGCATTCGTCAACTCTTTTTCAACTTCTTTTCTCTCGTCGTCCTCCCATGTCCCTGTCTCAAAGCAAATCGAAAATGTATAGACTTCACCCAACACGCGCTTTCAAGAGAATAGCAACCTTTTGATCGACTACGTTACCCACTTTTCTATGGCAGTACCGCATCAGTACCTTAGAGGTTCGGTGGTGGATAAACTGGGTTGCAATTGGCGCGATGACTGCGCAGGGCTGCATACCGTCGTTGGAATCGAAACGAACCTTCCACACGTCGCAAGAACCCGGGGAGGAGACATATCATCTTATCATCTTATGTTCAAGCCATTACAAAAGGGAGTTTTTTTCGTCATTTCATCTTTCGGCCTCGATGTGATTTATATCGAGACAAGACCATCTGTATAGTACTTTGATAGATAGACGTTTCTACTAGGCGCGGCGCATACTGGGAATCCAACAAACCTTTGACTTGTCCATTTACACAATAACTTCCGTCTAATTGTGAATAGTATCATAATACGATATACTCTGTATTGACTGTTTCATGTGAAATGCATATCCCTTTTATTTTCCACTAAATGCTAGTAGTGTGGATCTAGGTAAAACATATCCTTTTATCCATTTCCCACAAAAGCTCGTAGATACCTACAGATAACTAAGGTAGATCTAGGGTAGTACATAGGTAGGTAGGTAGATTCAAGATGAAACAAGTCAAGAAACGAAAAAAGATAAAAGGGGGGAATATTTTGCGTCCCAAAGTCAGAACGGCCAAACAGCCAGAAAGTAAAAGGGGAAAAATAGAAAGGGAAGGAGAGGGAAAACAAGGGGGAACAAAGAGGAGAAGAGAGGAAAGAAAAGGGGGGGAAACACCATCACACCCGCTGTGAAATTGGAAACGGAGAGAAGATCTGGAAATGAATGGAGAAATGGAGAAATGGATAAACGGATAAACGGATAAACAGATGAATGGATGAATGAAAGGTATGTACTATAGAACGAAAGAAATTTAAAAAAAAAAAAAAAAAAAGAAAAAAGAAAAGAAAAACAAAAGGTTGTAGGTGAGAAGAGAAAATAAACCGACGCAAGAAGGAGGTGAGAGAAGAGGTAAGAAGAGGTGAGGGCAGAGGAGGCAAGACAATGGGTCCACTTATATCTCCTTTCTGCCCTCCTCGCTGCCATCATTCGACGCCAGTTCCCACTCGGACTCGCTCTTTCTCCTCCGGCGCTCGCGCATAGCGCCGCGAATCTTCTGCGAGACTTCATCAAAGCCCTCCTTTGAATCGAGCTTGCTGAAGGCCTGCATGGAGAACCCGCCTCCTCCGCCCGAGGAGGAGTTACTGCGGCTGCGACTGCGGCTGCGGCTCGGGGTGGTGGGACGGCTCGTGAAGAATCCGAAACTGCCGATATTCCAAAAGGAGTCGTTGCGGGGCAGGTCGCCGGCGGCCGAGGAGCCGCCGCCAATGCCGACGCCGGGCGTCTTGCTTGATTCGGAAGCATATTGGAAGCTGTTTGCGCGGGAGGCGTGGCGGGAGGTGAATGCGGGCGGGAGGGCGCCTTCGCGGAACGGGTCGGAGACGATGCGGGAGGCGTCAAAGTCCGGGTACATTTCTGGGCCGAGGGTGTTGATGACCTCGATGACTTCCTTGGAGAGCTTGGCGCGGCGTTCGCGCAGCTTGACAAAGGTGTTTGCGGACGAAGGATTGAGGGCGAGGATGAGCGGGCGCAGGGATTTGAGAATGTCCATGCCCGTCTCGCCGATGCGGAAGGCGGCGAATGAGATGGACGGGAAGATGATCCATCCGAGAATAGGCACCATCCAGAGAGAGACCCAGTTCGGGGCATAGCCCGCCACGCGGTCGTGGTAGGTCCACCATGTGAGCAGGACGGCGTAGAAGTTGTAGAGCAGCGGGGCAAAGGCGAGGGCGACGAGGAGCTTCCAGGTGGCCATGACGTCGCGGCCTTGGATCTTGACGGTGGATGCGGCCAAGGCTTCTTTTGACTTCTTGCGAGAGATGATCTTTGTGGCGATGAAGACGGGCGCGAAGAGGACAAGGCCGGGTAACGTCCCTATGGTGAGAAGGGAGAGCTTGATGATGCGGTAGAGGAGGGTGAAGAGGACTTTGGGAATGGAGAATTTGGCGTATTCGACTTGGTAGTCGCGGATGCCGAGCAGTCGAAGTTGTTTGTTGTATGAACTGACTTCGTTCTTCAAATGGACAATGCGCGGGTCGTCTTTGTATTGCGTATAGCCTTTGACCAGGCGCCGGTTGAGCTCGACGACCATTGGCAGAGGGAGTTTCTTGCCGGTCGGGTTGTAAAGGCGTCGTGCAGCTTGGATGAACTGTAAAGTGTGAGAAGCTATGATCCCTAGAAGCCCGTGGGGGCAGCGGGAGTAGAGTAAGGATGAGGGGTTTAGCTTACCAGAAGAGTCTCAAAGTCAGGACTGGTTACGGTGACGGATACAAGTGCCTGATAGATAATCTCGAGCAGCTGTCCAATAGCTTCTCTTCGTTCGCCCTTCTTGTACATGTCGACCAGCTCCATCGGCACATCGATGGGGTATCCAAATTCAATGACGGCCCGCGAGCGGAACTTGTGCGCGTGAAAGTAGTTCATGCCGCAGGGGATGATCTTGAGGCCGCATTCAGGGTCCGCTGCGAGCGCTCCCAGTGCCATGATCGCAACGCCAGCTGCAAATCGAATTAGTATTGAATTGCCTGTGCGCGTGAGTGAAAGAGGTCATGACATACCCTTCAAAGGCAAGAGTTCAGTCCTGTCATGGCTACCACCTTCGGGAAAGATGCCCACACAGCCACCTTCAATAAGCCGGTCAAACACGGCATTGTAAACCTGCGTCTGGTCGACCTTGGGAGCGGTCTTGAATTTTGTCCCCTCAAATCCGTCGGCGAGGACATTCTTCAGGTTGTCGACTCCGTCCAATGGCTTTCCACTGTCGTCAAAATCTTCGCGGCCGGTCAACTGCTTGTATGCCACCGCACCTCGATATGGCTTCTTCAGACGTAGTTCCTCTGCGCTGATGACCTCTGCAACCTCAGCATTGGCCGACTTGCCATTCACGCTGGGCAAGACCAGCAAGCCGCCCAGCTGAATCTCGGGTCCATCAAACTTGGTGCCGATACCTCGCACGAGCGTCGGATCGTTGACCGGATCAGGCAGATAGATGACACCGGTAGCTGGCTTGGTGGCGTCCATGGCTCGAGCCACTGGCACAGCACCTGCCATGCGCGACAGCATACCGATGAATTTCCGCTTCATTGATTTCTCTGCGGTGAGGAACGAAATTCGGCGTCGCGCCTCCATTCGAATGACGCGCATCAGAATCAGTGGATCGACAAACTAATTTGCCGGATGATTCCATGTTAGCTAGCTGCTCAGGAACAGAATACCAATTGAGCTTCAGAGAAACTACAGGAAACTCACCTGGTTCGCATGCGGTGCTGCGACAAACATGACGGGTCCTTTGCGAGGGATTTTCCATGCCCCTCTTGGGTGGACCTCTCGAAAGAAGAGGTCCACCAGCACAGAAAAGATCCAGATGAAAGCATCGTAGGACCATGTATTTAGAGGGGCAAACTCTCCCCTTTTCGGCATCTTGCAAGCTCCGCTATGAAGTTGCAGGTTTTTTTTTGTCGGGACCTGCTGTGCGACGAGATCACAGAGCGATGATGTGCAGAAAGAAGAGGAAGAAGCGGCGAAGACGAAAGGTCAAAGAAGCACAAGTGCATGCGACACCACAGCGGGGCGATTTAAGCTAAAAGCTGCAGCTGCCTCAGGCAAATAACGTTATTATGACTTGGATCTTTCGGGCACAAGTCGGCTATTAGTCGGGAAGACACAACGAATATTTATTATAACTCGTAGAAGAAAAATGATGTCTTACAGAAATTAATTGTTAACAAGGATATTCTTTTCCTCGCCCCGCCCTCCTTTCACAAGTAAAGCCAACGGTTGACTGCGGGGATGGGACCCTTTTTCCCGACACCTTTTTTGTTGGCCAGCGGGGCAGGGCGTTGGGGCTGCCCTATCTCCTCTAGGTAGCTTTTCAACTGGATACGAATGACGATGATCTGGAGAATATTTATTATATTACTTATTACTAATTATTGTGCATCTTCAATATCGAAGAAGACTATGAAATATCTATTTGTATCAAAAATGTCATGGCAGAGGAATGAAGAACTCAGGCCTAGGGGTCATGCTCATACTCTTGTAGAAATGCATGTTCCTCACATTCTGCATTCCAACGACACTGTTTCAATACAACGGCTGTAGGTAGTTATATAATAGTTTATATTATCTTGTGTCTTCTCGTTGGTCTAAGAGACTGCCTTCGAATTTTATAAAATTATATTTTATTCTTGGCCGTATAACAAGTTGCATTTCAGACACCAAACAACGTAGCTACCTGGGAGAATACTAGAATGAAAGCAATATATTGTTCGACTCGTCCCGTCTAGAATGAAACAGACACTGATGTCAGTATTCTTGTTTCCCTCTCTTTGACTCATCTCCCTTCGAACATAGCTATTATTCTTCTTCGGACCAAGGGAGCAAGCGGCTACAATCGGAGATACAGCCACTGTTTCTAGGCCTGGTATCCCACGTCTTGAGCCACAAATACCTATACAAGCAAATAGGGCCCACAACAAAACGCCACTGCCGCCGTCCCGGTAACCCTGAACCTTGCGCTTAACCGCCAAGAAACTCTCACAGAAATCATGTTGCATCCTCTTCATCGATTCTCCTTCTCGAATTTGTTTCTTCTGGCGCCAGTAGATCAAAAATCACAGGCTCGAATCACATGCAAATCACCAAATTGTTTATCAAAAGATCCAAGAAATAAAAACACCTCAACATGGATGAAATTGTATTTAGTAATTAGTAGGCCAAGCAACACCGTACTCTCAGACGGCGCCGCCCGACTTGGTATATCCCGGGAACTGATTAAACTGACTCATGTCAACACTCTCCAACTGCGGACATGTAAAATCAGCGAGAACATCATTAAACTGCTGGTTAATCAAGTTGAGCGGGTCGGTAATGTCAGAGAACAATCCCTTCAAAATGTCCGGAGTCACCTGCTGGGCAATCTGGAACGCAAAGCAGGCAAAATTGTCACCCTGTGCCAGTGTTTGTGCATTGTAAACGCCCGCAGTCAAGTCTTCTAGATCAACCCCGGTGAAGGAGTTGGTCGTTCCAGTATTTCCACCAACCGACAGCAGCGGCGGGTAGGCTAACTGGTACGACACTGCATCCGAGACAAAGTATGCAATAGTATACTCGTCGCCAATTGCGCGCTTATACCAATTTTCCGGGATCCGCTCGTTACCGGGAGTGTACTGGAAATTGCCCGGTTCACCGGTGATGGAGAAGAAAGACTTGAGCACCTCTTGATTAAGAACACCCTCGGGATACTCGGCTGATTTATTTCCCATGAAGCGGTAGATGAACGTGTAGGCTGCCTGGGCCACAATCAATCCGCTAAAGGGAGCGTTGAAGAAATACGGGTTCTCATTGATGGATTGTTGGAATCGATTTTTCCGATGTTGCAGCAGAACATCAAGATCATAGTTGGCCGTGGCTGGGTCAGGCTGCAGGTCGAAAAGAGCCTCAAATTGAGGAACCTGTACCAAATAATCATTGCCACTGTGTTCAAAGGTCAGTAAACATCCTTCCTTTACATGACTTGGCAACATCCATGCTTACTATTGATATAGATCGCCCCGAGTGGGCGAGGTGTCCGTCTCATACTTGTTGTGCGAGTTGCTAATGCCTTCAGGTGTTCCAAGCAACCCAGTCAGAGAGCCAAGGATGCCAATGTTGGTGGGGACCCCTCCAATAGACCATCCTGGAGGCAGCGCAAGCGGATTGCCATCCATGACCGTACCATAGGTGGAGAGGAAGGTTGCCAGATCAATTCCCATGCCAAAGACTGATTCACCTTGTCAGCTGGTTCGGGAAGAATTAAAGAAAACTTCAAGCAGGCTCACCTTCGTTAGTCGCCGTGACAAAGTCAGTCAACGTTCCCCAGCCATTATGCGGCAGGTAGTTATGGTTGGCCAAGGCGTTCAAGCCCGGGCAAGGTCCACGCAAATCTCCAGCATCAAAATTTGGTGGCACGAAAGCGTGATCTCCTGAGACGTCAATGAGCTGGGCCTCAGGATCAAAGCCTGGGGTAGCTCTCTTTGTCTCTTGCTTGCTGGCAAAGGGGCATCTCTTTTTTTCCGTGTGAGCTTGTGCTTGCTTTGCAGCTGCCTCGAGTGCAATAGATGGAAAAGCGAATACCTCGGTGACTGAAATCACCGAGGCACTTAGCAATAGCAAAAGAAGCTTCATGATGGTATGCCAATTGCTTTCTCACTCTCAAAGCCAGAATGCACGAAAGGAAAAAGATCTATTAGGGCAGCGGACCAAAGACGGTCAGTTTCCCAGCCTGAATGGTCAATGCAAGACTGAGGCGTATTCAGAGATCCGCTTGGTCATGATTCCTCCTTGTGCGAGGGTTGTCCTTTATATTCTCCTCTGCAACCTGGCGTCCAAGCAAAGAAGTGGGTCGGGTGCTCCGAGGAGCCAACGTCTCGTTCATCCGGTGTGGCCACGACTGTCCATGGCCGGGGAGTGATGGTAGCAACGCTACAGCAAGCGGGGAGTTGACTAACCGGCGGGGAAGATAATAGAGATCATAGTAGTGGAGGGATCAAGTTGACAGTATGACGACTGAGGGTGCTGGAGGGGTGAACCGAGGGATGAAGTAGGGATGAAGTAATTGTATCTAGTGATGCCAAAAGTTGTTACCATCCATGTCGAGAGTTCGCAGGCCTCCAGGTTGGGTCGGCATTGAAAGAAACCAATAGGACGGGACTAAATTGTAATATCCGTACTACATATCGTATTTTAGGAACCATCTCCACCATTTCTCCAATGCCGGGCCGTGCCGTGGAAAGAATGTAGCGGGGATATAGCTGGTGGTGCGGCTGGAGAAGTGCAAGGATGTCTATCAGATATAGAGCATGGTTCAGCCCGATTCAGATGTCAACACTCTTAGCCATGACAGGGCTATCGCCATCGGAACAAATGAGGTGCACGCCATTATTGATCGCCCTTGGCCTGACATTGGGGGAATTCTGGTATTGATTCCAGGAACGCTCTCCTCAGAAACGGTGTTGAAATGGCTTGTATATCATGCTCCAACTTGAGACTATTCAGCGCCTATTAGTTCTGCTTGTTGAATTAAGAGCATGTTTGTGCACGGAGGACAAGCACCAGATGAGTTTTGGCCATGATGGTGATACCATTTGTCCAGAGCAGCTTGCAGGTCACAATTATGATGATGATACTCTGCGAAAAGAGCAGCAAGCCGCCTGCAAGTGCCCGCAAGCTATTGCCCAAGTGGGCCATGTCCGAGATATATCCCTCCCCGGCGGAGGCCTTGGTTTCGAGGAAGTGAAACGGCAGGGATGGAGTTGAGGATGGACTCCTCCATTTGCTGCATTCTAGCGGTCTTTTTGCCTAATCGATTCACCCTTGTGAAGACGCCGCCGACGTACCATGTCAGATCTCGCATCAAGTCCCGCTCGAGCCAGCCAAGATTGTCAGCCAAACAGGGGTGTTTCCATTCATGTTTTTGAACACACATCTGTTTACTACTACCTTCCCCGGGAAGGTCACTCGTCTGGACGAATATGGAATACAGGCCATTTTAGCCAGAACCATAGCCACCAATGCATTGCCAAAAAACCAGATGGCTCTGCGGGGTGCAGCCGAAAAGGACGAGAAGAGACTCTGGTGGGGTCGCAGAGCATCTCCGGCCCAACGAGGTCGAGACCAGCACGGGCCGGCAGGTCAATGCAAGATTCCGCGTGAAAGCGAAACAGCATCAAAGTCAAAGATCTATTCTTCAGTGCTTGGTACCACTCCACCTTTGAATGTGGCAGGCGATGAGCATATTTCCTGAAGTGGACGATTTGAAAAAAATACATGGTTTGTACCAATAAGCCCAGCGGCCCGTTGGTGAGCAAATTGACGTGCAAATCGTTATTTGGATTAACAGGGTTGTTCGATGGGCGATGGATGCGGAGCGACGTCCTGCCGGGATCTATCTTGTATTTCACCCTGACATACTTCTGTCAAGTTGTGTTTACCATAGCCCCACCGACACTTAGTGAACCAACCACCTCACCTCCTTCTGCCCTATAATATTCACCCTGTTACATGGGTGGACGATAATCATTCGTTTACTTAGCAGAGCAGCACAACCTGGTTGGAATATAAATGATACTATCTATAGAAAAAAAAATATGGAGAAAAAAGAGTGTGTAAGAAGAAGAGAAGCTATCCACAGTTGAACGCAATATACAACGCCCTAGGCATTTTCTCGCGTATTGGTAGAATCGGACAATCGCGACGACGAGAACGTTGATGATGATGAAGACGGCGATACCGACCGAGGGGAGTTTGGCTCGTTCGGTGGCACATTCAGAATGATTTGTGGAAGGCGAGTACGCCGAAGCATATCGCGACGATATTCATCGCTCGGGCGGGCAGTAGTTTCAGTAGTTGTAGCTGGAAGAGATTGCGCAGAAGGCATGCGAGGAGCAGAACGTGAAAATTGAATAGCGGATAATGGCGGAAGGGTATCAGAGGCGTGTGGAGAAGTATTAATGTTATTATTATCTTCGGTAAAAGAAGAGGAAAGCCGATCTTGTGGCCGTTGTGAAGAGAATCCAGAGGTATGCTGTCCAGGAATTGGAGGTGAAGATATGGCTGCATCGGCAGAACCATCTGCACCAGTAGCAGTAGGGTCAGAAACAAAAGTAGAAGGTACCGGTGCCGTATGTGCGGTTCCAGCACTCACACTGCGTCGTCCAATTCGCGCAGTGGATGGTAAAAAGGTAGAAGCGAGCTTTGGCAATCGACCAGTATGCGCAGAAGCATGGTCGGAAATTATAGAGTGCATACTGCGGCGGTTGAGGATGCTGCTGTCTGGGCTAGGAGTGCGGCTGAGACTGCGACTACGGCTGGAATGGCGCGAATGGCCTGATGAGGAAGAGGAGGGTCGGGAGTAACGGATTGCTGACCCGGATGGAGAAATGGACGCAGCTGGAGACGTTGACGTAGATGATGAAGCTGAGGATGATCGCACTGACTCTCCACGTTCATCACTCTCCATTTCCGCTTCTTCGGCCAGAGCCGCGAGGATGACGGGATCAAGCTGCACCATACCCCGTAGCAGTTCGGCGAAAATATTCATCAATTGACGAAACTGTGCTTCCGTCAATGCTGCTCCAGAGAAGCGGGCATATTCGTAGACGGTCAGAAAGTCTGCGCCGACTTCAGGCGGGTTGACAAGTCCAAGTTGTCCGAGATATTCTAGGTAGTCGCGCAGACCCATTGCCGTAGGGCGTCGGAGTAACGCAAGCGCTTGCGGGTCAGGAGGTATGAAGCGCGGTGCATTCGTAGCTTGAGGCATTGCGGAGAGAACGGGGTCCGGAGGAGCGAGTGAGACGGCTTTGGCTTCGATGAGGTTTGGTAATTCTGCAATGACGGTGGGATAATAGACACTGGGAAGGTCAACAGATGACGGCGAGGACCAGCCGGGATGAGATATAGGTCCCCATGGCGGCTGCACAGGGCGAACATTAATGGTGGTTTCGGATGTACCATTATTGTTCTCGCCATGTCCATTGTGGTCGGGTTGCTGAGACGAGTGCAGCCGAAGGTTAGGATGGCCAACGGAAGCCGCTGAAGACTCGGCGCTCACTGTTGCGCTAGGTTTCTCGACCTCCTCGATTTCTGAAGACGTATGTTTTGGCCTTGCATCCCATGCGACGATTGCGCTGCGCTCCCAAGCGTCCACAATCATGCGCCGCACCTTTTTGCCCACGTCTTCAGCTTGCACAGGAACCCATGGCTCTGGGATAGCTGAGAGAACACTTCGGTTGGTTAAAAGACGGCTGGCATAGATGAATGCCGCCGTGATCAAGGCAAGAATGTGGACACCGGCGACAATAAAGACATTCGCAATGTGTTTCGCTTCTATGGATTGTCGAATAACGTCGGCCGGGGTGATGACAAGGAGAGCGAGGCAGACGAGAAGGAGGACGGTAAATGTCGTAGAGTAAAAGATGCGGAAGAAAGGGATGCGTATGCGTACGCGTATGCGCATCATGATGGCGATGTATCTGAACCGTTCATGGCTGGCTTATGGGTGAAACTAATCGCAGAGGATAGCTCTCTCCCTTTCTCTTCTTGATGGTGGTTGAGCAGCGAAGCTCCTTAGCGCATTGTGGGGTTGGCGATGATGTTGATCGGGTCGGCCTGTCGGTGTTCAGCCTCCGACTCACACAACCAAGGAAGCAGCAAAATATTGGGCTCGATTCTTGAAGAGATATCGAATTTTAGAAGGATGTTTTCGCTTTCGTAAACTGGGTAAAATTAATATTCTTACGACCTCGCTATGATTTAAGGACCATTAGTATTTCTAGCTTCATGAGATTGATTATTTTTTCAAAATTATCCAAGGTTTAATATTCCGCCTCAATCATTAAAGCCCTCTGCTACTTACAACCCCTGCTACAAATTCTGGCCCAAAATCCATGGACAAACAAGGAACTTTCAAGAAAGAAATAACATTTTCAGCAATTCAAATACAACATAGTCAATAGTCAACGGTTATATTCTGCGTCAAGCATAAAAGGTTACCAGCCATTTCTCCATCCGCTTTGCTGCCTTATCTCAGTTGCTGAGCTACCATTCACTATTAACCTACGGTTTAAAAATATGACAATGCAAAGTAAATATATTTGTATCATGCCAAATATTAATGTGATAAAGCACTGTAGAGGCAAATCCGATGAAACCCCATGTTAGCCCAAAGAAACGCCCACACCCGGCGAAGGCATAGGTTGAAAATGACCAAAACGCAACCATGAACACCGATGAAATTTGACGATAATATTCTTCCCCGCCTGTGCTCCATCCCATCCCATATCCTGCGGTTACATCAGTTGCAACACCTTGCAATATCTAGTGAAATGGTTCATTTGACCAAAAGAAAACAATCCACCGCCATCCTGTTAGTATGGGAAGACGAAGCTCTTCTGGGTGATGAGGGAGAACGATAAGGAATTGCGAAGAAAATTTTCAAGAAGTTAAAAGTGAGTGTAAAATGGCGGGGATGTCTGAGAGCGAAGAGTGAAATATGGTGTAGTGAGGCCTAACATGAGAGCGAAAGATCCAAAATGGATTATTTGACGGAAAGAGATAAACCCGTAATCAAAAAGCCATTCTCCGGGTCGAAATATCACTAGGCCAGACATTCATGCCCACGCGAAGCATGCCGGCGAGAATAATGGTGCCCCGACAGTATGCTTGTATAATGAAAATATTAGACGCATACTGACCGTTACCGCCCAGAGCTAACTCCTTTGTTGCGCTTCAAATTCTCTTTACATTCGTCGCAGTACCATTTTGCTAGAAAAGGAAAAGCTATGTCAGCACGTGTTTCCTTGCGGATAAAGATATAGCATCGAAAAAAAAGGAGGAGAGGGGAGGGGAGGGAGAAACTCGAGAAGGGCAAAGGGACATGAGAAATAAAGAAAGCTGATGAACTCAAATACGGTAAAAGAAGAAAGGAAAAAGAAAAAGAGCGGGTAGGCGTGTACGGAAGACTTACCATTCTTAGTTGGCGCCTTGCTCAAGCCCACGCAATCCAGATGGAACCATTCGCGCGGACAATCGTCAGCATCGCAGGCCACCATTTCGCCATAACTGACTTGGTTGCAGTAGCAATATCTCGGCTCGGCATCGTCGTCTACTTCATCTTCTTCCTCCAGAGCCGCCGTGTTGATTGCGCCGCCACCTCGTGCACCGGCTCCGGTACTGTGACCAAGACGAGGTGACCCAGCTGTACCGAGATGGTGCGCCTGTTGGGCGGCGGCGGCAGCGGCAGCAGCGCTCCCGCCTTTCTTATGTGACCGTTTGACCGGCGCTGCTCCGGACGCGCCCGACTCGGATGTTCGTGAAGGCCGAGATGAGCGGTGATGAGTAGCGGAAGAAGACGATGCGCCACCTGCAGCAAACGTGGGGGGATCCGGGAAATTAGCCACGATAGGCGTGGATGTTTTGGACGTTCGGCCGGCGCCGCCGTTGCCACCATTGTTCGCATGGGACCCATTGGCTCGCTCAGTGCGGGTTGTCCCACTTGTACTCGCATTGGTCTGGGCAGAGGATAGCCCGTTACCGATGATGAAGCCAGTATGGTCGACTCCGCGAGTCGCGTGATGGTTGTTATTATAGTCGCCGTTGCTTTCAGTATCTTCGCGCTTGAGATCCGCTGCGACACGGTCTTCAGAAACGCCGCTATCTTTACCGGCGTTGCGTACCCCACCGGCGCCCATAACCAGTGCGCCTTTGAGATGGTCTGGTTCTCGTTCATGGCCCTCTTCCTCAATGACATGTTCCCCTTTCGAGGTAATCGTTTCTTTCATAGAACCTTTGACATCTGCAAGGCTACGGCCGGTGAGGCCCGCAACGTTATTCAATTCCGGCGTACTCGGTGGTATGCCGTTGGATGTGCCAGGTCGATTGGAAGCGGAAGACGACGGGCGGTTGCGCGCGCCCGTGTTTGGCCCATCTTGTTGCACAGATTGTGCAGAATTTTGACGCGCTCGAGAAGACTGAGGACGCTGAGAGGCACCCCCAATGATGGGGAAGTCGCGCCCGCCAGGGAAGGATGGCTGGACAGGAGATGAAGCGACGGAAGGTGATCGAGCGCCAGATGCGCCAGTATTTCTGTAGGTTCTGTTAGAGCTATCGGGATATTAAATAGTCCAGAAGAGAGGTCAAGCATTCGCGACGCTGTACATACCTCTTCCGGGTTTGCCCTGTCGTTGTTTTGGTCCGCTTCTTGGTCGGATCCGGTGTTGCGCGAGGGCTACCCAATCCTCCTTTTCCGCTCCCTCCGTTTAAGGCCTGGCTCAAAGAACGCTCCATGGCCGCTGCGCCAACTCCTTTGTCGGTCCTCCGGCGTTTCGGAGGCTGAGCGGCGCCCAGAGTGTCCACCGTGAGTCCCTTGCCGTCAGCAGCATCAGCCGCGGTGCGGCGAACCTTCGCACCACCTGGGCCTTTTCTTCGATCGTCAAAGTCAGAATCGGCGTGCTGATTACGCTGCTTTCTCGCAAGCATCGCTTCGCGTCGGCTCTCGCTCCGAGACGCAGCGGCCTCGCGCTCGTGCAATGCCGCAGCAGCGGCCGCAAGGTTATTAGCGCTGGCTACGTCTCGCCGCGACCGTTCTGCCGGCGGCGGGTGAGACTTTGCGTTAGCTCTATCGGCATAAGCCCAGTGGCTCAGGCTACCACATCGCGCTTCCTCGCTGATCTCGTTATCGATATAGGGATATGAGCTCTCCATGCGCTGTAGTTGTTTGTTGAGTGCCTCAGTCGCGGTCGCAATGACGTGGTTTTTCTCGTCAAGGGTAAGAAGCATTTCGGTGATGAGGTATCGAAGGTTGAAGAAGACGCGTCGGCGAGCGATGTCGGCTTGGTTGTCCATTGATTGCTGCTGTTCTTCCTGTTGAGGAGCTGATGTAGGGCCCGATGTAGGGCCTGTCGCCCCATTTGCACCAGGAGTCACAGTGCCTCCAGGCGCTGCAGATGAACCCTCTTCGGCACCAGACTGAGCTTCTGGCGCCTGACGAGGCGGCAGAGGTGTGCTCAGGGCCACCTCACTCAGCTGGTGAAGGGTTTCCTCGGGTCCATACGCCTTCGCATCAACCTCCTTGAGCAGTGTAAAATGTCTCACAATCTCTTTGGGAAGCGCAGTAATGGTATCGGTGAAATGTGTCATCGCGGGGAAGAAGCCTGGCGGGCCTGTGGGACGCTGTGGTTCATTTTCCCCCAGCGAAACTCGGCGACCGTAAGGACGAGGTAGGTTCGCACGCGCGGGGTTGGCACGAGTCTGACGCACCGACTGACGGCGGTTCGTCGAGGGCGGCGCTATTGTAGACATTGCAAGTGCTGTATATCCCTCGCCCGAAAAATTGAAGGGAGCAAAACCCCGCTTTCTGCAAGAGCACTTGTATGAAGAAGCCGAGGAGGCTCGACCGGGAGACTTTGGGATCGTCGATCCCAAGCCAAAGTATTGCCCGATTCAGCTCAATTCGGACGATTAAAGGATGAGAGAGACGCGCAGCGTGTTTCAATCGTTATCTGAGAAAATGGTAAGTTAAATCGTCTGAACTCTGGCTAGTTCTACGTTGTGAGACTTTTGCGACCAGTTGCAGTGATAGGTGAGGCGGAACTTGAAATCAAAAGAAGATTTTCGAGCTCTCTGGATTGAATGGATCCCACCTACCGATGTGATGAGATTGGAACGGCAAGAGCTGTCTAGAATGGGCACCTTGGGCGGGCAAAGGGTAGCGTTCAGCTCTTCAAGACCGAGAGCTTGCAAAACTAGCGGTTTGGTACTGTATCCTTGGTGATAGGAGACACTTTAGGACGAGTTCCCAGAGAGTGTCATAGCGAGTCTCGCATTCGAAACTCAAGATCTGCCCGATTAAAGGACGTGCAGTCAAGAGAACGGTGAGGATTAGCAGGAAGTTCACAAGGAAGACCTGAGAGCTGCGCACACATCCAGAGCGCCCCCAGTAGTTTGTGACAGTCGGGGACAGGCGCGTCAGCGGCAATTGCCGGCCCTCGGTTCAGTCACTTCATTGGGGTGCCGAAAAAGGCATGGCGCTCTTCGAATCCACGTTCGGAAATTGTTTGCATCATTGGCAGAACAACGATACCGCCTTATCAACTTCGCGATCAAGCATTGAGTTCAATATTTGGAGGAATGCAATTTATCTTTGTACCAACTGATCACACAGGTGAAATAGAAAACAGATGACTGATTTCATCATGGTTCATTATGATTTTGATAACTACTTTCCTTTTTTTGGGCAGCCACGAAACCTCCGAAACTCGGACCCTATACCTTCCGAGTCTCCTAGAAAGGATAAATGAGAAAAAGAGATTAAAGAAAATAAAAACGTAATGGATATTTTGACACCCTTCCCCTTGGAAAAAGAAAGAAAAAAACTACCAGACATTCCAATCATCGATGAATGACCCTCCGACCATGATCGCGGCTGAAACGTGGAGAAACAATCGACATGCAACAGCCACGAGAACAAGACAGAACACCCGCAAATATGACAATGCGAGAGCAGAAAATGGATTTAGAATAAAATCATATATAGATCATTCTGAGCAAGCGCTCAAATGTCCAGAATATCCGAAGCCAGGCCGTGGTGACGAAGCCAATCTGACGCCGCCCAAATGTGTGTAGAGAAGAGACGCAAATAGGGTGCTCGAGGCCCGAGACACGAAAGGAGGATCGGAGAAGAGGAGTACAATGATCGGGACAAGGTGTTTGTCGGGAGAGAAAGAAGGGATTTTACATGATAATAGCAGGAACTAGACGAGAATAGCGTTAGCATCAAAATACCACATGAAGGGAGGATTGCGACTTCAGACTGACCATCAACGTTCTGCTTAATGGACTTGTGCGGCAATATCGAGCCACCATTGACATAGACCTCATCGCCAATGGTTACATCATCACCGAGCACCGTCACGTTCTCGAGGCGCGCCCAGCGGCCAACGGTGCTGTGCCAGCCGACAATGGTGGACTTGACCCAGGCATGGTCCTTGACCTTGCTATTCGCCAGCAGCACACTACGTTGCAGACGCACACCATCACCGATGACCACATTGGGACCAATGACAACGTTGGGGCCGATGCGACAGTTCTCGCCAATCTTGGCCGAGGGATCGACCATGACATTGCCGCCGTAAACGTACGGCTCGGAAGCAGGCTTGAGAGCCTTGGAGCCCTTCTTCGTCAACGAGGAAAGATAAAGGCAAGTACCGCTGAGGAAGTCCTTGGGCTGGCCGACATCCATCCAGAAGCCCTCGAGATCAAACGAGTGCAGCTGGCCGTCCTTGCAAATGGCGGGAAAGGTCTCTTGCTCGATGGAGGTGGGTCGCAGCTCAATGCGGTTCAACACGCTCGGGTTGAGGATGTAGATACCGGCATTGATACGGTTGCCGACAAACTCGACGGGCTTCTCGACGAAGCGGTCAATGCGCGAGGGGTGATTGGGCTTGTGCACCACGACACCATATTTCGAGGGCTCCTCGACCTTGGTGACAACAATGGTGCCCTCCTCGCCATGAGACTTGTGGAAGGCAGCGAGCTTGTCAAATGGGTACTCGCAAATGACATCCGAGTTGAGCACGAAGAAAGGGGAATCATCCTTTCCGAGAATCTTTTCGGCGAGCTTAAGGGGACCGGCGGTACCAAGAGGCTCAGTCTCGACGGAGAATTCAATGTTGACACCATACTGCTCCTCGTACTGCAATTGCGCCAATGAATGTTAGCGCTCCATTCCTTTGTTCCATTCGTGTTCGCAGAGGAGAATCAAGATGGTCTCGACTCTCACTCGCGGTGATGGGAGCTGAGGTTACTTACCTGCTTCAAGGCTGAAACCATAACATCCGGACGATAGTTGACGGCAAGCACAATGTCTGTGACGCCAGCAGCAGCCAAGCTCTCAACCTGGTGCAGAATCATTGGACGGTTGGCGAATTCGACCAAGGGCTTGGGCATGGTCAAGGTCTAATGGGGCGACGGATTGTCAGTTCACACCAGATCGATCCATAAGCGTTCAGGAGACAGCTTGCTCGCACAAACATGTCCTCGACCGTGGGCGAGATTATGTGTACGAGAGCTGTACAGGTCGACATACAAGAGGTCGAAGGCGGGTTCCAAAACCGCCGACAAGAATAAGGGCTGTGAAGACAGTGACGTTAGCGCTGGCTCCTGCATTGGCCTATGACCAATTCATGGCTTCATGTATAACACGTACCCTTCATATTGACTGATGGTTAATGGTAGGAACAGCTATTCCGATGGTCGTAGGGAAAGTCGACGATCTACCAGGGTCCGAATGTGGACTTTGAGCGAGTGTGTATATGTGTGGGGAGAGGAAGAGAGGGAAGTCGGAATTATATCCTCAGGGGGGTTTGAGGTCGTAGAAAACGAATGCCTCAGGGATGCAAGGTAAAATGGACGTGGGCTGGACACGACCACAATTCAAGATTAGAATGAGGAAGGAATAAGAGCCGCAGGGACAGGAAAAGGCGGCGAAGGAAGCGGTAGATGGCGTGACAAACGTGTGAAGGGCGACAGACGATCAAAATCAATTGAATCAAAGACGAAGGAGGGAGTGTGATGATTATTATTCTGGCCCAAAGTTAACACGTACTGGGGGGGAAGCAATTGGGGGTTTCCGGTCGATACAACCCCTCGATGGCCACAGCGAGGCACCAAGTACCGGTACTTGCGGGATACCGAGCCATCAATCCACCTACGGGCGCTTTCTTCCCCCTTATTCTCGCTTGAAATCTTTCCCGAAGAGAGAAACCTGACAACTCTGGAATCTCTTTGGGCCGCCCCACTGAAGCCGCCAACTAACCAGTGCACCCGTTCGAATGGTGGTGCAAGTCCAGTGGTCCCCACTGCTCCGCCCAGCGCATTGCGTAAGGCAGCGACACGCTATGATACCGCTTGTCTTTTGCAACCGCTACAGACAACATGTACTTTGGAGTATTGTATACACGGGGAACAGACTTCTGAGACCCTGCGTGTACTCGTATGTGTGTGTGCCATCTGATCAGTTTTCGTTTCCCATCTTTTCTCTCCCCACCATAACCCCCCCGGTCACCCATCCCTCCTCCTCCTACCTTGGCGTTCAAAGCTTTTACTTTTTTCACCTGTCCAGTGTGGCTGAGAATCGGAAAGTGATGGCTGCATTGGCTGCAGGGGGATGTGAAAACGCACCACCTTTCACAAGTACGGACTCTAGCCCACAGCCTAAAAGGAAATCAGCTCGACAGTTAGCAGCAATAGTAGTAGCCGGATCCCTCATTTCCTCTCCTCCCCTGTTCCCCAAGCCAATCCACAAGAAGGAAGGCGCATCTGGTTAGATGTGGAGAGAACTCCTTCCACTTGATACAATGGTCCCCTCGACTGCTCTGAAACATGCACTTGAGAGGAGACGGCGTATCTGGCAGGTATCGCTTCCCGTTCATGTTCGAACCCGTTGACCCGTCAGTTGGAATTATCGCCAGGGCACAGGGGCATGTCCACTACAGGACTCGGATCCGACTCGTACAGCGCTTCTTCAGATACAACAACATCCAACGTAGCATCAGGCGAAAAGCAAAAGGACCCTGCATGACCAAGGTCTCGTAAATCCCACTGATACGAATGGCCTGGAAGAAGAAACGACGGTGCTAACTCGACGGTTTAAGTTTAACAACTTTTTTTTAGCTGAATTTTCGCCCGCCCTGTCAAGACCCTTCTACTCGTAACGACGTTACAGTCCTAAGCGTACCAAACTAACGGCCACAGCCATCCCGAGGGCAAATATGGTCAGCCTGTCAGCCAACAACGCTTTTACCGAATCCGTCGAATTCTAGCTATAAATAATTCCTAACCGTATTACGGGGTTCTGTCGACCTAGTGCGCTGAAATAAAAACAATGTCAGCGCCGTCGTCGATTCTACAGGAGACTCTTTGATATTTCTGCCCATCCAGGTTCATTGTCTTTTTGCCTGTCTTGACGCGATGCGGGTGCAGCCGGGAGCGAGGGAGAGGGAGAGTGAGAAAAGGCATTGTACCCGATCGCCCAGCGGCGTTCCACGAGATTGTTGAATTGCCGGATTTCCCAGGCAGTGAATGCGTGTTTGAATCTCGGGTTATGACTGGTGCTATTATATCTGGCTCATGCGCTGGTCTAGTGAAAGACCCTGAACTGCGGTGTACTTGGGTAGTCACCAACCCAGTGCCACCTTACGGTACACAAAAGTCGCTTCCCCCCACCAAAATTTAACGTTTCGTTAGAAAGCTACCCGCCATATGTAAGGAGGTCAAGCCAAGAAACGCCGCTTTGGCCATCTCCCACACAGTAGTACCGCATAACGTAGCTTAGTGAAACTAGCTCAGGACATAGTTAAAGGAAATACTCCGCACTATGTAAATGGGTGCGTCTCAGAGATGGTCCGATACAGTAGGAAGCGATTAGATGCATGAATCCTACCCTTGCGGCACTCTTTTCCCTTGTCATATAAAAGCTTTAAGCTCTTCGTGCGTTTGTTGGAATTGTTATACATCAACATTGGTCACGAGTTTCGAACTCGCCGCAAAGACTGACCTTGCCACAGTAAAGACGATTGTCACTCACCACGATGGAGTAAGAGTCCCGTCACTGCGTATCTGGAGGCAACTCTTCCTCCATCATGTGCGATATTCCTTGCAATTTTTGCCGCTTGGCCTTCTTCTCCCTCGGTCGTATTGTAGGCCCAACGAATTGCATCATCCAGTTTCGCACACGTCGAACCTTGAGCATCTGCGGATGCTGATTGACATCGTCCTCGAGATCACTAGGTGTGTATGGGCCAGCCACATCCTCTAGATCAACCACGTTGCGAAACAAAAGGTCTAGTTTCGTGAGATCTTTGCGCAAGCTCTGCCCGTACACCTTGCCCATAAAGGTGCCCAAGGCGACATTACGCAAGAGAATAATATCCTGAGCGCGAATGCCATGAAGGCATGCCCGCAGATTGTCCCGTGCATTGACCGACGAAAGCCAGAGATTGATGCCAAACCCTGTTTTCGTCTCGTCTCCTACTAGCAGCTCAACCATCTCAACCTCGTGCCCTCCACGACGAGTTCGGATGGTACGGGGAGGTGCAATAGAGAGCACCCCGACGATCAAATTTACCGTCATGGTCTGTGGGGCAATCGACTCGAGATACTTGGCATTGGGAATATCTTCCAAGTCGCTGAGATGAGTAGCCAGCGGCGCCACAGTAGCAGGCTGGCGGTCACGAACAGAAATCTCAGACTCTGTCATAAAAGATGAATCTGTCGTAGTAGTCATACTTGTGTGGAATGAGGTAGTCTGTTGCGACGATAGCGCACTTTCATGGACAGCAAAGGAATGCTCGTAGAACTGGGACAAAATATCTTCCTCTGTTAAGAGGGAAGTTTCATCTCCTTCAAAGGATACATCCTGGCTGGCTCTCGAGTAATATGATAGCTCTGTTGAGGTAAAAAATGACGTGGTATCTGGGTCTTTTGCTCCGGGAACATGATAAGCGGTAGCAGATAGCTGATCGTCCTGACTCAAACCGGACGGGAGATGCTGATGTGCGAGGGACAATATCCGCCAGGCCGGGAGTGAAGAAGCCTCATACGAGGCTCCAAAATCCCATGATTCGTCAAAGTGAGGCGTATATTGATAGGCATCCCAATCAAGTGACGCCGACGTGGGAGCACCGGCAAGCACAATCACTCGGCGACGCATAGATGCCATTCATTCGTCTCTCATTGGAAATGACCTTTCGTCAGGACGGCATTGGTTGACACGTTTGAGTTGTGAAACACGGAGCATATAATACACACACGATGTAGATTCTTCAACGTGTTACTCGTGACACAAAACTAATAACGTGTAAGCAGTCAGAACCTTCATTCATCTTGGGCCAGTGGACCTGCATTCTCGGATATTGTTTCTTAATTTGTTCAATAGATAGGTGATACTTATCTGGCATTGTAACTCTTCCTGTGCCAAAATGTCGTCAAGCGGACCTGCTACAAGTCACTCAGTGCTACTGTAACAATCAGAAAGCTACATATCTTCTCGGTCCAAAGCCCCGCAATCCCGAGGCATGAAGTCCGAGCACCGAGATAGCCGCACCCAATCCATTTTAGGCAATTTCACACAATCAGATAAATAATGCCCCGTCACTCTCCTCCACATTACATATCCTTCACCAGGCAACATCAGTCATACTGCCATATTGCCAAGTTATTTGGAGCATTCATTCTTCTTTCTATTCATCATTATATGAGCGTCAATTGACTGCTCGAGGATAAAATCGGCCCTTAAAACGTGCCAGTCGACGGAGAAAACGTCGCGCGGACACATTCCGCCCAGCTGCTGGATCAGATAACGCACGTCGGCGGAATTTGGACCTTTTAGGGACGCTTTCTGTCTCAGTCATTATTGAATCTTCTACCTGAAGAGGCCGAATTGCCATAATGACTTCTTCCTTAAAAGGTCTCGTTAGTCGCGGAGCAACCTTCATCAAAACGGGCTCCTTCCACAACAATAAAAATGCCACGGGCATTTTCCCCGCCGTAGACCCCGAGGTGGATGGCCCCGATTGCGATAAAGATTGCGCCAGTTGCACTGTCCGATATCCGTCGAAATTCAAGATTGATGAAGAAGACGAGCTATACGGCCATATCAAGGGATGGGCAACCCAAGTCCTTGTTGCAACCGGCAAGACTGACTGGGTGCGCGACGTCGAGGATGAGAAAGGGAGTGTCATGGAGGCCTTTGGAAAAGCAGCCGGACCAAGTAATGGCGTATGTTGACTCTTCCTCTCATTTTTACACTTTTCTCACGGTTTTCGCTCCTGTCGTTACATACTTCTCGATGAGAGGCAAACAAAAACACGAAGTACTAACCTCTTGACAATCTAGCGTCTCATGCTCTCTGCATCCAACATGCATACCCCGGACGAATATCACGCCGCACCTGAGGGTCGACAACCCACTACTATCCTCCTCCTTCCCGCGTTCACCGTTATCGAGCATGTCACGCCTCAGGACGTTCCCCTTGTCATTCAAAACTACATCAATCCTGCGCCAACTACTACTACACCTCTAACTGCTCCGATCACAATTCCTTCCCCAGCTCCGGACAGCAAACTCACTTCCAAACCTTGCCCGCACAAATACTTGATTCTGCTGTGCTCCCAGAAGACCCGCGACGCACGATGCGGTCAGTCTGCTCCCCTTCTTAGGAAGGAGTTTGAGCGACATCTCCGCCCGCTTGGCCTGTACCGCGACCTTGACGACGAGAGACCAGATGGTGTCGGAATATACTTTATCAGTCACGTCGGTGGACACAAGTATTCTGCAAATGTCATCATTTATCGCCGTGCTGATGCAGAAACTGCTGGCCCAAGTGACTTTGTGGCGGAGTCGAATGGAAATGGTGCCGCTAACGGCGCCGCTGCGGATGGAGACACCACAAATGCAAAGACTGCAGAAGCTGGAGCAGGACAGTGTATCTGGCTTGCCCGTGTTAGACCGGAAGATTGCGAGGGCATTATCAAGTACACCATTTTGCAAGGCAAGACGGTGAAGCCTGAACGCCAGCTTCGTGGTGGGTTTGATCGTGAAAAGGGTCTCACAAGCTGGTAGAGGTTGATGCCCCCAGAACGCATCCAAGCCTGTTTTGTCTTTATCGCTTTTCAGTTGCATCCGTCCCGCTGTCATGGGGCGATAGTCAAGGATATGGATTTCCCTTGGCTCTTTACGCTCTCTTCTTCTGAATTAGGATTTGCTGAGCGAGCTATACCCCCACCAGTTTCGAAGCCTTGTCCAACAGCTTTAGCGTTTTGCTAATTATGCAGCATTCTCATTGCTAGATCAGGAATGAACGATACTTGCACGCGAATTAGATTACGACACAATAGTCAATACAGAATAATGACAAATTCAAAATATTCATTTACTAAATAAATCGGAGATTCAAGTAGTCAGAGGAGGGTTGAGAAGTGTCGGGATGTAACCCTGTAAAATGCGGTAAGCCTTGGCACTGTCGATGATCAGCCAGCAGCAAATAAAAACTTGAGAAGTCAAATGGAGATGAATTATACCATTATACCATATGCATGTCACTATGCGGTCGTAATCTGTGATGGTCGTATCCTTTCTTTGCAGACTCTGATTCATGCTGGGAAATTCCAATAAACCTTACTCTCCAGCCAGGAACGGTACCTCTGCACGACCTCCACGTGCCTCGTGTCCTGGTCAAGATCATGTATCTCAAAAGTTTTCAATCCTCTGAGATGATGAATCTTATTGAGTTTCAGGAAAGCCGCCTGTTCAAAAGCCGCTAGGTCTTGACTGGTGAGCGTATAAGTCAAGCTACGAGCTAGAGCTCTTGAAGCCCACTTCCTCTTCTCTTCTTTGGTCAGTTTCACAATTGTAGATCCAAGGTCCTTAAAGTAAAGACGAAGATGTTTCAGGCTTGGATAATTCACGAGATGGTTGTCATAGATTACGCGGACTAGGGTTGGTTGGCAATGGTTGTAATACTCTCCTCTCGCTGACCTGAGACGGTGAGCAATACTCCATGAGATTTCACGATCGTAGATCGACAAGTCAGAAATATATGCGCGGCGAACAGCACCAATGTTGTTGGTGAGAATGCTCAACTGGCTTTCCCCACGCATGACGAATCTGTTGCAGCGGTAGAAAATCGAAACTGCCTCCGCGTGAATCTGTCGAGATACCTGGAGTAACGCAAGTCCAGATGGAGTCGGTCTTTGACGATACTCAATGCAGTGATTGCGGCCTGATCGAAGATTAGAAGTCGGGATGCGGACCAACGGACCAATGTCGTGCTCGAAACAGAGATGATGCTTGTACACTTGGTATCGGAGCTCTGGCGGAAGCTGCATGAATGGGAATGATCCTCGCCTTTTGTACCCTCCGGGTAAAGGGGGGTCCTTCAAGTCTGTAAGCCATTTCCCCAGTATTTCGGGGTTGGATAAGCCTGTGATCGTAAGATCTCGCACTCCTCGTAGATCGCGAAGATACCGTAGGCCTCGAAGAGTAGTGATCAAGGGTGCGGTGAAGTCTTTTGCTTGGTCTGGTAATGACCCCGGAGGTGAGTGCAGGCACGTTTTGTTTTCGAATTGGCTGGGAACGTCGATTATAAGCTCATTCAGGTAGTCTGCCTGCTTCAGAAGCTTGAAAGCGCTATTGGAGAAGAACCCGCGATAGTAAAATGATATTCGACGAACTAGCTTGCGTTGATCCCGTATATCAGAAAGAAATGCATAAAGTCCTTCAGTTGACTGGAAATGGAAAACATTCTCGCCGTAGAATATCTTTGATGATTCGTGATACACGGTTCGGCTCAACCGGAAGACGTTGGAAAGGGTATTTGAAGGATACTCGTTCACGACTCCCGGCTGAATCGGCCTCTGCCAGACAAAATGATGACGGTAAATACGTTGACGAATCTCCAGCGGAAGACATAGAAAGCAGTGCATACTGCTGAGTTGCTCGATCTCATATGGGACAAAAGCGTCAGCTATGCAACGGTTGTCTCGCTGCAGACACGCACTGGGAGTCTTAAGATGGCCAAGTTCTAAACGCGAGATAAGTAGTATCTACACACTGAAGAGCGGAGATAGTTGGATAAATAATGTAGCTTGAGACCGCATGGACTCTTCACACGAGTTAGCGTATTTCAGAGAAGCAAAAAGCGTTTCGGATCTCAGATATATAATTATTCGCAGATCAAATCTCGATCCTTCGAGAGAGAAAATTCAAGCAGAATTACATGCGAAGAGAAAACTTCACATGAAGAGAGATCCTGTTCGCTATAGACATCTAAAGATTTGAGTGTCGGAGTCGAAATGTAGCTTTTCATAACTGACGTCGAGTAGAATATTCCAATAATTTGGCACACCAACATTGCCCCAACAACTGCATAACCAATAATAGATCCAAAAAGCTGAAAGAAAGAATAGAGCAATCATGTAGCATTTTGCGTCGAGTTTCATAAAACGTAAAACAGTTCCTTGATTGAAAATCATCACATGCTCGAAGTTCGAAACTGAGGCAAGAAACCGGGGGGAACGCGGCAAATCTGTTCAGACGTGATGTAAACGGAGAATAAGACAAAAAGGGCTACAAAATGCTTATCCTTCAAATTAGCAAATTGAAGGATTGAGAAAGCCAAGGGAGAAAGTTGTTCTTGATTTTTGACGAATAAAATCTGGTTAATGACAGCAAGAAAACACAAGAACAATGCAGATGCGCCTCGCACAAACAGTGTTTGCAGGCCGAGACTCCCTAATATGGTCCTTCTATTTCTGCTTAAGATCTTTTGTGACCTGTGAAATCAAGAACATACTTCAAGTGATAGCTTTTCGTCAGCGGGTTGGGTCTTTGGCCAAAACAAAAAGGGGACAAATTAGCAAGACTGAAGTGGGCTGGAAAAGCCGACAACTCGACACGGTTCTAGTAAGATGATAACGAGTATTTCAGTTGAAATCAAAATAGGAGGATACACTTAGCACTCAAAGGACGCTGAAGGGCAGTGCGATGTCGAATACTGGAAAGAGGTTTGCGAGGTGCGGCGCAGCAACGGCAGATGACGTTGAACCGTCCAGGCTGCGGTATGTCGTCGAAGCGAAAACCACCTCTTGATGCGGATTTGAAAACGTCCAACGATTTCGATAACAGTGAAATCTCACACCCTCATTCAATTGGCGATATGTCTGGTATGTAATGGGAGGGGTAAATCTTGCCTCCCAAAAGCGCAACTACATGGGCGAGGGAGGTAAATTCATCCCGAACCTACGGGAAGGAATTAGCTAGACACAGAACACAATTACGGATAGACGCGTGACGCGCTCGTACGTCTTTAATGTTTGATGAAACCGTAAAGTCAAGTATGTATAATTATCTGGATATAATGATATCAAGATTACTACAACTATTGCCTCGCCGGCGCCATTTTCATGGTGTTGCTTCAATAGCTCCTCCCCTCAGGACATCCAGTCTTCCATCAAAGTCAACTTCTAATAGTGATACCTAATATCCACGATTGAAAAGAATACACAGTGCTAGGCAGAATAAACACGTAAATTACAGGCGTACTTTATGGAAAAGAAAAAAAAGAAAGGGAACCATCAGATACACCCAAAGCCCTTGCGCGCATCATAACCATGCATGCAGAAAGGATTTAAAGACTTATTTACTCTCCCTGGTATTTCTCCTGGAAGACAGAGAAAGCGTCGTTCAGAAGATCAGCCTCCTCCTTAAGGTGCACTGGCTTCAAGCCAGTAGCAACTGAAGCACTGGGGGCACGACCGGCATAAAGGACGTGCTTGCGAGTGTGGTGCTCAGTGGCGTTGAGCAGGGTCTCAATACGAGGCTGCACGAAACTCCAAGCACCAGCGTTCAAGGGTTCCTCCTGGCACCAGACAATGTTCTTAGCGTTGGGATACTTGTCGAGGTTTTCCTGGAGCAACTTCCACGGGAACGGGTGGAGCTGTTCAATACGAGTAATGGCGGTGTTCTTGATTTCATTGGCCTCTCGGTGCTTGCTGAGCGCAGCGAAGACCTGACCAGTGCAGAGAATGACACGCTCGATATTCTCAGGCTCCTCAATGGCCTTGCCATGCTCGGCATCGGGGATGATCCACCTGAAGTGAGTGTCGCCAATGAACTCATCAATGTTCGAGCGGGCAATGGGATGACGGAGCAGAGACTTGCTGAAGAACATGATGAGAGCTAAAACAAGAAACAGTTAGTTCTCTAACAGTTATAGTTCCAATTTATTGAAGGATAATAACTTACGTTTTCTGAACTGTCTGTGCATCTGTCGGCGAAGGCAGTGGAACAAGTTGGCGGGGCTAGTCATGTAGACAATCTGCATGTTGCAGTCCTGGTGTTGACGCTGAAGTTTTTCAGGGGAAGGGAAGAAGCGAGGGTCTTCATTGCAAAGTTGCAAGTAACGCTCCATTCTGCCAGACGAGTGCTCGGGACCTTGGCCGTCGTAGCCATGAGGAAGGGACATGACGAGACCCGACCGCTGGAGCCATTTAGTCTCACCAGAGGCGATAAACTGATCAATAATACACTGAGCGTTGTTGGCAAAGTCACCAAACTGGGCTTCCCACATAACGAGCGCGTCGGGAGAAGAAAGCGAATAACCATACTCGAAACCGAGACTGAAATCATTAGTTGAAGAAATCACGGGACCAATTAGAATAGAACTTACGCGCCGTATTCGCTCAACGAGGAGTTGGAGATGACGAAGCTTCCCTGATCAGGCTTGATGTGCTGAAGAGGGGTGTAAGTCTTCTCGCTCTCCTGATCAACCAGAACAGCGTGACGTTGAGAGAAAGTACCACGCTCAACATCTTGACCAGAAACACGGACGTGGTGACCCTCGGCAACGAGGGAGCCCAATGCCAGAGCCTCAGCGGTGGGCATGTCAATGCCCTTGCCCTCATCGCACATCTTCTTACGGTTGTTGAGGATACGCTTGAGGTTGCGGTGAACAGTGAAACCTTCAGGCGGACCGGCGATCTTGTCACCAATGCTTTGGATAAGCTCTTCAGATACAGCGGTGGGAAGGTGAGGCAAGACTTCGGTTGCAAGCTCCTTAGGAGACTTGAAACCGTTCCAAGCAGAGGTAAGCCATTCGCGCGCAGTCGGTTGGTAGTCCTTGCTGCGAGTGAAACTGTCTTCAAGCATTCCCCAAACCCACTTTTTGTGTTCATCGATGTCCTCCTTGGTGAAGGTTCCCTCATCGAGAAGCTTCGTGACGTATCTCTGAAGTTGAGAGACTTGAGAGCTAATGCGCTTGTACATCAGAGGCTGAGTGAAAGCAGGCTGATCAGTCTCGTTGTGGCCCTGCTTCCGGTAGCAGACAATATCGATAACAACGTCCTTCTTGAACTCCGCTCTCCAATCGGCAGCCATCTGGCAGACAAAGTTCAAGGCCTCGACATCATCGGCGTTGACGTGGAAAACGGGGGCCTCGATGGCCTTGGCGATGTCCGAGCAATAGGGGGTCGAACGAGCGAAACGGGGATCCGTGGTAAATCCAATCTGGTTGTTGATGATCAAATGGATGGTTCCACCAGTCGAATAGGCCGGAAGCGAGTGGAAGCCCAAAGTCTCGTACACGACACCTTGAGCGGCAAAGGCAGCGTCACCGTGGAGCAAGATACCCATGGCGGTCTTGAAGTCCTTCTCATCATTGTTGTAGTGCTGAATGGCTCGGGTCTTTCCGAGAACAACGGGGTCCTCAGCCTCCAAGTGAGAGGGATTGGCGACGAGCGAAAGCTGAACGCGCTTGCCAGAAGGAGTGGGACGCTCAAAGTTCATACCCAAGTGATATTTGACGTCTCCAGAACCTTCATCACTGGGCTCTTGAGTACCAGCGAACTCGCTGAAAATGGACTCGTTGGGCTTGCGGACGACGTTGCTGAGAACGTTGAGACGTCCACGATGAGGCATACCAATAACGATATCCTTAACACCATAGTCGACACTGCGGTCAATCAAGGCTTTCATGCCAGGAACCAAGCTTTCACCACCCTCGAGACCGAAACGCTTGTCGTTAGGGTACTTCGTGGCAAGGAAAGTTTCAAAGCTAGAGCTCCAAATCAAACGGTCCAAGATTCTGCGACGCTCGTCGACCGAGTATTTGTACGGCTGGGGGATCTCAATACGGCTGCGAATCCAGTCGCACTGTTCACGGTCGGGAATGTGGATATATTCAATACCATAAGAGCCGCAATAAATCTTCTCACACGTAGCGACGATCTCACGAAGAGTCATCTTCTCTTTCGTATCAGATTTGAACCTAGGCAAAATACCAGGACCAAGAGAGTACTCAGTATCCAGGTCCGCCTCCGTGAAGTTGTAGTGTGAGAGCTCGAGCTCCTTGGGCTTGCTGTAACCAAAGACCTCTGCATCACCACGGATGCCAAGAGGGTCGATCTTGGCCTTGTGATGTCCACGGGCCTGGTATGCCCTGACCAACAGTTGCACCTTCAAGTGATTGGTAACGTCTGAACCCTGGCCGGCAGCCATACCCGGAACGAAGCTAGGGACACCTCCTGCGGGAGGAGGGACGATGGTTGGCGGGGCTTGGAAGGCCTGGGACATTGGCATATCGCCATTCTCCATGTTCTTAAAGTAGACCTGCCAGGAAACGTGGACGCTGGCAGGATCCTTTTTCCATTGCATATACATCTCATCAACGTAATTCGCGGTGTTTCCTTGGAGGAAGGAGTCATTAGGATCCTAGTCAATTCAAATGTCAATGGCGATAATCCCAAACTTTTCTTGGTTACATCAAGTTGAAATCTTGAGTAGTACGGTGAGATAAGACATACAACACCCTTGGTGGTCTCCTCAGCGGGAGCTGCATAGTACCGCTTCTGCGAGAACCGGTTCGCGACGGCCATAGCCCTGCGTTTTGAGAGCAACGATGAAGCACCAGATCCTCGAGTGGCGCATCCTGGCACCGAACTCAAGGCGCGAGTGCAGCAGCCGCCGCCAATTAGGCGGCTGCTGGACCTCTGCATGGACATGCGAAGCATTCTGAATCCCCTCAGTGAGCTAAGGAAAACAGAATGAGCAATTTATCGTGTCATGCAAGTCAATTGATCAAGAGTAAAAGGGAGACCCTCTCGAATTTTGCGGAAGGTTGAATTTGGAAGACTGGTGTAGTCTGGAGCTTCTCCTTGCGGAGATGGGATTTGACCTTGGCTAGTTACTGTTCAGCCGTAACCGAATAAAGCCTCAACAGCGACTAGGCGTCGTGGAAATATCCGAAATGCGCCAAGCAACCAATCATATGCAGCTCTTTACGTGAGCGAGCGTCATGGGATATTAATGTCACGTGCACGACTTTCCTAATTGAGGCGTCGCAGATATATTGAAAGCAGCAGAAATGTGTTCTGGATATAACGTTAACAATATATCTAGCAATTCAGATTCAGGATCAAGCCCTTTATTCACAATTTCCCTTGAGATGACACAACTATAATTTGGCCATATCCAATCATTCAGCCTTACCGAGGCAATATCAACCAGTCAAGCCATTTGTTCCTTCTGCCCGCGCAAATAATGTTGCATTTTGGTGTCTCCAGTAAAGACACTATCAGATTGAGTAGTGGAATAGATTACGCTATCCCGTCGGAGGATTGATCAATTAGAACTCTCTGCTAGATGCCTAACCCGACATTCCCCGTAGTTTCACGATAACTTTAGCTCTGGATTCTCGAACATCAGGGTGAAATTTGCCAAGAATGGATCTTCAATGATTATCTAATATTCTTTATCTTATCTCGATCTAAATAGCTTGGCTGGTTGCGGCGCGACTGGGGAGGCGACAATAATAGACAAGCTCAGTGACAGGGACGTAAGAGCCTCAGAGTGAGCTGCTTGAGGCAAATGGCTACTCCTCGGGGCTCAGCTACTTACAAAAAGAGAGAGGGCACTTTATCTCTTTCTCAAGACCATCAATATGTGTCCTGGACGCCTGTGGCACCTCCTGGTGCCTCGCCCGCTTTGACACTTACAGTAGCTACCATCACGAGTACGTTCTTGTCCGGCATTCCCATGAAAATTAGGTGTGAGGATAATTATTAAAATGGCCAAGACCTTCAGCAGACGCCAGCGACCAGCGAAAAGGTGGCTCTTCGAATTTTTACGCAGCCACAAGGGGCAGCGGCGCAAGAGCAGCATGTCTTTTCTTTCACCTCCCGCACGGCTGCCCGAGCAGAGGCAAATGCTATCAAGGACGCTCTCAGTGCTTCAATTCAAACTGCAAAATCCGGATCGCAGACTCCAGCTGCTGCAGGTGGAGGTGGAGGTGGGCAGTCTGCGGCAATGGCCATCGCTAGTGCTATTTCATCAACAGCCCAAGGCACCCGTGCCATAGAGAATTGGTTCGATGACTCGAGGCTAAAGAGTGATGTCGAGCTTCAACAGTCGCTACTGAAGTCGGATCCTGGCCTCCAAAAGACCTTCGTGGAAGCTTTGCGGACGAAGCCAGAATCTATCACGAATTTCCAGTTTACGTCACAATTCTGGTCGACTCGGTTACATCTTCTTCGCGCTCATGCGGTTGAACGCAATCAAACAAGAGGCTCGCAAAACGTTCTATCGACTATAAAACCGAAGACTATCGATAATGCTCTTCGGTTGAATATTACGAAGGGCCAAATCCAACAGATCTTCAACCAACATCCACTCGTCAAGCGCGCCTATGATGAAAACGTTCCCAAGGTCAGCGAAGAAGCTTTTTGGTCGAGCTTCTTTCAGAGCAGGCTTTTCAAGAAGCTTAAAGGGGAGAAGATTACTGAAAATGACCCTACGGATCCTGTTCTTGATAGATACCTCAGGGAAGACGATCAAGCATCACGGCTGCTTGGAGAAATTCATGTGCCGCATATCATAGACATAGAAGGAAACGAGGAGAACCATAGTCAGAGAAGAGGAAATCTTCCCGACTTGACCATGCGCCCAAGCACTCACGAGAAGGTTCCGATTTTGAGAGCTATAAATCATCAAAGTGAGATGCTTATGCGTCAAGTCGCTAAAATTGACGTCGACCCCTCACAACCAATTGGCATGGATGAGGTAACTTTTAATGAATTGGCACTGCGTGACCTGCGAGGCGATGCGGAGGAGAATCGCATTATTCTGAATATCAAAGATCAGAAGCGCTTCTTCTCGGATGCAGATGAAGATCAGGTGTCTGCAGATGCTTTACTCTACTCACGCCAGGATCCGAGCGAAGTCTTAGGTGGACTTCGGATGGACCTGGATCCCGCTCTCATGGAAAGTGATTCAGGAGGTGGGCTGGACCTTGAAAATGCACTTGGAGTTAATGATGATTCCGAAAGTGAACCAGAACATGATGGAGATAAGACCTCTCATGTTGGCAGCAAAGCCAATCTAATGGCCGCTAGCTCTCAGATATTCGACGCAATTAAGCAACGTCGTTCTCAGACAGACGATTTTTCTTCCACTGCACTGGGGTTTTCTACAGTCCAGGCGTCTGCGGCTGGTCTCTCTCCGACACTATTCGATCGATTGTCGCTGACTCATGCTACCACAACTGAATTCTTGCATTACTTCTGGCTTGTATTTCTTTCAGGCGATGCTGATCGCGCTGGAGAAGTGGGTCAGATGGTAGAGTCACTGAAGCGAGCAATAGAGAGAGTCAAAGCCGTCGCTAATGACGCTGAAAAGGAAAGAAATATAGAAGTCGAAACCCTACAGAAACAGGTAAGGGAAAGAGAAAAGCGGACTGGCAGGAGAATAAAGGCCAATTTCGATTCCATTGGAGGAGGCGCAAAAGTAGTCAACGAGATGCTGGGGCCCACGGTACGAGCAGTCGACGTTGCCTTAGCCGAGTACAGCAGGGCTTTGGCCGCGGAAGGACTTGAAATGGCACGATAAATCTCATGCGTTAGAACACAGCATTAATCCAGATTTCAAAAAAGCGAAAACATAGCGACGGCGTTGTCACGGGGCTTTTTGTACTTTACTTTCACTATGAGCGCGAAATGAGTCGCCGATGGTATGAAATTTGATCGATACCTTTCAACTCTCTCATTCCAAAAGCACTTATCGTTTACGTACTTCTTTATTCAATCGCTAGCCTTCATACAGTTGTTTCCAAAAGGACCCCAAAAGCTCTAAGACCGTGCGTGTATAGCTTTGCTCCTCTTCGAGGTTGCCAATTACCAAGTTTGGCCTCGTATGTCAATAATAGTTTGGTCGTGGCCGCATTACTCTGATTACGGGTAAAGCGTCAGACTCACTCTCACCGATCCAGCCGCAGCAAAGCCAGCAAAAATCTGCAAGATAACTCCTCACTCGACATTTCCAACAGTCTTTACTCTCGCGTCGTTCATCACTTTGACCATGAGTCTTGCAGTATCGGCTGATTTGACAAGGAGCGTTTGATGGGCGCTGCTGAGGAAGTGGGCCGAATCGAACAGAAGAGGCTTGTTGAACCGTCGGCGCATTTGAACCCAGGCTTTCTCTGCGCCTTTGCGCTGGATCAGGCTCCCTGGGCAAGTTTGCGGACTGAGGGTTACTCGGCAACACTTCTTCACACGGCTCGGCGGTTGGCACCTGTAGTGAGGGTCTCGCAGTCGCGTCTTCGCCCTGCTCTGCTACGTTCACTGCTGCGAATTCTGCGCGGTGGAATGGGTGGTTTTCTAAGCCTCCCGAGAGATAACTGCCAAAGCCGCTCACTGGTGGTCTCCACGCGATCCTCCTCATCATTTGCGCCCGGCCTCTTGAGCTAATTTGAGGGGCACTTGACGATCTCAGTCCCAAGCGCTGCAAGATCCCTCGCTGCGGCGGTATTGACGATACCCGGACAGGGACTTCGATATATGGGAAAGAGGGGCAGCCTGGAGGCGTAGGAACCCTTCTCGGTGGTGGGTAGGGCGGTACGATGGGGTACGGTAATGGTGTGTTGCGCATCCATTCTGCTTCTTTCTCCATCTCCTCCTCAGAGGTTGTTCTTTTTAAATGGAACATTTCCGGTGTTGAAAATGAGCGTTGCCGGCGTGCCAATCGATCCCCTATCTTTTCAGGAGCTCTCAACGTGACTTCACTTTTTTGCTCGGTGATGGTCGACAGAGCCTGAAGGGATGGTGTTGTACCTGGTGGTGATCGTAGCCAAACTTCGTCTTCCCATCTGAAAGGCAAAGCAACTCCTTCATAATGATCTCTTCCGCTTTGAAGGGAGCGGGATCGTGGTGCTGGTGAACAGAAAGACCGACGCTCATGCCATCTTCCCCGTCGCTCCCAATCAATGCTTCTTTGGTAGCCGCGTCTCTGTTCGATGCTGTTTTCTCTCGAGCCGACCAGCTCAGCTAAGGGTATTGAGCTGTCCGCAACCGTCCACTCCGATCCGGATGAATCATACTGCCCAGATGACCTGGCCGTTGGAAGGGGTTGTCCACCTCCAGCCTCGTTTACATTTGGGACATTGTTTGCCTGAGCATTAACTGCGAGAGAGGCTCGTGTCTGTGTCGAATTGGTAGTCTCAAGAAGAGGGTCTCTACTCTTGTCAGGGTCGAGAAAAGCCATCTTTGGTACGGAAGGAATGACTTCTAGAACGAAGCAAATCCATAATATGCATGAGTAGAAAGGATACATTCAGAACATTTCTTTCAAAAGAAATCATTACTCTTACTTGAATGTGAGTTCTAAGGTAATCTCGATTTGGAAGGAACGATGCCAAATTAGCCATCCGGTGCATTGGATAAACACATATGCTGAAAATGGTAGGAGCGTTCATTGACACGAGCCAGATGTGCTTCCACAAAACTCAGCACAAAGCAAAACCGCAATATAGATGCATTAACAGTTTTCAGATACATTAATGAATATTTCCCCCGGGACGAATTCATGCGTCTCGTGTCATAATCTGTTTATGCCTAGGTCACGGTATATAAAACCTATGAGACGGCAACAACGCAGAAAATTAAAGATGCAATTCCTTTCATTACATCATTCTCTAATATGGAAATATTATATGTGCAACACAATAAATCCATGATAGGCGCCTTAAATTGTTTTGATGATCGTAATGATCACCGTGATATTGGGTTGGGCTTAGCAGAGGTGAGAAATAGGGGTAAAAGAGTTGGCGGTACCGAGGACGGTTTACCCCTGCGCTAAACTGATTTGCGCCTCTAGCGGGATTCCAGCTCACCTCTGGCGGCTAATTCGCGTCCTGTTCCCGCCAGGGACTCTCCCCGTAAAGCGATTCCCTGGACATCGTTCATTCGTTGACCTGTTATTGTTGTTCCTTGTCTTAAGATTCCCGCCTCGGTCAAAGAAGGGTGACTCCCGGCGAAAATTTTGGTGGCATATCTTTTCCATTGATCATTTTTGACGGTCTTGGCCAGTCGCGCTAGCAGATCCGTCAATCTAACGATTCAAGGGTCCGAAATCTCCCCAAAATCGGGCTTTCACGAGCCATTACAATAACTTTCAGGCAGACAGGTCTCTGTATTTTGCCTGCATATAATATATTAATTGAGGTGATCTACTTTCCTTCTTTCTGCTATTTCCCCCTTGAATCTGTACCCTTGTGGGTAAGTCCAGTGTGCGATTTAGGCTGATATCCACTTGTGTTCGCCCAGTGCGCCGCTACGTCCTATCTCCCGTGTTTCGCGAGCAGCTGCACCAGCCCGGCACTGCCTCACATTGCGCACATAGCCGCATATAGATGACTAGGTAGTAAACGTAACTGCCGGTTTCGAACTCTAGGAATAGGTTGTCGCAGGCCTACGGTTCACAAGGCGTGATGACAGAGATAGGTTTGCGGCGACCTTTTCGGGAGCTGAGCCCCGAGTCGGACGCACCAATTCGAAGCCCAACATATACGACATCACCGCCACCGCTGCAGCCAAAGGTGCTTCTAGATGCATACCGAGGGCTATTTGCTCAGCAGGGTGGAGCAAATTTGGGCATGGATTCGGTACGTGCTTCTCGAGAAGATGGCTGAGTACACAGAGCTGAATGGTTTCTTTCATTTTCAGGGCCTTTCTAGTCCTAGAACATTAGATCACAATGATCCGGTTGCAATGCATCTATTGGTTGAGACGGCAAAAAGCGACAGTCAGAAATTCAATATACTTCCATTTGACGATGTGGAGAAATTGAAGAAAGAATGCGCACTGGTGTCTTGTCGTGTAGAAGCGGCAAGACGAATGTTAGCGCTGGAGTCAAAAGTACGCGACGCTGCTCTCTCACTCAGTCGATTAAAATCGAGAAGAAACCGGTTCAGCGGCTCTTCTGGCTCCCGGAGCAGTCTTCCTAGCCAGAAAGAAAGCGAGGATGGGTCGAATCAGAAGGATGATTCGTATATTGCAAGCAATCGCAAATGCGAAGAGCTGGCTCAGGAGCTCTGGGGACTTGAAAAGCGTGAAATGGCACTACAAGAACGACTGCTACACCACACTGCTGGAGTGCTTCAAATGACTCATGGCGGACCTGTTCCGAAAGCATCCGGCAATTCCCTTCCCTTCCAACCTAGCCTTCTTCCTGGAAGTCCGGAGAGCTTGTATACGTACCCCAACGGAAGAACCAGCTTGCCTCCGCTTGACGCGGCAATTGATTTTGACAACCGAAGTTTTTATCACGAAGCTGATGGGATTGACGATATCGATGGAGAATTTGGGTCAAGGATCAGCGTGCTGGCAAGCTCTAGATCTGAATCAAGGGCTGACAAACATCCTCATGAATCAGCCGAGAACAACCAGACACCAGACCAAGTTATTGCCGCTATTTCACGATTAGAAGAATTAAATTCTCAATTACGAGAGATCATTGTCAGCTCCAGTCCGGGACACGAGAGAGCTTACTCTCCCCCGCCTCAACATGATCCTCAGGGGGTTTCAGAGTCTAATCTTGAGCTACAACCACAACTTGAATACCTTGAAAAAGGAATTGCTGCTCTGAACACAGCCCAGCAACAGGCTGTGGATGCAGCAGAAGAACGCGATCGAGACATTAATAGGACATTAGACGACTGGCGACACCAATTAAATACCACTGCTATGCAATTGAGTACGGAAAGCTCACAGATTTCTGCACTGCCGGAAATTGAAGGGGCTAGTTTACACGAACGCCTGCATAATTTTGGAGATACTATCAGGTTGATGCAAGAGGAGCTTCAAATCTTTGTAGAGGCGACGCAGGTATCTGCACTTGAATCTGCTGGGCAGCAGGAGAAGACTGGTCAGTACGAGAATGTTCTACTTGGACTCTGGGAGATGATTGGCGCTGGAAACGATAATTTGAACATGCGGCTTGATCCTGGGCTGGCTCATAGCGAGGATGGTTCAAGAAGTCCGGTCGGCGACGATTTCAACTCGACCGAGAAGTTTTCACTCCAAGCATTCTCCACAAGGGTACAATGGCTTTACAGCCGGGCAGCGAGCTTGGAAGAACAAAAGGATATACTGCGACGACAAATCGAACAGCAGCGGGAGCTGGGCAGGAAGACAGACGACAAAAATGATGTGGAAAGAACAAAATTCCAAGATGAGATCAAACAGCTGAAGGTCGCCTTGGAGAATGCTGATTTTGACGTAAGAGAAACCAGAGACGAACTAGTTGCCGTCACACAACAATTGAAGGAAGCTCGTCGCGAGTCCACGCTCATGGAGAAGCAAGCTGGCTTGGAGGAATCTGAGGCTCTTCAAGCGGAGAAGGCAGCTCGGCGGGAGGCCGAGGAGGAATTTCTTAGGGAACTCGAACAGAAGCGCGAAGAGATTTCCCGGATGCAGCTCGAACTGCACGAGCTCACAGATGACGCGGAAATTTCTCGAGCAGAAGCTGACGCAAAGACAAAAGAGCGGGAAGATGCGCTTCAGCGTCTCGAGGGAGAGCACAGGTTCAAAATCGAAGAGAAGGAATCCATAATCCATCAACTTCAGCGAGATCTCGACGCCACGGTCGAAAACAGCGAAAGCAGAATTCGCCAGTTGCAAGAGGAACTAGACACCAAATCCCAAGGAAACCTCACCTATGTCCGCCAACTCGAAACAGATCTCGAAACAAAGATTGACGAAATCCGCCAACGAGAAACGCACGTTCAGCAGCTACGACAAGAGCTCGATACAATGGCCGCAGCCAAGTCCCGTGCCGAAGAGAGCGAAGGCCACCTCGGCGCTCAACTCGCGGAGAAGTCTCAAGACCTCGCCACTACCGTAGGTGAAATGCAACGACTCGAGGGCGAAGTTGTGCGTCTCCAGACCGAAGTCACGGTTGTCAAAGCCGAGCTGGATGGCGCCTACGGCACCCGCGCCCAGCGCGCCGCCGAGGGAGCCGCCAATCCCGCCCTGCAGCGAGACTTTGATGAGCTCATCGAGCGCAACATGTCACTCCTTCAGGAGGTCTCTGAGCTTCGCGTCCAGAAAGACGGCACCTCAGCCAACCTGCGCGACCGCGTAGCTACTCTGGAGAAGGAACTCGCCGAAACGGTGGCCGAGTATGAAGTCTTAACTAAAGCTTCCATTTCATTCGAGAAAGAACGCGAGTCTCTCGAGTCCCTGATTGATGGGTTCCGCGACAGATGCGAAGATCTCGAGGCTCAGCTGGGCGACGAGAAGATCAAGTGGCTTGGCGCGAAGAGCCCTGCTGCTGGCCAGAACGGCTCAGTGAGCGCATCAGTCGGAAGTCCTGGCCCAGTGGAAAACACGAGTACCTCGGTGCTTAAGACTGAGTTTAAGAAGATGATGAGGGCTGCGAGAGCAGAAAATGCCAAATTGCTAAGGGTATGTCTATTTCCCCCCCTTTTTTCCCTCCTCTCCTTCTCCCTTTTCTTCCTCTCACCCTTTTCTCTTATTACTGCATTGCTATGGGATCCAGCAGCAAAACGACACCTAAACTTTCCCGTCACAAAGCTAATCTTGCATCGCAATCAACCACAGGCCGAACAAGAAGAACGCCGCAGACTCGAAGCTCTCGTCCGCTCTCTCCGGCGCGAAATGCCGCCTGGCAAATCCAGCCTGAATCAAACCCTGACGGTCTCGTCGCCGTCATAGTCTTCTCATCTTATTTCTTCCTTTAATTAGCCTGTTTCTGTTCCGCTCCTCTTTCCTATGTTTCTTTTCATCTTCCTTTTTTTGGTTTTTCTTCGCTCATTTTGGCGTGTTTGTTTTGGTTTTGGTTTTTTTTTTGTAATACCAGCATTGTATTACCCCATCTTATCATGTATATTGTCTCTTTTTTTAATTTTTCTTGGTCGATGATTCTGTAGTTTGTACCACTTCAAGATGCTCTAGCTTGGGAAGCTGTCAGCATATCTAAATGCTATTTAGCTCGCGAGTTTTGGTAAATGTCACCTCGGCTTTTTGTCTTTGGCTTTGGCTTTGGCTTTGTCATTTAGGTTTTCCAATTCACAGATTTATATCTTGAATGAGATTGAATACGTTGCAAACACAAACAGATAGATACCTTGACAAGACATGTTAGGTGTATGATGTAGTTTTATTATTATTGCCCGCTTTGATTTGGATGTGTTCATGCCAAGTATATATATAACATCTCATGGTTTATGAAATGAAAGACACAGACATGATGAGATGTAATAGGTCATAAACTCATAACTAATAAAACGAGATGTATGAGTACATTACACACCCAGCAGAACGAGTCTAAAGACATGGAGTTGATGAGTGGATGTGTGAATGATGTAGATTTATTTTCTATGATGTGTAAGATTGATAAAAAAAAAAAAGAGTAGGATAGAAGATGCCGGTATATGTATACATGAACAAGCCTAGACCATATCTGTCAGGATTTGATGAGGGATTCCGAGATAGAATTGGGTGTTCTTCTTGGAGGAAAAAGGGAGGGGAAAAAAAAAAAAAGGTTCAATAGACGTAAAAATAAATTATATAAATTAAAAATAAAAGACAATCATTAAAATTGATTATAATACAATACAATACAATACAATGTAATATAAATTAATATAGTTAAGATGGGTATCATGATAATACACTCGTGGTCAAGTTCGCCCTAAATGTGGAGACGTACAATTGTAGAGTTGGATATAGGTAGGTAGGTAGGTAGGGAGGTGGTAGGTACGATAGATGAGAAGATATGAGGTATTCAAACAGTGCGATACTCATACAGCAATTTTGAGTCCCTTCGTGTGCTGAATCCAGTTGACCAAGGGGGGGGAAAAAAGGACAGGACAGGACAACTTGACAGAATTGAGAGGAGAAAGAGGAGAAGGAGGGAGAAATGCAGTGCTGTGAATGAGGGATTCGAAAGCGACATGTTATGCGTAAAGATATGCAGAATGTGCACATGGGAAAAAGCCATGGATGCATGATATGCAAGAAGAAGAAAATGATGATGATGATGGTAATGAGTACCGACGAGTATAATGCAGTAATGCATAGCATGAATGGGGTTAGATAAAAGTAAATGCCAAGGAGAGCCAAAATGATTTTAAATGAAAGCAAGATCGTTACCGTTTCAGCCAGTCCTTTGACAAAATGAGAAGAAGGAAAAGAAAGAAAGAAAAGCTCGTCCTGTCAATCAGGAATATAAAAGAGAGATCTGACATATACCGATATACATTGTTCATAAACGCCATAATATGTTGATTTCGAGAAAAATCAGCGACCGGGACGAGGGTCGTAGACGGAAGACGAATTGGAAAGGTGTTATAATCTGGGCGTGAGATGGAAAACACCCTTCAAAGAAAAGCAGCAGAATGGTCATAAAAAGGCGTATGGGTCGACAATTATATCCTCCCTCCCTTGACGACCTCGCGCTCGATGATTTCCATGCCACCCATTTCGTCGGTCCGACGGCGCTCCAGGACCCATCGGTCGCAGCCGCTTTCGTCTTCTTCTTTGCGGTATGAGACGCGTTCGGTGCCTGTGCCGCTGTTGCTGCGGTGATGATGATGATGATGTTGTTGCTGAGGAAGTTGGGGAGCTTTTACAGCAGGAGCGACAGACCAGGGGTACTGCGCGGCCGACATGATAGGCTCTGAGATGGCAGGTGATGTAGGCGACAGTATAGGGCTTGTTACAGACTTGTCTGATCCGAACGATCGTCGTTGGGCGCCTGATGTGGTCACCTTGGAAGCAAGGGCATTAGATGCCACTGCCAAATTTGACCCAGGTGCCCAGGAGTAATGTGTCGGACGATCGGCAGGGCTCAGCGCCGGAATATTTGTAGACGGCGTTGCTACTGCTGCTGCTGCTGCGACGGGACTTTGGGCTGCTATCTGATTATAATGAGGATCAAAGCCGGTCTGAAAGCCATGTGCCTCGAGCTCGTCTTGGTCTTCATCACCAGAAAAATCGTACTCGAAGCTACTGCTGGGACTTATACTCGAGGTATCTGGAGCGGCGAGAACATGAGCGTATTCGCTCGGGTTCTTTAGCGAATGGGAATCGATGGTGCCTGGCTGTTGTGGAGAAAGGATGGAAGTGTTGTTGCTGCTGATATGCGCGGACGCACTGGGTTGGCTGCCACCGCTGGCAGCGCTACGAAGACTGCCATTGCTGCCGCCCCAAGCGCCCCGTCTTAGCTTCATGAGAGCACTTAGAGACATTTCCTCCTCCTCAAAGGATGGCGTCATCATACCCGCAAGCTGGGCCAGCCCAGGACTTGGGAGAGCGTGTGCGGACTGCGGCGCACCATGCATGGAGAGTGACACCAAGGAATTCCTGTTGCTGTATTCGCTGCGTTCCGTTATGGGTGTCAGGTTTGGCTCTCGAAACGCTATTCGTCCACTGTGGCTTCGTATGGGCCCGTCCATCCCCCGCGGCCCGAAATATCCTCCGTTGAAATACTCAACGTCAGAAGAGCCGCAATCTTGAGCATAGAAACCAAACTCTTGCCCATAGATGCCCTCAGCGTCATTTGCCAGGGCCTCAGCATTCGCTGCAGCAATCATCGGGTCATCTTCCATTGCGGCATCAAAGTCAAAGTCATCATCTGTATCTTCAAATGCTCCTGGATCTGAGAAGAGAACCTCCTGACTGTAATGACCATCGTCCAGAACAATCCCAGACTTATCGCTGCAGTTTATGGAGTGAGGTGATTGATGCTGATCTGAGGGACTCATCTCGATGCTGCTCCGGCGATCGAATTTGCCTTCAGCAACGGCTTTATTGGCCGCAGCGGCTAAAGCATCATGATAAGCGGCAAGTTTCTCTCTAGCGAGCTGCGCAGGATCGCTCGTGGCAGCCGGTTCCTGGAGAGGAGGAGTCGTATATCCCTTCCCATCGGCTGAAGCCTCTCCATTGAATGATAGAGACGAACTGGGGAGATTTGTATTTACTACAGTGGTACTTCCCGTCGGCTCTGAAGGTCCATCCGGTCCTTCGGAAGCATTGCCAGGTTTGACTCCCGATTTCTTTCGGCTATACAAATGGCTATTCTCGTCGTCAAAGACAGACTCATCAAAAGCGCCGCTAGGTCCTTCAGGTGGGGCTTCGATAAGGCCATCATCAAAGTAGAGGTCGTCTTCAGCTTCCGTCATGTGGGATGTCGCAGTATTGACCGGCACATCCATGTCTCCTGGACTGTTCCCGCCTGGAAGCTGCGAGAGATCGAGATGTAGCCCCAAACCGTGTGCCCCTGAGGAACGCTCAGCTTGCTCAAGGAGGACGGATTCTTCGCCAATGTGCAGAGCTGGTGGAGCTTCATTTGATACAGCCACTCCGATCGCTTTACCGTCATTGTCCAATGGCGTATCCGTGGGACCAGGAAGAGGCTGTGGATCCTGAGGAGACTCGGCGACATGAGGCGACGAAAAGTCGAATTCTCCAAATCCCTGAACGGCCCCTACCTCCCCAATATCGTCCGCATCCACGTCAAACTCAGGTACTTCTTCTTCAAGCACTCCTTCACCAGAGTCGTCAAAATCGTACATGTCTTCAGGTCCGTCATCGAATTCATCGTAGTTGCCATCGGCATCTTGTGGCGCCGCCGCCTTTGTCAAGGCCGCTCTCCGTTTATGCTTCTCCTCCAGGAGCTTTTCTTGGGCCGCTGAGCCTACACCATTCATATCAAAACTAAATCTTGAAGCATTGCTTGTCATATGAGTAGGGAGACCAAGTGACTTGAAACGCGATTCTACCACTGAAGGCTGGCGGGAAGTGGGTTGATGCCCCGTTGAATTATTCTCTTCTCGTCCTGGGTCGCCCTTCGCTGTCACCTCCGCAACAGGAGTCTCACTTTCGGGCATGTTGGAATAAGGTATTTCCGGTGTTTCCGAGAATGGTGTGCCAAGCGTGGGCGGCTGTACCGGTAGATCTCGAATGAGACTAGAATGCGACTGCTGGGCTGAATGCTGATAAGCTTGGCTGGTCTGATGCCACTGATTGTCTGGTGCTGAATCCATGGGTGATGCAACCGACTGAAAGTGTTGTCCCGCCAAAGGATCTTGCTCGCCGTCCAACTTAACTTGTCCATTATCACCGTACGTACTACTTTCGGGACGCGGATTCGATTCGGGCCGGTGTTGCTGGCCAGGATCAGGAGAATTTGCACCGTACGAGATGAATCGTCGCGGACGCGGCGCACTAAAGTCATGAACAACTTTTCCACGGATGCGGGGATCATAGTCATCCGGCAAACCCATGGATGGCATAGGGTAATTCCTGTTATTGACGAGACCATCACCTGCCAAATTGGCCACCGCTTGTGAAGATCTTCTTCGCATGAGAAGTGACATAGGGTTGAGCAGATTGAGCTTTCCCTTTCCCAATTTGTGCGGCTGCGTTGACGAATTTGTTGCTGATGCTTTTGGCCCTCCGGCCGCGCTTCCTGATGACTGCGCCGTTGCCGGAGAGGATGGGCGTCGATAGGCTTGAAAAACCTTGGAAGCCGAAAAAGAGAACTGATTCAAAGGCGGCCGCGGTTGACTTTCATGGCTTGAGCCAGTATGTGTGCTGCCCCGCGTGTCCGGTCGATCCTTGGATTCTTGGGATGAAGACTCGTGAGCTAATGGGTGACCCATGTCATTATGTCTAAGGCCGTTCAATTCATCTGGCACCCTTGAAGATTCAGTCGGCGCTGAGGGACCCTTGGAAAGGTTCACGTCTGCCTGTTGCTCATCGCTTCCCTGGACTGCTGGCCCTTGAGCAGATAATTCGATTGCGGCAGAGCCACGTGGTGGTTCATGCCTCGAAGAGATCCGTGGCGTTGGAGGCAGCACAGGCTGCTTAGGCGATATTGGTGAGCTGGAATGTAAGCTGTCATTGTCTGGGACCTGAGGGGGAGGGACGCCGGGAGCGAAGGGTCCAGTGGTCTGCAAGGGGGTCTCGTAAGCCAACGGCGGCTGCACTTGTGAGGCGGAGCTTGATTGTGTCTTGTCCCGTTTATGATGCGGGCGAAGGTAAGAGAATACAGCCGGAGGTGCCATTTTTGTGAGCAAATTTCCTCCGCATTCGCGACCTCTTGGCAGCGAATCAGGAAATGCCTCCTTTAGAATGGCGGGAATATAATCAGATGGTATAAAGTCGACACCGAGAAATCGAACTGCGAACGAGCTAGGTGGCCATTGAGCGAAGTATTAAAGAAACTCTTGCGTATGTTTCTATCGTCAGAGTAGTATTATTATCGACCACTGTGATTCGAGAAACGATAATTAGCTATGCCTTTGATATTAGGAGTCTCAAGGAGTCTCAAGCTCGTTGAGCATAACCATCAGAGATTTACGAACCTATTTGTTATTGGCAGAGAGAATCGGAATCGATGATTAGGGTGTCAAGGCTTTGTGCATTTGGATTCATTGGAGGTTGTGTTCAAAACATGTCCATTCGGTGTGCGCTGTCCTCGGTCTGGATCCCAATCGCAATGCGCTCTCAAGTATGTGCGGAGGTTGCTTTGCGAGTATTAAGTGACAGTCCTATGAGCCAAATACAAAGAGTGCATTGTCAATGGCCTGGAGGTTCTTTACGATATCCAGACAGAAGAGAAAACAATAACAATTTTGCGGAATGCGGATGTCGACTACCACATGACAGACGGCGGTTGGGGTGGGATTGTCTTCCAGGTATGGAGATAAGTCGTAATCAGCGGGATCGGCTTCAACCAGTTAAGGTTTAATAGCCGACGGGTCGACGCGGGTCGGCACTGCATCTTCACGTTTGGGTATGACAGCATCACCAGAGTTTCCCTCTACACGTCCGGATCATCAGATAGGAATAGCTATTTAGCTTCGTACTTCTCTACGGAAAATAAGAAATGGAAGAAATCAAAATGTTTATGATGCCTATTTAGTATGCTCCCTTTTTACACTATCGAATAAAAGCAAAACTCCGTGCTTGAACAGCAATATGCAAAAAGTCTCGAGACTGTGGGACCTTGATAACCGCAATTTAAAAATTGCCACGGAACTGGTCTAGAATTTGCGTTCCCAACGTTCGTCGCTGTCTCCCTTCTCCTCTATCCCGACCTCCCGCACCGCTTGCTGCTGCCACGGCCTCCTCTCCCTCAAGCCGTCTGCGCAAACCTTCGAATCTTTGTCCTTGAGCTTTGTCTTTCATGAGCCATGCTGGTATCCTCCATTTTGAAGCACCGGGAAGAATTTCGTTTCTCCAAGCGTATCCGACACACCATCCTACCAAAGCCGAAAGTGTGGAGCCGGGAAACGAGGAAAATGCGAGCTGAAAAGCGAGCAAGTACGTGAAGGACTTGGAGCTGAACAATAGAGCTCCAGAGGAAGAAGAAGTTGCAACCTTAAATTGATACATGTGCGGGATCGCAGCATGGTACTGGGCGAGCAAGGAGAATATGATTGGAGTCGGTCCAGCCGGGAGATAATTTGCTCTGTCGAAGCTCAATGGACGAACAACAAGCGCGAGAAGCATTGGAGGGAGGATGGTATTGTATGGAAGAGTAGAAAGGAGAAATGACTATGAAAGATTGTCAGTTCTCACATAAAGACCGTAACGGACTGGTGCGGGGCTTTGTCTGTATGCATACAGCGAACTTCCGCGAGCCCCAAAGACGCTCAACGACACGAAGGTGATAGAGCAACATCGTCGCGAACAGTACTTCGGTCGAATTCGTGTAGCATGTCTATAGAAGCGGAGTATTAGTCTCTGACTACATCTCCAAGATAAAACATTCTCCGTCTAAATAGCACGTAATTCTGCACGTGAAACAGGCTTACCTGCCAGACCAATAACCTCCAACCTTGCTTGTAACGCCATAGATGTGGCACAACTCGGATATAGAACAGATATTTGATATCTGCTATGCTGACCAGAAGAGAAGAAATGACCAAGGCGAAAAGCAGGAATTTGGATATCGGCGCATTGGTGAACCCGGAGGTCAACATCTTGGACGAGTGCCGGGTTTGGCTGTATAATATCAGCTCCAATCAACGGAACCCTCCCAATTTCGTCACCGACCCGAGACGGAATTCCAGATGTACATTGAAATTCAAAGACAGGATCTAGGATCAGGTTAGCCGTCAGGAAATGAATTACGCCGACCCTTTGATCGTTGTCACATAGCCGCATATATGACACGAGACACTCGCAGCTTGTCGATCACTGCACTTAGTGCTTTACCGGGCCACCGTATAGTCGGTCAGTGGCCGTCCCTTGGCCCGAGGGGTCCGCAGGGTCTGAAATGGACGAGGCCGAAACCGACAAAACCCCGAGCCCTTTTGCTTCCAATCCAGCACATTTTTCATTGCACGCCCGTGGAACATAATACTTCTTCCTCATAGCATGATCACTTAGCAGCAAAGAGGAGAACTTCCGATCATAGTGGACGCGAAATGGTTGAAGGTATATCTCTTTCTTCAGTCATGGCTCAATAAGAATGTCATGTCACATCGAGCAGTGGTTATAGCCAAGAAAAACAATGTGTAGAATAACCCGTAAAATTGATTCAGTCCCGTAAACGCTAAACTATAGATGGCCAAAATAAACGAAAATCAGTCATTTTAAATGCGTGTCGCATTTACTGGAAACGCTTCTCAGCAGTCTTCCAGTTGATGACCTCCCAAATGGCCTTGAAGTACTCGGCCTTGCGGTTCTGGTATTGCAAGCTAGAATACTGTCAGAATCGACCTTTTTTCAAGTAGACTCATGAAAAAAAAAAAAAAAATGAAACTTACTAGTAAGCGTGCTCCCAGGCATCGATACCAAGAATGGGAGTGAACTGGCCGACGACAGGGTCCTGGTTCTACATTTACAAAATATCAGTCAGCAAAATTCATTAATCAATGGAACGAGTATCGTGATGAGAACTTACCGCGTAGGTCTTGATGCCAATGTTGCCGGTCTGGTTGTCCTTGACCAGCCAAGCCCAGCCGCTGCCTTGGATGCCGGCCAAAGCAGTGTTGAACTTGCCCTGGAAGGACTCAAGGCTGCCAAAGGTGTCGTCAATGGCCTTGCCAAGGGCACCAGACGGGGGCTCACCACCGCCCTGGCTCTTGGGGGCCAAGTTCTCCCAGAAGAGGCTGTGGTTGATGTGGCCACCCCCGTGGAAGTTGATCAAAGGCTGCAGAGCAATCTGAGCGGCGATGTCATTGCTCTCCTTGGCCGCGGCAAGCTTCTCGGAAGCCTCGTTGAACGAGTTCACGTAGGTTTTGTGGTGCATGTTGTGGTGCAGCTCCATAATCTTGCCAGAAATGGAGGGCTCAAGGGCGCCAAAGTCGTCTAGGATTTATCGAATCAGCATGCACAAAGAAGCCAATTGAAGCCACCTTTCGGCTCCATGAAAGTAAAATGCCTTACAAGCAAGGTCAGGCAGTGTGGCCTTGCCACGAGCAAAAGTCATGCCAGCGACGCCGGCAGCCTTCGGGGTGGAAGCAGCACCGGCGCGAAGGGCGGCGCGGGCGAAAGAAGTGCGGAAGAGAGAGGCAGACATGATGAATTGAAGCAATTAGAGTTTAATAGCGAAAAAATTAAATTGACCACAGTTATGAAGAAGCCTGATAAGTGCTGAGGGGGGTATCTGAAAGTTGAAGAAAAGGTGAGAGTGGGAGGGAAAGCTTTCGCAATTAAGAGCCAATCTGGAAAGCTCCATGCTTATTTATTCTCTCCGGATCCTCATTGGAGCTCCGGTAAAGCACAAAGTGGAGCTGAGCAACAAACGTCATCCTGAATTAACCACATCAACCAACTACGTCAATCCAAACCGACTCCTCGCGTAATTTGCTTTCGGTCTTCGGAAGAGACTCCGGGATAACATCATGTTTTGCTAGCATTGCCATACAACAATAATAATAATCATCTCTTTCAAATTATCGAAGCCTCACTTCTACGTCGAGGCAGGCGCTAGCGGTGACACGCACATTGATACTAAACCAGTAATTGAAAAGAATCCATTTCAACGTGTTGCTGGTATTGTTGCAAAAACTCAATTGGTATATGATACAGATCGCCGTGTCAAACAAAGGCGGGGAGAAAACAGAAACGAAATCATGTCTGATCGTAATCAAGGTGACGCCAATACCCCATGGTGCTATAAAAGTGTAAGAAGATTGTCCCCTGCTTCCAGCCCCTCTGAATTCAAATGATCAATTCAATCCTCACTTCGGCTCTTGGGTTCGTTGGACTAGTGCATATGCTTGCTGCATGACACCAACAGCCGCGCTGCCCATGGTGCTAGCCAAAGCGACCCAAAATTCTAGACGTCAAGCTCGGACGTTTAGTTGAGCCATCCGTAGTTGCGGCTCTTTGCCGCTGAGGCCGCCGGCTCAAGGTTTCCAATGATTCCTTCCCGGCATTTCTAGTGGCAGGAGATCGACCACGCGCGGCTTGGGCCGTCTTGGCTCGTGGGATTCCAGGACGATTTTCGCTGCTCAGCTGTTCATTTGGCAAAGCCATGGTAGGAACCGGCCGAAGAGCAGGCGGAGGGGGCATGCCATTAAAGAAGGACAGGTGACGCATTGCTTCATTGTCGATTTGCGCGTCTTGTCCACTCCGCATGACATTCGATTCACTATAAATGGAGGTTGGACGACGACCTTGCATAGGGGCACGCCCGCGGTCAAACGACCCTGGACGTTTGCTTCCATTTGGCCTCAAGGCAGCACTACTTTGGGGACGAGGATCCAAGCTCGGTCGTCTGAGACCAGATGTCTTGCCGCCTATCATGCTCTTATCTGCCATGGCGCTCGAGTTGGAACGCTTGCGGCCTAGCGAACCCTCCACGCTCATCGTATCAGGAGTGGGCGGAAGTATTTCTGGTCCAAAGAGAAGGCCACCATTCAAGGAATTCTCAATCTTTGATTTCTTGAGTCCGTCTTCAGGTGAGGATGAATATGTTTCTTGGAAAACGGCGCTTGGGGCACGCACTCCCTGTGCCACCAGTGACGAGTTGCGGTAAATAATATCACCGAGATACTGGTAGATGTTGGGATGGGTGAGGCGAAAGGACCTTGTCGGGGTAGCCTTGTCATCAAGGTACTTTCTCGCTCGAGCCAGACTTTGTGCTGCCCTGTCTGAAGAGTCCATTGCAACTGTGGTCCTGACGCTTTCCCGATCAGCTTCATCTGTACCTTCATAGGAAGGCAATGAGGGCGACGAAGCATCCAATGATTGTCGCGGGCTGCTGTCGTTTTCGTCATCCTCATCAGCTTCGCTGGGGGGTTCAGATGACCTCGCCTGGCCGTAGATGCTGATGAAACTGCTCTCACTGAGCACGCTCAATTGCGGTGATTTGGGTGACTGAAGAGCCTCGTCATTCAGAGTGTCCGGGCTTTCGAAAGCGTCAAATTCAGAGACGTTTTTCGATGGCGTGACTTCACCGGCAGAATCTGCATCGAGGTCCAGTTTCCGCAAAGAAGCTGTGTCACTAGACACATGGAGCGAAAGAGGAACTGAAATTGGAGTCTTCGTTGACCCCACAGAAGATGGTTCCAGAAGGGGAGTGTTCAGATCGCCTCGGAGACGGGAGGAGTGCCGCGAGCGGGGGGTGTAAGTAGAGGAGGGAGAGGCTGCAGTCTCGAGGGACCGCGCCGGCATTTTACTGGACTCCAAGATTGAGGCCGCATCTCTCAGCGATTGAGTTCTAGAGAATACTGGTCTCTGGGACGTTGATATCTTTTCTTCTAGTGCGCAAATGAGGTTCACCGCATCATGCACAGCAGCATCCCGCTTTTCCAGCTCGTTCAAGAGCTGTTCATTGATGTCTTGAAGCTCAGAGTTATCTCTTTCGAATCGTTTCAATTTGCTGTTCGCCCTTGAAAGCTCCTTGATCTGAGATTCAAGTCTGCCAATCTTTGCCTTGGCGGACTCAAGCTCGGAGCTGTGGGCGCTCAAGCTCTGTGCCTCCTCTAATTGTTGCTGTAGCGTAGCGGCACGCTCGCGTCTGTGAAAGACTTCGAGCTTCAGATCGAAAACCTGTTTATGTAATTTGGAGATGTGCTATCCAGCGTCAGCTAGTCGTAGAGAGACGAGCATCAATGCCAGCATACCTCATCCATCTGGCGAATTCCCATGCCCCTTGGCCCTGAGACCACCCTCTGACCGGGGGGATTGACTCGCCTGTCAGGCTTCAGGTTTCTGATATCTTGTCTGGGGGCCATTGGAGAGCTCTGTATGAATTGTGCGCTGTCAACAAAGTATGAGTTCCGGTCAAGACCGGAAGAGGGAATGACGTCTGCGCTGCTGCTCCTTCTCCGCCTCTCAGTAGAATCAACACTATGTTGGCTATTTTGTCGCGAAAATTGTTTTCGTTCGCGCAAAAGATTCTGGAGAAGGGCGGATGTTGGAGTGGGTAGGTCGGGGAGGCTCCATGGAGTTGATGGCTGGGATTCGGAGTTGCCATAGTAGTCTGGAGTGGTTGCCCGCGTCAACCGTGGGCGACGGTGAAGAGGAGTCCCCGGAGAAGCTTCCCAATCAGACATTGCGACGGTTCACTTGATGAGGTGGTCTTGGAGAGGGCCACGCCTGGACTGCGATAGGCGATTTGGGCAGTTGTGAAGCGAATCTCAATCGCAGAGTGTCGTAAACATTAAAAATTAAATATAACAAGGTGAATGAATTGTATCAAGTAAGAAAAACCCGATCTTTCTGCTCATGCGACAGGTCACCAGAGTGTGAAGTGGAGGCTGGGAAGATCGATGAGATGGAGGAGGCGCAATCGGTCCTCAAGATTCAGGTAGGCGCTTTCGATCCCATGCTGGCTTGTCGTCTGCGAGGAAGGCTGTTGCACAGTCGCATAAACAACAGCAGTATTAGCGCACAGAGCTGAGCAAGAACAGGTGGAGGAAGAGTTGTGAGGAGAAGAATTCCACAACGGCTGTCGCCATGCAAGGGATGTGGAGGAGCGCTCGGTGGAGAACATGGGGAAAGGCATCCCTGAGCCGATATGATTTCGCTCTCAGTGCGGCCGATACGGCGCATGATTTGCAGACTGTTCATGCAGCACGAGCCACTCGCCTCTTCCGATTGCACATGTCGTCCTCTGCTTGTCCACCAATCGTAGAGATTCTTGCCGTGACAAGAGGTGCTGACCAGAACAGCTTCATTGTCAAATCAGAACCTATCAGGCATGGACTTCATCACTTCCTTGTCACATTAAGAAATAGTTTCGGGACTATTACACGGAAAGGGTTCCAATCACCCATGGTAATATTTGCCCCTAAGTGAAAGTTCCCGCCCTGGAACCGGTGCCGTCAGTAAAACCTCCGATGCCCCGTGGGATAGGAAAAGATGGCACACTCTCTGAATGACAACTTACTCTATATTTATGACGCTTATTGTCGCTGGACTTTGCTCGCAAATCATACAACGATGAAGAATTTTAGTATGGGGGGTTTGTACTGCACTTCTCTTTATCGAATTCGGCGGGACGCCCCAGTCAAAATGCTTTGGCCGAGGGCCCTGCTAGAGCGAAAGCCGCTTGGTCTGGCCATCATCCCTGTGATATATTCGATACACTGCTACTACAAAGGTACTGTATCACAGAAAGGTTTACGCAACCATGCAGAACACATAGAGTAATGAATTGATGTAATAAAATTACAAACGCATAATTTACCACGAAATTTTCCTACATGTACAAAACCACCTGCCATGCGCCAGAGCCAACCGATGATTTATTTACCTTCCGCTCTTTCCACCAAAGCCTCTTCCAAGCCAGCAGGTTCCCATAAACTCCGGTTTTTCTTGTTTTGAGCCCAGACTACGTCACCCTTGAGATAGACCAGTACGCCTCCCTTGCCATTGGCACTGGCGGTGATGCGGAAGAGAGGTAGACCAGTCTGTTCGTGCGCCTCACGAAGCGGCATCATAAGCAGATTTTCTTCGGTACACCAAGCCTCGACCACATCACGGAAAGTAGCCTCCTCCGCACCGGCCGGGGCAGTGGCACCAGACGGTCTGGCTTCTCTTGCTGCTTGTGCAGGAGCAGGGACGGCCTCTGGCTCGCGAATCGGACGGGCAGGCCCCGCACTTGGGGCAGGCAACTCATCGCGAGCACGCTCACCAAGATCCAGAGCGTGATTCATCATCTCCAAGCCCTTTTCCCACTCAGCAGCCACAGCCTTGACGCCGTTGATCTCTTCCGGGAAACGGCCCTTCCACCATGAGAACCACTGACCCACTTCCTCGTAATTAGGCTCTGAGGTCAGCCAAAGATGCAAAATATTGTGCCATTTCGGGAAGAATTCGCTAATGAGGAGCTGACCCATCACACTTGGCTTAAAGAAATCGTTCCAAGCAAGAACCAGCTCGAGTGCGGTCAAGTCTTGATCAGAGGGATCAATTTCGAGACTTGTCTGGAGAAGAAGTGCCAAGCGAGGAAGAAGATGCCGAACGAGAACGTGGTCCAATTCCCCACGGAGAACTTCACGCCAATTTTGAAGGCCATCCACGACGCCCTTGGACAAGTCCCATGTGTCGAGAACAACACGGAACTTCCGCTTAACATTAGCCAACAATCCAGTGGAGCTCCGCGGATCGACGTGATCCTCATCTAGGTATTGAAGCCACGGAAAGAGCCAAACGTGGGGAGGATGCGCGTGTCGTCGTTTCTTGTGGCTGACGCGAGGATTCCAGTCGTTCACAGCGCCTGTCAGCTTCTGGACAATAATTTGATCAACGACGCTGTGGTATACGAATGAAGGCAAGATGTCCTTCCAAGCTTCGAGAAGGGAAATTACGGGTGTTGGGTCGTGAACGTCCCAATCATTTGTAATGACTGAGCGTATTCTTGGAAGCCATAACGAATATATCATGGTCTCATAGAAACTCGTGTATTTGCTGTGACGTGGTACCGCATAACTCTCGTCTAATAGGGCGACAGAGTCTCCGTTGGCGTTGGGTTTTACCCCTAAGATTTTGCGCAGACGTCGTATATGAGAAACAAAGTGCATCGGATTCTCCAGTGGATCCCAATGCTCAATTTCCAAGCGGAATAGAGGGTGGACCGCAGCCACGGCAACTTCTGAGAGACCATAGTTGTCAATCTCGTTCCCAAACTCAAACTCTAAAATTTCCAGCTTGGTGACAACTTCTTCCCAGCGGGCCTTTAGGTCGGGAGGTTCGTTCAATCCACTTGGTCGTTCAATTTCAAGCTCTTGTAAGGATTGTACTATTCCAGTAATCCCCTTCACAACGCGGGTCTCCTCCTGCTCCTCGTCAATTTCCCGGCTGAGCTCGCTTTCCTGATGAGCATTGTATTTTTTTCGATCGCCCAAACCGTTCCATTCATCGGCAAAAGCCTCCAGCTCCCGGCGAGCCCTGACTGCGATTTTCCCAACTTCTGATTGAGTCTCAGGCAAGCTTTCATTAGGCGTCATCAAGCCAGATGTGGAAGTCAATAATTTTTTCTCGGTCCCAGTAGCATCAATAATTGACTTGAGGACATTTGGCACATTTAACCCTTCGGCGGCTTGCTCGATGTCCGCAGCAGTGCGATATTTGACTTTTGGCTTCGCCCTTGCGCCGCCTGGTGTACTCGTACCACTTCCACTAGCTTTTCCTTCTTTCTTTTGTCTCCTGCGTTGCTTTCGCTCCTCTTCCGAGGAATATTCTTCGTAGGTCTCTCCTCGCCTCTCGGCTTCCCTTCGCGCTTCCTGCTTGGCCTGCTCAGTCTTCTCCCTCACCGCGCCCAGTCCAACGCCCTGCGGCCGTAGCTTTGTCTCAACTGGCGCCAGGATACCTTGTCCTTGCGCACCCAAACCTTGGCCAGCCTTATAACCCATCTTAGCCATCATTCTAGCAGCGAAAGAATTCGGGTTGGCCGGAGGTTGGCCGGAGGTATCCCCACGAGAGCGACCACGACCGCTAGGAGCAGGCGAGCTATAGGACGGTCGAACTATCTTGGGGACTTGTTCTTCTTCGTCTGCCGGCGGTGCGAAATCGAGGACTGGCTCTTTGGCCGATGACGGGACAAATCCTCGGCCGAGTGGCGTTGAGGCTGAAGGTGCTTCGCCCGCGGGTGTCTGCCATCCCAGGCCCCTCGGCGCGGATCCCAATCCATTTGATGCTATATCTTCTTCTCCTGCATCTTCATCATCTCCATATTCGTAAGCCATTTCATCGTCCTCGTTGTTCTTGTTGTTGTCGTTGTCGTCCTTGTCTTCGGCACCACCAGGCTTCACGAATCCAAGTCCCTGCCCGCGCAAATTCTTTTGCTTCCATCGCTGACCTGGCCGATCGTCGTCCTCACTTTCGGAACCAAAGACACCTAATGCTGCACTCTCCTTTGCGTCACGGCCAGTTCGTCGTCGCTTGCGCCGATGTCCGAGGAACTCTTCTTCGCGTGGGTCCGTCGTAGGGAAAAGAAGGTCTTCGCCTTCGCCTGCAGAGGATTCTGAAGACGATCCATATCCGTAGCTGGCCATAATTTAGAAATTGGAGTCAGCGACGAAAGCTCTGACGAGCCAGTGCCCTCCGTCAAAACGCTTCAAAATCAAGCTCAAGAAAGGTAGGTAGTTGCTCGCTCTCGCCGGGTAAGCTGTTGTCAATGCTGCCGTCAAATTAGGCTGCTACTAGACAGCTGCTTGGCCTAAATAGGAATGACAAGGAAATCATCCTCAACTTATCTCGCTCTACTTCCTCCCACCTCTTCAATGACGGTGCGCTTAGGTACGCATTTTTGAATGGCTGAGAATGTGTATTTGTCGCGGTTGAATTTGTCAGTGCATTGCTGGCTGTAGACTGATGACACCTAGGTAGTGGTCGAAATCCCGTTAGTAACATCTATGGTCACTTGAGCACGACCCTCGAACCACCTTCAAATTGGACAGTGAATTCCCTCCGATCTATCCCCTAAAAGGACGTTGAATACTCTTGATAGAATGTTTAATGAGACAATCTACTAACTCTACCAAATCCTGTAAGGTAGATTCTAAAAGTCGTCGGCAAATCCTCCAAGAATACAGGTTACCATTCTGTCGCAAATATGCTTGTGAGCATGTTTTCGTCTAACATTTCAATGCTTCTAGGGGAGAAAAGAAAAAAAAAAGAAGAAGGTTACAAATGGTTCGAATTGCTGTATCATTGGATGTATGATGAATGCCATAAATATAAACATATGTGGCTTGACGATTGTCCGTGCAGCAAAAAGATTGCCCGTTCTCGATTACGACAGTATAATTAAGTAAAGCAGGTCCTAACTCCTTAATCAACCAAGGGCGCCTTCTAGACGATTTCGAGATGCGTTCTGAAGAAGGTTCCATTACTAGCCTAGATGGCATCCATGTATACAGTAGATTTCCTATGAAATTGTTATCCGCTATAGGTCTAGATAAGAAGAACAATAATTTACATCTTGCCTAGCTATTAGTTCGCACCGAAGACTTTATCACAGATTCATATGGAATGGCAGCCTAGAGGGCACCCGGCAACGTATGAGCGTATGACGGTATGATGCGACCAGTTAGGCTCGAAGGACTTACACGTGATGAGACACTCCTCCCACCCCTTATCCACGGGATGCCAAGTCGTCCAAGAACAAGACGGATCCGAAGGCACTATCCAGCTGAGACTGTTAGAAAGTGTGCCCGTTGCGGGAGCGAGCGCCACAAAAGGAGAACCTGTACTGCAGAAGTTGGTGTATAGACTTGCCGACTGGTATATATATCCCATAGAACATTAGAAATCCTTGGGTACTAGCATTGAATCTTGTCTTTTGATGCGAAATACCTGCGCAATTGCTGTGGCACATCCGTGTAACTTTGAATTGGTGTAAATGTTACCCAAGCGCGGCCCATTAAGTAATTTATCGTTTTTCTAACTATTTTGGTCAATGAAAAGTTACTTAAAAAGCGCATTCTGCTCGTCCGTTGGTCCTTGTATGGCAGGGTACTGAAACTTACCAAGGTCCAGCACTGTCGAAAATAGTATCCCAGAGACATGCCGAAAATTTTAGGTATATCGTGCGAAATTGGTTGTTCGAACCTGGCCGCTCAGCCTGAGAAGGGGGGGGGGGGGGGGGGAAAAAGGCAATCACCTATATATAACGTCAGTAGACAGTTTGAACAAATTGAGCCTACCAAGTTCTGAGGCAAATCCCGAATACACCCCAAGATTGGGATAGGTTTTAGGCCTCAATTAAATCTCACCGGCCTGATCTTCCTTTCATTGTTTCTTTTTCTTCAACCATGAGCCGCAGAAAGCGAAGCTCAATTTGAGAAAATGAAAAAGAAAGAAAAAGAAAGAAAAAGAAAAGAAAAGAGAAGGGAAGGAACAAAGTCTGCACGAGGCAAAAAAGGTTTCAAAAATTGCAGCCTCTCCGTCGAGAGGCCAACTTGTGCCAGGTCTTGCGTCCAAGAACCTGGCTAGAGAGTCCGAAGGTGTCGAGTCCAGAGGTTTCCAGTCCAAAGGTGTTGGTCCAGCGTACTGAAGGCTGGCCATGATACCTATAATCTCGTTAGCGCGAGCGAAAAGCTCAGAACTGGATGGCCAGTTCAGCCTGAGCCCTTCGCCCAACGAACAGGCAAAAAAGGCCCGCTCGCTTTCCCTAATGTCAAAAGCAAAAACGCCCCCAGTGGACAAAGGAAACTGGGCGGGTACTACGACCACGCGTCCCCATATAAAGATACATACGCGAAGAAACATTTTTTGGTGATTGTTTTCCTTTTCATACTTCTTTTGAGGCTTTTGTGTTTTCTGGAGAAAGGGGAGGATAACTCCCGTGACGGTCGAGGGGGACGTTCGACGGAGGAAGTGGACCCTTCATCTCTGGAAGGGGCGAGTACCGACTCTGCGGTTGAGGGTCGAGGGTGGCGGTCGACCTATGGTTAGGGGGGAAGAGGAAGAGTACCTACAGTAACGAGGATCTAAGCAGCAGAGTCGACAGGTCCTAGTTGTCTATTGGGAGCCTTCGGGGTATCTGTCAGGGTGGGTCCACCCGCTGGTTTGCTGCATCGATGGCCTTGTCTCGTATCTCCTTCGCCCAGTCCCTGGCGTTGCGATACATCGATGCACCCTCCCGAAATGCCTCAATGCTATGCATCAGATTCAGCTGACATAGCAAATGCGTCACGTATTGTGGTCGTTTCCCTTCCGATTCGGGCGGTAGTATGTGAACGGTGAACATCTTCAGCTGTTCGCGTGCGTACGTGCAGCTGATAGTGTAGGCCTTTCGATCCCACACTATGTCCTCCCGGTCATGCTGCTGAAGACTATGTATAGCTCTTGCCCCTAGAGCCTCATTGTATACAGCTTGGTTCAGAGCTACTCGATCGGAACCGTCTGGGCCCTTCACTTCCAAAAAGAAGTTTGGGACTATCGGAAGATCCGCTTGAGTTGTTGGTACAACAAGCTTGCTCAGTCGAGCACGAACTTGTTTGTCCAACTGCTCTGGCCTCGCTCCATAGTACGAGTCAGGGCTCGCAGAAGCAAGAGCTAAATCGGTTAGTCGGTCGAGGTTGGAAAATCTAGACCCAGCTCCATTCAGGCGATCATCCTCGCGACCAGTAATCTTGGGAATGACTTTTGTTGTTACCATACGCTCTTTGGACGCGTCGGTAACAGCACACCGGAAGTCGTCGAAGTCCTCCTCTGTAAATCTTGTCTCTGAGAGTGAGGGGCGTCGAACCTTCAGGCGTACTTTAATATCATCCCAATTGGCCGGCATTTGTTTCCGTGGATCATCGCCTCTAAAGTAAAAGGGGGGGTATATTCCTCCCTCGATGAGTGCTTGTCGGTAGTCCGTATCATAGGCAGTACTCGCCTCTGATACCGCAGTCATACTTGCCCTTGTCGTTGTGGCTGACCTGACTGACTTGGCTGACTTAGTTCTCCTTGAGGGCCTCGCTCTCACCGTGACCCTCGTGGGCTCTATTGTCAACCGCGAGCCCGTCATCTCTACCAATATTGTCGATGAGGTTGCTGTGGTCGTTTCTGTCGCTGTCGTCTCCTCCGTCCTGGTCGACTCTGCTGCCCCTATCCTTTTCGGCCTCCTTTGGATCGGAGAGCTCTCCGAGGCGCCCCTTTTTGAGCTTCCTGGCATGGTTAGCTCGCGATTTTCTACGGGAAGAGAAAGTCCTCTCAGGTCAGTCAGATCAGGACCGCCCATCCTTGAAAATCTCTTTAAATCGGTCAGATCACGGCGAGAAAGACCAGCCAGAAGAATCGAAAACGAGTTTCTCGGAACCTCTCTCGAAGGCATTGTCAGGAGTTGCTTGTCGTTCTGTCGGTCAAGTGCTAGTAGGACGCTTTTCGTAAGGCAGGTATGCATGGGTGTATCACAGAAATGTTCGCTGGAGATCATCACTCGATGAGCTGTGCAATGAATTCTGCGGATGAAAGAGGATTCAGAGGTGACTGTCACGTCAGACGCGGATGTTTTGATAGCGGACATCGTTTTCTATTCGGCAAGTAATAGACATGGAAGTGATGAAGAAAGAACGTTGCAGACGCGTCGCAGTGTGTTTATCAGAGAGAGTGGTCGCTTGGCCGTGATAGTTCCCGATTTCTAGCTGCGATTCCATTTGATATTGCAGGTACGATGCAAAATCCCACAGCACGTGGAAAGAGCAGTTTAGGGTGTCCTAACGAGGAAGGAGCCAGTCTAAGGAAGGTTCGACGATCTCTCTGTTTTCAGAGGCACTGCGCTAGTATTATCAGGTAAACGGAATGAACGTCGTAAGGCATATTCTCTCCAGTCAGTCAGTGGTTTCCCATGCAAGACGACAATGGAGGCTATTCAAAAGTATGTCTTGCTTGCAATAGCTGCTGAGGAAATGTGAGAAAATCACTTAACGTTCAATTTTTAGCTTGAGGAAATTTGGCAATGCTTCGAGAGAAAGACCAACCAAAATAATGACTTTCAGACTGCAAATTCCGGATACATTGGTTAGCAAACATGGCCTGAAAGCTGAATCGGGTTCTGGAGTTAAGTCAGAATCAAATGATTCCGATCAGTTTATCACGAAGCGTTCCAAATTCTCCTAGGTAGTGCTTCATATAGTGCCTAGATAACACTTCGTTTCCTTTTCTTTTCTTTTCTTTTCTTTTTTTTGTTTTCACTCCCTCACGAATGTGTTGTTTCTATCTCATGATCTTGTGACCTTGCCCCTGAACCACGAGATTCATCAAATGAGTGTTCCTGTTTTCTGGGTTAGTTTTTAATAAAGCAATCCAATTTTGTTGCTATTTAGCATCATGGTCCAGTGCCAATTTGCTTATCGCTCGTTATTTGTTCAAAAGTTTCCGGGCTATAGGAGTATGTTGTATCGGATACGTCTTTTCGTTCGTTCCACTGTATACCCGAAAGGTTAGGGCTTCGCTCCCGAGGCTAGTGGCGGGTATTTGACACTAAACCAGGGCTAGGCATTCTAACATTCTGTATCGCTTATCGCGTTAGCTGGCGCTTGTGTGATGCTGGTAGTGCAATATATGTCAAGGCATTCTAACCAAATGTACACAGTACAATTATCTATCCTAGTCCTTGAAATTTTTGGATTCCATTCTAATTGTACTACTTACTGGTATCTGTAAGAATACTCGCGGCTATGCAGCAGAAAGAATAGAGTAGGGGAGGGCCTAGAGGGTTGCTACCCTATAACAGAGAAGGGCTGGGCCGGAGCTACTACCCGGAGTCCAGACTCTATCCTTAGTAAGGAAGAAATGTTTACTTTTTATCTTGTGGAAACACTGGGTAGGGTATAGTTCAGGGCAGACTTTTAAGGAGTTGGGCACAGCCTAATCATGGCCGTGATTTATTTATTTTTTTGACACATGTTAATTGTTGAATATTATTATTGGTTTATAATATTATAATGCAAAGTGGAACAGGCATCCAGTTAGATAGACAATGTGTCTTTTGGTCTGGAACCAGTTGCTATAACAAGCATTATCTATAAAAATAAATAAAAATTCTTTAATTAAATAATGTAATAATGAAAGTATTTAGTACAAAATAGGTATATAAAAGGTACTATCCAGACTCTAGATTTCAAACTAATTCAAATAGTTTGAAAGGTGATATATACCAGTTAAAACAATGCAATTGCCAGAATTAGCTTTGTATATGTAAATCTTAAAAGTCAGGCTTACGCCGCTTACCTTAGTATGACAGCTGCCATGGCGAGGGATAAATACTGAACTTCAAGCGTTTCCCGCCTAAAGCAAGCGAACTCCGGTCGCACCGTAGTGGAACACGCACCCGAAGCTATGCCCCAACGGGGAAAGACCTTCACTGAGTCGATCAGGGACCAGAGGGGACGCAATCAATTCAACTTTCCCTACTGTTCTGTCGCAACTGCCTACGTTAGTAAAGTCTCTGTGGATACTACCGTGCTTGCCGCCAACACTTCGCAGGAAGCAGTTGCGATGGATCAACACTACGAGGAGGAAAAGGCGACACTGTCGACCTCTTACTTCCTTGTCACAGGAGCCAACAGGTAAATTCATTGACCACGTCATCATGCCGCGACTTCTTTCCCCAAGTCAAACACCGCCTTCCACGGGCACATGAAGCTTGCATGCCCCTGCCGCTTCCACCGAAAAGCCCCTTCCCAACCCCTCGCATCAGCCGTCTCTTTCCTTGCTAATACTAATACGGTACCAGTGGTCTCGGCTTCTCCATCTGCTGTCGCCTCATTGACGAATTCCTCTTTACGAAGCCGCAATCCGAGCGACTCTGCATTATCGTGACCACGCGCGACGCTCGCAAAGGAAACGACACTCTTGATCGACTCAGCAAACACTTGCGCCGCACGACCCGCTCGGCAGAAGGTTCACTCAAGGGCGTCGCATTCCTTCTCGAATCACGCGTGACATTTCGGTCGGAAATTCTCGATCTGAACTCTCTTCTTTCCGTTCAGGCTCTTTCGAAGAAACTTTTGGAAACCACACCCCGACTCGATGGGGTCATCTTGAATGCCGGTTTCGGCGGCTGGACGGGCATCAATTGGTTTGAAGCTACCTGGACGATCCTCACAGACTGGGTCCAGGCAACAACGTGGCCGACGTACAAGGTGTCAGGATACGGATGGGTGACGAAACCGCAGTTGCCCTCCACGGCGAGTGGCAGGACAGAACAAGGCAAAAAGCCGATTGAGACGGGCGCTGCTGAACCGCAGCTAGGAGAAGTATTCTGCTCCAACGTGTTTGGGCATTACTTGCTCTGCCATAACCTCTTGCCGCTGCTCAAGGCTCCGTTGCTGCCCCATCCAGGCCGAATCATCTGGGTGTCAAGTCTTGAAGCCTACGGACACACTCTCCAGGCGGACGACATTCAAGGCATGCGCTCGCTCATGCCCTACGAGACGTCGAAGCGATTAACAGATGTGCTTTCCCTGACATCTACTCTTCCTTGTACCGCAACGTGGGTCGATCAGTATCTCGATTCCAAGCCCGAACGCTCCTCCAAATCGATACAACCCGACAATGACGACGTCTCGAACGAAGCTACCCACTCTCGGCCAAGAATGTATGTCAGCCATCCCGGCATCGTCGCAACTGCCATCTTCCCCCTCCCGTATATCCTCTGGCTATGCATGACCGGCGTCTTCTACATGTCGCGCTGGCTTGGCTCACCGTGGCACACGGTCAAGTCGTACACTGCTGCATGCGCAATGGTATGGCTTGCGCTGGCCCCTCAGGAGCGTCTTGACAATATGGAGCACAATGACGGACCCGGGAAATGGGGCACAGCCACGGATGCGTTTGGCCGCGAGCGCGTCAGCCGCACGGACGTAGATGGCTGGGGCTACGGCGGAGTCCCAGGCGAAGTCAGCGGTTTGGGTCCTGAGCGCATCAAAGGACGGCGCCGCGGTGCCAAGGATCTGACGCCGGAGATGAGGCAAGAGTTTGAGGATCTCGGCCGTAGCTGCTGGAAGGAAATGGAAGATCTCCGACTTGACTGGGAGAAGCGACTGGCGTCAGTCAAGCCGACAGATGCGTGATATGCTGAAAATGGACAAGAATAGTATCCCCCCCCCCCAATGATCAGTGCGAGTGTACATATAATCCTCGCGCGGCATTGTAAGCGGTACATATACATGTAATAATTCAGATTTACGAGTAGAAATTCGGGGCGGGAAAGCGTATAGATTATTGTTTCCCTTTCTTTCCTTTCTTCTTTTTGGGGCGACCATTCTAAAGAATAAACCATTTTTTATGGGACAGCACTATTGTTGGTCTTCAAAGTCTCACAAGTACGGATGCAATGCCTCTACGGTGATTGATTGAGAATAATAATGAGACTGGCTGCATTTTGGCGTTATATTCTCTTTCCAGATTTGCAGTATATCTAACTGATAGATCGTTTCAAGGCCGAGAGCTTGGCCAATCAGCCTTGGCTGCTTGGATGACTAGAGGTCGCTGTGGCAGAGCGGACAATGCCGTGTAGCTTCCGCTATGATCCGGCGGTCGACGAGAGGCTGAGAAAACTGGTGACGTCCAGCCAAATATTGTTATCCAGACGAAATTGAATAAAGATATGCATGCCATGGGCCGTCAATCACGCTGACAAGACATGAACAGATTAAAGACGAGAATGCAGTCGGTGGCGAAAGATTTATTGAAACTTCTGAAATCGACCCAGTTGAAACCCAGGCGGCGTAAGACAAGATGCAAATATCATGCGCTTTTCTGTTGGCAAATAAAGGAAAGGAAGGGAAAGAGTATCAAAGTTATGATTCGTGACAAAAGTGAAGTGGACGCTGAGAAAGAATGAGATGAAATATCGTTGATCATCCAACCAAACTCGAGTTGGTTCTTAAAAAAAGCGAAAAATTCTCCGAGATCGAAAATGTTTGCCGTTATTTTTCATAGATGAAGTCTCGTAAAGTTTGCATTTATCATTTAGAGTATAGAGGAACGCGCTGTCGAGAACGGCAGTCACCTGCACAGGAAATAGATGGTCAGAATAAATTTTAGACAGCTGGTGTAACCGTAATCGAAAGAACGGGGACTAACCACACTGCTCATGGATCCGGTATTCTCTGGCGATAGGTATTAGTGAACAGTCTCTTACACAAACAGCAACAGCGAGCTTATCGCATCAACTCACATGGCAACGACATTGGGAGGGCAGCGCTTCTGCGTCTGCTGATATTTGACGCACCAAGCTCGGACAGTGTATCGTACATGCCCGCATTGGTACTCAACCTGAGTGTAGTCGCACATTTCATCAGAATGGCAGTGCCGATTTGGTATTGCGAATCTCAGTAACAGGAATTTTGCGATGGAACGTGTGGCCGACAATCCCGGCGACAAGGATAAAGGGCCAACAAGCCGAAAATCCGCGCTTATTATTTTCTATCCGGCAGAAAATTTTCCAATCAACAGGCCCAAATTTCTGGAGAATGCATTTCAAGATTTCTTGTGGTGCGCAGCTTCGCTGGAGTTTATAATGTCTGGTGACTCGATTATGAACTTTCGGGCCCGAATTGGTGTGCGAGCTGCTCGCCAAGTCAGTCCATCTCGAATGCTCCACTCCAACGTTGACGTCGAGAGGGAGTCGGATCATCAAAGAAAAACATTTGTGAAGCCTCGTTCAGTTCGAAAGGGCAAAGGTTGGTTACTCGGTTCAAAATCAGCCAAAGGGAGACGGATGAAAGAACAGGAATTGGATTGACAGCTGTTCTTTTGCCATTTGAGGCGAGAGCCGAGAAACCCCAGGGGTCAGAAAAAAAAAGAGTTGCATAGCAGGGCTGAATTTCTAGCGGTCAAGAGAATTTGGCGCAGACTTTTTGTGTCAGTCGACCCGAGATTCTGCAAGGTACGAGGAACATTTGCGCCATATGTACCCTACACTATCATCATGATCAGAGCGAGGTGGTCATTGCTATTGTGCTCATCATTTTTGAATGGAAATGACAAATGTCTAAGAAGACATGTAGAAGGTGATACAAGGAAGCGGTGCCGAATCGGCAACATGATCCGTGGGTTGTGATTTTGGTTGTATAAACGAGCACAAATTTGTGCGGTACACATATTTTATGGCACCGAGCTGCGCAGTTGATTCATTGGTAATTAGTCGTCGAGTGACTTTAACAATAAGAAAATTTCGTAAGCACTGAGAATCGCCTTTGCAAATTTCATAGGGGCCAACGCGTGCCCGTTGACCCCGTCGTTGAAGTAGTTGGTGGATCCTGCAAGCATGGGGAATGGATAGGACGAAGAGCAAGAAAAATAAAGGGAGGGAGGCTTTTGCACGGACCGGAAGAGGTCTGCCAGCGCAGGATAGCAAAAGCTAGCAAATTATCACTTTTCTTCAGGGTAAGGTTCATCAAAATGTTTAGACAGGGATGCGGAACATGTTTTGCCAGCGCGGAAATGCTTCAAAACCGGTTGCCCTTTGCTTTGTCAAAAATAGAGCTTCAAGGAGGTGGAACTGGCTGGGGATGGGAGCGGGCGAGAGTAAACATGCCCAAATTCAAGCCTTCGATGTAAGCCCCGCGATCCACAAGAGCTCAATTCGGAAACAAGGAGCGTGCAACAGTCAAGGGAAAAGCAAATAACGCATGCGGTGATACTCAAAGTTCATGTGATAAACAACAAGGTTGTCGTAAGCAGACCCATCATACCGGGAAGACGACCGAACGGGCGCTGCAGGCAGTCGCCCCGGATCTTCGTTGCCCTCATAATAGAATTGTCACCCTGGAGCTAGTCTCTCGCACGAGCCAGCGCTAGGATGATAGGTCTCTGCAAGGGCATTCTTCAGTAGAGACGATGTTTTGGGAAATGAGCAAAAGATATGCCTTCCTTGCCGAACGAGGTCCCGTATCTTAGGTGCTAGCGGTGGACAGTGGAGAATATCGATTCAGCATATGCGGCGATTGTGTGAGACCGTTGAGCCACCCGCATTGACCCGTCGCTATGGTGGGAACAAATCCGTGGGGTTGTAATGCTGGGCCCCACGGGGAGAAGGCAGGGAACACCCCAGAAAGATAATTAAATTACTGGTGAATAATGCAGTGGTCCAGATTCGAGCGGAAATAGCCATAGCTGACGCGACGCGTCAGGCGGTAAGTTTCTCGCAGAGAATAGCACATCTTTTCGGAGACTCACATTCGGTCTTCGTACGAAGCGGATCCTTGTTAGACCAGCGATTGCGCCGCTCAAGTGCAAGCTCCTTCTTCCGTGACAAATCCAAGATGAATCTCTAGGAAGCTAAAGCTGGAACGAAGGGCGACTCCATACGGACCTTGCAAGACTGGGGAGCCAAACTGGGGTATTTTCCGATTGAACGGGCGACTCTGCACCTCTTCACTTTTGGGCGCCACACAGGGACAATGCTTGTCAAAGTCAATATCCAGATCCAGTCTGTCAGAATATTTCTCTGTGCTCAACCTACACTGTGTCGTAAACATGTATTGAAATAGCTCCGTCCACTGTCTCTGAATAATGCTAGGGGTAGCGAGACTCACCCCAAGGGAGGAGCAGAAGATCAGCGGGATTCGACTGCTCTTGCGGTTCGCAGGTCATATGGGTGTAACCTTCGATTCACGGAAGTAGTCAACTAGGGCGGGTTGGCGGTTCATCGCAAATATCGAGTCATTTTCTTGGCGATGAGTATTTAGCTTCGCCCCCAAATTCTCAGCTGAAAAGCAATTCCATCTACCGAGGTCAGGTGGAGGTAACGTATTGAATTTGGTCAAATTCATGCAGGGTTTTGCTGTTCTATTTGGAGGTTGCAACGGCCCAAACTCTCCGGTTAGGGAAAGCAACTAGAAGCATGCATGTTCCTATCCTGGTGCCTTCATAACCACTAGGGAGAGTGTATCGCTTTACAAGGCCCTTGCCAAAAAGGCCTTGGACAATCCGCACAGGAATGAAGCAAGGAGCTGCTATTAGAGTATACTACATTGATTATTATGCACTCGTATCTACGCCGAGAGAACAAAGAAAATCCTAATATACACATGTCCCACGGGTATCTGCGGACAATGATATACATGATTGAGAGACCCTCAGAAGCAACATTTCTCCCCAGGCAAAGAAGAGAAGATAGAAAAAAAAAAAAGGGCTATATACCGGTGAAGAAGATTACCATGCCGTACTCCCAAAATTTTGCTCGTTTTCGTCGTTAAACATCGTCATCGTCATTGTTGTCGTCAGTGGTATCAATCCAGCCTCGGCACATTTCGACAGCCTTGCCCCACCGCTTATACATCTTCTCGCTTTCTTTCTGTGTGATTTGAGGCTTGAATATTGTTCGATCGGCACGGTTGATGCGCATCAACTCTTTGTATTCGGTCCAAAGACCAACCGCATATCCGGCAGCAATTGCGGCTCCAAGGGCTGTGGATTCGCGCATAAAAGGACGATCGACAGGAATTCGGATAATGTCAGCTTGTGTCTACATTGATGAAGAGGCTTATTAGTCTGAGTTTCAATGGGTATATTCTGGAGCATAATTGAATCTCACCTGCATGCAGATATCCGAATTGCACATGCCTCCGTCAACAGCGAGCTGCGAGAGTTTATGGCCACTGTCCTTTTCCATTGCCTCGAGAATAGCCCTTGTTTGAAAGCAGGTGGCTTCTAGCGTTGCGCGAGCAATGTGGCCACGTTTGGTATGTTGTGTGATGCCGACTTTTGACGCCAAAATGTTAGCCTTATTTCCACGGTCCAAAGAGGTCTCTACAGGTTCCTTACACATTGTGCCCTTTGCATCATCGATCCAGTAGGGTGCAAAAAGACCACTGAACGCAGTAACGAAGATAACACCACCGCTGTCTTCGACGGAGAGCGCGACTTCACTAATCTTTGAAGAGTCTCTAAAGAATCCCATGTTGTTCATGAGGAATTTGACACCGCTGCCAGCAACGGCGACGTTTCCCTCCAGTGCATAAACGGGGCCATGGCTGCCGCCAAAGTCATAGGCAACTGTAGCCAAAAGACCATGTTTTGAGATCACAGGCTTGTCGCCGACGTTGTAGAGCAGGAAACAGCCAGTGCCGTACGTGTTCTTGGCCATACCGGGCTCAAAGGCACACTGGCCAACCAATGCAGATGACTGGTCTCCAAGACAGCCCGTGATCGGAACACCCTTCAGTGGCCCCCTGGATATTGAGCCGAACGCCTCTCTGTCAGACGATGGAATGATCCGGGGAAGCCGGACCTTGTTCCGGTCAATGCCAAAGAAGTCCAAGAGCTTGTCGTCATATTGGAGAGAGCTGAGGTTTGCAAACATGGTTCGCGAGGCATTGGTGGCATCGGTGATGTGAATATTGCGTTCCGGACCGCCATTCAGGTTGTATATCAACCATGAGTCCACAGTGCCGAACATGAGACGGCCAGCTTCGTACGCCTCGCGAACCTTTTCGCAGTGGCGAATAAGCCAGACCAACTTCACCGAAGACGGATAGCTAGAAATTGGCAACCCACAAAGAGTAGCAACCTCATCTGCGCCTTCCTTTTTCTTCAGTTCCTGCACTATGTGAAGGGTTCGAGTATCTGGCCAAGCGATGGCATTATAGAGGGGCTTTCCAGTTTCCGAGTCCCACAAAATCGTGGTCTCACGCTGATTCGTAATGCCAATTGCCTTGATATGTGAGACCGAGAGGCCCTTTGCCACGAAGGCCTCAGTGGCCTTGGTAACGCAGGTCTCGACCGATTGAAGGATTTCGTACGGATCCTGCTCATGCCATCTGTAGCGGGAGATGCGTGTAAGTACTATGCACTGTCTTCACCGCTCTCGCGATACATGGCAATTGCTATTGATTTACTTACCCAGAGTGAGGGTAGATCTGCTCAAACTCAAGTTGGTGCATTGCAACAGGCGTTCCAGTGGCGTCAAAAATGATAAAGCGCGAACTTGTTGTACCCTGGTCAATGGAACCAATGTAGTACTTTTTGAGCTCATGCTCGTGGCCTTGCTCCTCATGCCTCTGGTCCTCCTTGTTCACATCGGCAGTATCTCGCACATCGGAGAATTGCTCCGTCTCGGAGGAAAACGAAGAGCCAGCCATTCTCTGTACAAGTTGCTTACTGGAGGAGGCTGGCGTATGAGAAGATAGAAGAGGGATTGTGAATGGTAATGGTGGAGAGGCGAGGCAGAGGGGGAAAGCGGTTGCCGTTGATGCTTTGCGGCGTAGTACGGAGAGTTATGTGCAAGTGGGAGAACTAATTCAACACAGCGCTTTCAATTTCAATTCAATGGGAATTCAAGTGCACAGCGGCGGCCTTTATGGGGGCCAGCAGCGTGGAGTAGGCGATGCAAAGGTAGGTGAGTGGGCACGTGCAACAATGATGACAGACGCAAGAGTCTGTGTGTGGGGACGAGCCAGATCCGGTTCAGGTCTTGGTAGAGCTGGGGCACGGAACCGGAGCGAAAGGGTGGATTGCGGAGAGGTTACGAAATGCTATCTATGGGGCGGAAATATTTTACGTGGTACAGTATTCTTCTGCCCTGCCCGGGTCTGCGCATGCGGGTCGATGGAATCTGGACCATTGAATTGAGCTGCGCAGGGAGGTGATCGGCCCCTGGAGCCAAGAAGGATGACCAACGTCAACCGCGTCCATTTTGACCCAACGGACCTGATCCCCCCGGGGCCGAACGAGACCTTTTTTTTTATTTTCTAGGATACATGGAGCCGAAGTGGGGTGGAGGGGTCATGCGTGTTGTTGGTTAAGGGGCAGGACAACGACCAGCACGCTAAAGGGCGAAAAGGCAAAAGAAAAGAAAAGGCATTTGGTGCCAGGTGGGAATTTGAACCGCGGCAGGGATGGGCCGAAGTGGGGCCCCAACTCCCACATTTGTTCCAAGCCTCTAGAGTATGCAAGTCCGCTTCTCTTTCCGGTCGTCTCCCTCGTCAATCGTCATAACCCTGTCCTATTACACTGCAACCTCTGCCCCAGACGCGCAACCCTCCACAACCACTCCGACGTAATTCGCGTTGATCAATGTCACGGTCCCCATAAAGAAGAGGCAAACCGGATCCATTGGCGCGAGGTGTCAATTATTGATGTGAATGTGATGACACTGCCACTACTTTTCTTTGCCACACAACAATCGCTTGTGACTTCACGGCGTACTCAGTCTTTGCGTAACTGGCATGTACCCAAGCTGCTGCACGGTTGAAGAGAAGCTTGCGAAACCCATAAAACTGTCTTCCCTCACCCCCACACTGCTGCAACCCAGAAGAGATTCAATATTTATTTAGTCACCTTGCACCCCTGCGCCAATGGGTCATGTGTGGCGTTTGCCCTTGGGCATCCAACCCCCCCCCCCCCCGCCCAAGGCACGTTCGCAGATCCGGAAGCCGCTCACCGTCAAAATCGGCACCATTGTGCCGTTCCGCTCAGGGGTGGTCCAAAATTAAAGGGAAAAAAATTATAAAATAAAATATAATAGAAAACCAAATAAAGAAGAAACAAAACCGCGCTAGCGTCAATGCATATGTACGTGCATGCATGAAGATATTTTTTTCAATAATTGACCCCCAGTCGCTACGCTCAAAGATCATCCCGAAGAACCCCGGCTAATTTCCGGGGCAACCTTCTCCAAACTCAAAATGTTATTTTGGAAAGGCACTTTGCCATCCATCCGTACGCCCGATTAATTACTCCTTCTTGCTCCCTTCCTCCTTATTCTCTTCATCTTTGCTCTCTTCGTCTTTGCTCTCCTCATCTTTGCTCTCCTCGGCCTTGCTCTCTTCCTCCTGGGTCGCAAGATGCGCCCGCTTCTCATTCTCTTCCTCCTCCAGGCTTGTAGTCTGTGTTTCTTTGAGTTGATTCACTTTGTCGCCGGCCGACGGAGCATGTCCCAGCATGTTGACAATCTCGCCTCGGCCAATAAGACTAACCACGATGCTGGCTCCGGCGATGAAGGTCAATACAAAGCGGTAAGTGCCGTACCAGGGAGGCGTCCATCCCCTCACGGTAGCCTTAGCATCCAAGAAATATAGAAGGTTGAAGGCGGCAAATTGTGAAATAAGCGCGTATTCGGCTGGCATGAGCACAGACGGCCATGCAATGGCCGGAGCTAGAACGCCGATTGCATAACGGCGGTAGCTGTGATGTCCGCCGTAGCCTGCATATTCCAGGCCCCAGTGGATAGCGCCCAGGAAGGAAATAATCTTCAGACAGGGTTAGTCGGCAGTTCAGCATCCCTTGATGGTTAGCAAAATACGTACCACGGCGCCGTAACCGATCTGAATAGGCTCGAGAAATTTTAAAAATGCCTCGGCCGTTGGCCCAGAAAGCAGGAAGCCAGTACCTGCCTCAGCTGCATATTTTACATCCCAAGCGAGGTAGACTGTCGTGAGCGATGTAGCAAGATATGGCAAAACCCCGGCCAGCCCAAGATAATACGCTTCTCGAGGAACTTCCTTCAATGCAAAAGTGTCCTTGACTGTTGACTAAGGGATAGATCCAAATTAGCTAGCTGATGATTAAGTAAACGATACATTATCGAGAAGACTACATACCAAGTCCGTTCTGATTCCTGCCAACATGTCGGTCTCCTTTCCCTGATCTCCTTGGCTAAGCTCGCTCAATACCGGCCGTACGGATGAAGCGGTGGAGACATGCGCTGGGTCTGGTTCAATCTTTTGTTTCGCAATCTTTTCTTCTGCCTTTGCGTCTATCTTATCCATCCTGACGCCTGTGCTTGTAATCTGACATCTTTGAATTGAATGGGGGCCCTGGGGGAGAGGGAAGCGACCTGCTCTTCGAGGCACAGTGCGATTTGCTAAGGAAATTATTGGAAGGGGACCACCGCTCTGCTGATACAAATAGCGGCGCATCGGAGGGGAGAAAGCAGTGGAGGTGCTTCCCAAATGCCGTATGGCACCTGGACGGAGAAGGGTGCGAGCAGCCATTGCTAGGAAAAGTCGCGAGAGCTCAATGCTATTGAGCTGTTGAGCTAATAAGAGAGCTATCAACACACGAAGCTCAAAAACAAGACGGTCAATTGAGCCAGATTACTCAAGTAAACAACCGTATGGATATCCAGTTTATGGGTTGAGACAGCGGGCTCGGCAATTCAAAGGAATAAAAAGAATTTTGAGACGAGCAGGAAACGGGCCTTGACGTTCAAGTAGGTCCTGGAGGTAGAAGGATCTGACGTTTGTTGCCGGGAGGAGAATGCAGCCCGCGTTACCTCATAATTAAGTACCTCCTTGGTCTTTGAGCCGCTAATTAACAGCTTAAATATTACTAGAGAAACTTTTGGATTTCGTATTTCCCCTTACTTTCCCAAGTACCTCGGTGATTGTTTTGGGGGTGGCTGGTCAGGCGTCCTACCTGTCGGAGTAAGGTAGCTACCGTGCAGCGTTCCGTTCACATGACGTCACTTCTGGGTCGCAAATTAACGGACGAAGCGGGGCGCTTGGAACGACCGACATACAGTTATACGGAGTCAGTGCTTGTCGCCAATTTCCAGTAGCATACAATCCAACTTAATCTCAACAAAAGAAACAATGCGGTATTGACTAATTTCTAACTTCCGAAATAGAATTGCTTACGAACACGGTAATGTCCGAGCAAGAAGCTGTAGCTTTATCAATATCAATGCCGTTCAATGTCTCCCCGAGACTTGACGATGAGATTATCAGTAAAGTACTGGAAAGTAGTGGAACCTGCCGTCACGCTTAACGGCCGAATTATTTACCAAGCTTTAGCTCTAAGATACATTGCGGTACTAGAATGTCACTTACGGGGGCGATTCCCTTACCGGGAGTAAAGTTCGCGTTGCGCATCAGGTTTCCTGGCCGCGGACCCTAGCTTGACATAAGTTTCCATTAGTGATTTCTTCAAATCCCGACCGCCTTCATCAGCTATCTCCGGACGACGTCAGGTAATCGCTCTCGGCCGTGTTCGTATTGGCTCATCAAAGTCTTCAAACACGACTCAGAAGTGCATCAACGTGTTGATTTTGCTCTCATCTAGGCTCGTTGTTGTGCTGTTACCTGTGGAAGAGTACTGACGCCCACTCGGCCGAAGACTGCGTCGCGATACTGACGTTGGCACATCAAAGCGACTTTCACTTGCGTCCCGAAATCGAATCAGTCTCTCACCGGATTTCATCTCATGGCTGACAGACCCAACATACCGCTGATAGTTTACTCTTAGGAGACCTTCTTTTCCTTTTCTGATGACGTTTACGATCTCTTCACTTCAATTCTATTATCGATAACGTAAACCCCCGCACGCCCTGACCAGGGTCACGGTCATCCCGTTTCACAATGCTCGAAGGTCTCGTTGCCAACCTGCTCAACCGCTTCCTGGGCCTGTACGTCCAGAACTTTGATGCCAAGCAACTGAATGTCGGCATCTGGTCTGGTGATGTGAAGCTTCGAAACCTCGAACTCCGCCGTGAAGCCCTTGATCAGTTTCGATTGCCTCTGAATGTAGTGGAGGGCCATTTAGGACAGTTGACATTGTCAATACCTTGGTCCAATCTGAAGGGCAAACCCGTTCGAGTAAACATCGAAGATGTCTTCCTCCTCGCCGCGCCCAAGGAAGACGCAGAATATGACCCTGAAGAAGAGGAAAGGCGAGCCCACGCCGTCAAAATGGAAAAGCTTGAAAGCGCTGAACTCCTCAAGGAGAGGAGCACGGAAGGCTTGAGCCAGGAAGAGCAGCAAAAGACACAAAGCTTCACGGAGAGCCTAGTAACGGCAATCGTTGATAATCTGCAAGTGACGATTAAGAATATCCACATTCGTTATGAAGACTCTATCTCTGCCGCTGGCCATCCCTTTGCTCTTGGCTTGACCTTGCAAGAATTCAGTGCCGTAAGCACAGATGCGGACTGGAAACCCACTTTTATTCAAACAACCTCAGGCACAACTCACAAACTTGCTTCACTGGATGCGCTGGCCATGTACTGGGATACCGATTCAAGCCTGCTTGGGACTGGCACCGGAGGGCAAGTCGGCGCCGAAGCTCAAGGCGCGGATCATGAAGACCTTATGAATAAATTTCGCGAAATGATTGTCAGGGCAGACAGCCCAACCATTGGAGACCATCAATTTGTTCTGAAACCCGTCAGTGGGAGGGCTGGGCTCGAGATGGACAAGACTGGTAAATTGGATCGACCCAAACTGAAGGCGCGCCTTCTTTTTGATGAACTCGGATTTATTCTGGATGAAGATCAATATCGCGATGCATTAATGATGGTGGATCTTTTCCACTACTTTGTTCGGCACCAGGAATACAGAAAACTCCAACCAAAAGCTAGCCCAAAGGAGGACCCCAAGGCATGGCTCAAGTTTGCTGGTGATGCTGTATTGAGCAAAATTCACGAACGGAATAGAAGATGGACCTGGAGCTATTTCAAGGAGCGAAGGGACGACCGCGTCAAATACATTGCGCTCTTCAAGAAGAAGAAGAAGGATGAAAAGTTCTCTCCTGCTGAGCTCGAAGACTATAACGCCCTTGAGAGAAAGCTTACCTATGAGGATCTTCGGTTTTGGAGATCACTGGCGAGAAATCAGTTACGCAAAGAGAACATTGGCACAAAGAAACCAGCGCAGCAGTCTTCGGGCTGGACTTCATGGGTATGGGGCTCCAAGCAACAAAAGCAGGAAACCACCGAGGAGGAAGGTCCCGTCATGACTGAACAACAACGGAAAGAACTTTACGAGGCCATTGACTGGGATGAGAAGAAGACTATCGCTGAGAGCGTATCCCTCCCTCGGGAGTCCATTAAACTCCAAGTCGAGACGAGCCTAAGGACAGGCAGCTTCACACTCAAGAGGAATCCCCACGGAAATGCGAATGAAATCCTTCATTTGGTATTCGATGCTTTCAGTGCCAAGTTTTTCCAGCGCCCTGATTCGTTCCTAGCCCAGCTCAGTTTAGGAGGTATGCGCCTGTATGATGGCACAACTGCAGATACATTGTTCCCTCAAATAGTCCGTGTAAAGGCAGCCGGGGAGGTTCCAGATCAGACAATTTCAAGAGAGCTGTCGGATGAGGAGGATGCCCTGAATGATAATTCCAGGCCCACGGACCCGGAAGAAGACCCATTCTTCCAACTCCAGTTCGAGCAGCATCCGCTGGATGAAAGTGCTGACTCTGCGCTAATGATGAAGCTGAAAAGCATGGAGATCATCTATAATCCTCAATTCATCGTTGAAATTGCCAAATTTTTCAAACCTCCTCAGCGCCACATGGAATCAGTTGGTGCATTAATGGAAACAGCTGGGGCAACAGTTGAAGGCATTAGACAACAGACTCGCGCCGGACTCGAATTCGCCTTGGAGGAACACAAGACAATCAATGCTCAGCTCGATCTTCAAGCGCCGCTGATAATCATCCCAGAGAGTGTCAAAGTGAAGGACTGTCAATGTCTTATCTTTGATGCCGGACATGTAAGCCTTAGCAGCGAACTTGTTGACAAGGAAACATTGCGTGAGATACAATCAAAGCAGAAACAACAGTATAGCGACGAAGATTACAAGAGGCTTGAAGGGCTTATGTATGACAAATTCCTTTTGCGGCTGGATTCTACTCAGGTCCTCATTGGTCCATCCATCCACGACACTAAACGCCAACTTAAGACTGAGGACGACACTAAAAATCTACATATCATCGATCGCATCAATATGGATTTTGTAATTGAGAATTCGATAGTCCCGAAAGCAACTGACCTCACGCGGTTTAAGATTTCCGGCCACCTTCCAGTCCTCCATGCCTCGGTCTCTGATGCCAAGTATAAGAATTTGATGAGGCTTATTGATGTGGCCATTCCGAAGCTCGGAGAAGTCGATGAATTGCCATTCGACAATAAGGAAAGGACCGCAGTCAAGCCGACAACCTCCCAAGGCGCGGCAACTGTGGATGCATCTAGCCGACAACGGTCTACGTCCTTTCAGTTTTCTGCTCAACAGCGAGAGATTCTCCTCGAAGAAGATGAGACAGATAATGAGGGAAGCGAGAGGTTTGAAGAGACATCACCTGGGAAACCGGACGCAAATATCGTTGCTCGCCAGCGTAATTTTGAATTCAAATTTACTGTTGATCGTTTGCAAGGATCACTATTTAGGTCCGATCCGGATGGCGAAAAGCCTGACCAACTATTGGTAGAACTTGTTGCGGAGCATTTCCAGTTTGACTTCTACCAGCGACCCTTTGATATGGTGGCCGAAGTGCTTCTTCGCTCGCTGAGCATTGAGGACAACATAGAAGAGGATCCTCGCGCAGAGTTCAAGAACATAATCTCGTCCGAAGGTGCCGACTCGAGTGCTCCAGAAGACCTTATTCACGTCAAATTCACCAAGGTCAAGCCGGAATCTCCGACGTTCATGACTGAGTACGAAGGAATAGAGACGAACCTGGAAGCAGCAATCTCAACCATTAATGTTGTTGTTACGAGGAAGACATTGTTAACTCTCCTTGACTTTGTCCTGGTGACGTTCACGGATCAAAGCTCCCCTCCCCGCGATAAGGCTGGCCTTCCGCAGGAGGATGGTGCCGAATCCGAACATGAGAAGGAACTGGCAAAGGAAGCCGAGCCTCAAGCAGGGAAGATCAAATTAAAGGTGAAGCTACAGAGCATTGTCCTTATCTTGAATAACGATGGTGTGCGGCTGGCTACTATGAGCTTGAACACGGCGGACGTGGGGATTTTCTTGATGGGCAAGGCAATGCGTATCGGTGCAAGATTAGGCGATCTCTCGTTGATTGACGACATTAACCAGGGAGCGTCGACAGACTCTCCTTTAAGGCAACTCGTTACAATACAAGGCGACGAATTGGCCGACTTCAGCTACGAAACATTCGATGCCGATAGCCCATCATACCCTGGCTATGATTCTTCAGTCTTTTTGCGTTCAGGTTCAATCAAGGTCAACTTTCTCACCGAGCCTTTCCGTAAAATTATCGACTTTTTCGTCAAATTTGGAAAGATGCAGGCAATTTTCAATGCTGCTCGCCAGGCAGCTGCGAACCAGGCTAGTCAAATCCAAGAAACTGCCAACAAGATGCATTTTGATATATTAGTGAGGACGCCAATCTTAGTCTTTCCGCGGGTTACTCTTCTTGATAAGCCTCAACGGGATCTGTTGACCGCATACCTCGGAGAGATTTACGCGAACAATAAATTTGTACCGCTGGATGATTCAAGCGAGCCTGAGGTCGTCAATCATCTTTCCGCTGGGGTTCGCAACATTCGACTTACATCCGATTTTCACTATGAAGACGACCTATCTGAGGAGTTGGAGCTCATTGACAAAGTTGACATCGATTTCAAGGTCAATTATACCGAGCACAAGCCGGGAGCGGAACGACCTGATTTGGAGATTGAGGGGGCAATGTCAGACATCAACCTTCGACTTACTGATGCCCAGCTCAAATTCCTCCTCGAGCTTTCGCGCTCCGTGCCAGCCGCCTTTGCCGCTGACCCTGAGCAAGACGAAAGAGAGGCAGTAAAGGAACTTCCAGATGATGTTGTCCAGCCTGCAAAGGCGGTAGCAGAGGCCAACATTGACCGAACTGACGAAGGACCTGTGGCCGATCTTGGCCCTGAGCTTGGCACTGCGGCTGACAGTTGGACAAAGCTTGACTTCGTCTTCAAGGTCAAAACAATCGGATTAGAACTTCTTCTAGGCCCGGAAGGGAAACCTGTTGGCGACCTCAATGCGGCAAGTCTAACGAAGTTTTCACTGAATAATACACATGTGAAACTTCGCATGGTCAGTGACGGTTCTCTGGAGTCCGAACTTCTCATTCATTCCTTCACTGTCAAGGATAGTCGAGCCAAAGAAACGAATAAATTTAGAAAGATTATGTCACTGATCAACAACGATGTCAAACAACAATTTATGGCAAGCGTTTCCATCTCCGGAGGCAAGGAGCGTAATCTCATTGCCATGCTCACAATCGACAGCCCACGTATCATTTTCGCAATCGATTACCTCTTTGCACTCCAGTCGTTTCTCACTGCTAGTTTTGCATCGGACCAACCTGCCGATCTTGAAGGAGAAGGAATGGAGGAAATCACCGCTGACGAGGCCGAGAGCGCACTAAGCGCGCAGTCGGACGCTCAGAGCGAGACCCCAAACGAGCGTGCTATTTCTCACGATCAACCTAAGGAATCAGGCTCGATGAGCATATCTTTCCGTGCAAATATTGTGGATGCGCAGGTCATTCTTATCGCCAACCCTTCACTAGGAAGCTCAGAGGCCATTGTTCTAGGCACGAAGCAGATACTGATGTCGCAACAGCATGCGCTTACCCTGCAGGTATTGGAGATGGGCATGTTCCTCTGCCGTATGGACCAATTCGAGACGAACCGGCTTCGCATATTGGACGATTTTAGCATCCACATGTCTATGGATACTCGTTCACAAGGAAAGAATTCAAGTCTTACCAGCATTCACGTTGATATTGAGCCGCTCGTACTCAGACTGTCACTTCGTGACATCCTCCTTGCCCTCCAGATTGTCAATAAGGCATCGGAATTGTCTAGCAAAGATCAGCCCAAGATCACGGACACCGAGCCTAAAAAGCTCAAAGAAATCAAGGGCTCATCTACAATTGGACCAAAACGGAAATCCTTGACTGCCAAACGCACGTCTACAGTGATCACAAAATCTGCGAAATCAGCAGCGACTCATCAGACTGCGCTTTCTTCTAGGGACCAGTCGGCCGAGGCAACCGCTATAATGAAGAGAGAGGAGCTCACTGCTGAGATCCAGGGCATCAGAGTAGTCTTGATTGGAGACCTTCACGAGCTTCCTCTGCTTGATTGGAGCATCAGGAACTTTAATGTGTCGGTACGGGACTGGTCTGGAGCAATGAGCGGGGATACCAACATTGACATGTTCGTCAACATCTATAATTTCTCCAAATCAGCGTGGGAGCCCTTGATTGAACCATGGCAGCTCGGGTTCCACATGTCGAAAGACCAGAATCCCGACCGGCTTTCAGTGGAGCTTTATTCACGAAAGATGCTTGAACTCACAGTTACTGCCGCAACTATTGCCCTCGCCTCCAAATCAGCACAATTTCTTTCCACAGACGAAGACGTTTTGGCAAAGCCAAGAGGATCAGATGCCCCTTATAAGGTTCGAAATCATACGGGATTTGCAATGAACATATGGGCCGAAAGTGGCAGTGGAGATGAGGCTTCCGCTGCGAAACTTTCGGACGGCGAAGAAAGCCCCTGGCGATTTGAAGATCCCACTGCTGTTCGAGAAAATTTGTCGCCTGAAGGCGGCTCGGGTATTGTGGGAATCAAGCTGGAAGGGAGTGGGTTCGATAGCATCGATCGTATTCCGGTGAATCGAGAAGGCGAGACACTATACAACCTCAAGCCTCGAAAAGACAAGATTCTACACAGACTCCTGGTTGATGTTAGACTCGGCTCCGATAATGTCAAATACATAACCTTCCGATCTCCGCTTCTGGTAGAGAACAAGACGCAAATCCCTGTTGAGATTGGCGTCTACAGCCCTGAGGATGGACACCTTCTCAAGATCGAAAAGATTCTACCGGGAGAGGGTCGACCCGCACCCGTAGGTGCTGCTTTCATGCATTCGTTGACCGTCCGACCAGACCAAGGATTCGGTTACACCTGGTCGAATGAGCGTCTTTACTGGCGAGACCTCCTCAAGCGACCGATCAGGACCATAACCTGTTGCAGCGAAGGTAGCGACCAGAATCCTCCATTCTACTTCCAGATGAGTGCAATCTTCGATAAAAATGACCCTTTGACGAGGTAAGTCTACCGGTTTCAATTCTGAATCCTCACCTGCTCACTTCATTTAGTGTGTATCCATATATGAAGATTCGGCTCTCAGCCCCGATCGAACTTCAAAATTTGCTGCCGTATGACTTCAAGTACCGGATTTACGATAAGAATACAAAGAAGGACTGGACAAACTTTTTGCGTAAGGGCGGTGTTAGCCCCGTGCATGTGATTGAGCTGTCTCATCTATTACTGATGAGCATTCATATGGAGGATACCGTCTTCAAACAGAGTGAATTTTCAATCATCAACTCTCCTAATCAGGACGACTTCCGACGAGAGGATACCATTACTGTAAAGGACGCTGAAGGCCTTCCATTGAGGCTCAAACTACATTATTAGTGGGTGTGCTCCCGCTATATGAATATCCCTTTTGCTGACCAGATATAGCAACATTCCGGATAGTGGCGGTGCATTTAAAGTTGCCGTCTATAGTCCATATCTTGTCCTGAACAAGACAGGCCTTGATCTAAACATCCGGAGCAAATCACTCCTCGGAAGCGCCAAGTCGGCAGCAGGTCAGAACTTTAACGAGACTGCTGATCGAGATGCAAGACGTGTTCAACCCTATATGTTCTCCTACCCTACCGATGATCGTAAAAACAGAGCTCTCATCAAGGTTGGCGATACTGGTTGGAGTAAACCGCAGAGCTTTGAAGCCATTGGAAGTACTTTTGATGTTGCGCTACCATCACAGACCAGCAAAACGGAAATGCACATTGGAGTCTCAGTCGATGAGGGAGAGGGCAAGGTAAATTTTATGCTCTCATTCATACATCATTTTGCTAACAAATGCTAGTACAATTTGACCAAAGTCGTGACTCTTGCACCCAGATTCATCCTCAAAAACAAGCTCAATGAGGACTTGAATATACGTGAGCCCGGCTCTTCTGAGGTCATGACAATCAGCCCAGGGGGACTGTTGCCTCTCAGATTTTTGAGACAAGGCGTGGAAAAACAGCTTTGCCTTTGCTTCCCGGGCATGAACAACCAATGGTCAGTAGTTCTATTTAAAGTGCACACATTTTGTCTAATTGAATCTAGGTCGTCGCCATTTTTCATCTCGAACGTCGGCAGCGTTCATGTCAAGATTGCAAAGGCGGGACAGCGACAGAGGCTCATCCGGGTAGAGATCCTTATGGAGAAGTCGACCATCTTCCTGCATTTAAGCCTAGAGACCAAACATTGGCCCTTTTCCATGAGAAATGAGAGCGATACAGAATTTATGTTCTACCAGAGCGTATGTGCAAGTTCCAATAGCATGTTGTTCACGCACTGACTTTGACTCAGAACCCAAATCTCGACGAAGATGAAGAGGATCGCGGCTCTGGATGGCGCCCAATCCGCTATCGGCTGCCACCCAGAAGTATCATGCCTTATGCTTGGGACTACCCCGCAGCGAAGTCAAAGGAAATTATCATTAGTGCTAACGGGAGGGAGAGACATGTCAAACTTGCAGAAATCGGCAATTTGCTCCCCATGAAGGTTCCCATAGCCAAGGGCTCACCTCAGCAGAAAACTATTGATCTGAATGTTGCCGCTGAAGGTCCAACTCAGACTCTTATTCTTTCGAACTATAACCCTTCTAAGAGTTTATACAAACAAAACTCCGCCAAGTCCTCACAAGCCAGTGTCGCTACAGGGTTTGAAGTTAAGGAAATCGATACAGACGTGACGTTCAGAGCTCAGCTTCGGTTCAGCGGTCTAGGAATATCTCTTGTGAACAAGCATTTGAAGGAACTACTCTACCTTACATTCCGAGAAATCGAGGTCAAATACAGCGAATCAAAGCTCTATCAAACGTTGAATTCAACAATCAAATGGATTCAAATCGACAATCAGCTCTATGGTGGTATTTTTCCCATCCTTCTGTACCCAAGTGTGGTACCGAAGACTGGGAAGGAGATGGAAGCTCATCCAATATTCCACACTATGGTGACAAGGGTCAAGGACGATTCGTACGGCGTCCTATATATCAAATACTTTACAGTATTGTTGCAACAAATGACCCTGGAAATTGACGAAGATTTCATCTTTGCGATGTTGGACTTTGCTAAGATCCCTGGTGCGTCTTGGGCAGAAGAGCGGGACGGGAAGCTTTGTGACGACCATCTCGATATCCCAGAACCACAGCAAGAACAACACGGCCAGGATGTCTATTTTGAGCTACTGCATCTCCAGCCCGCCCAGTTGGACTTATCCTTCGTGCGGACGGAAAGAATCAATGCAGAGGATACGATGGCCAATTCCAATCCCATGATGTTTTTTGTAAACGTTATGACTATGTCGATTGGAAATGTTAACGATGCCCCTGTCAGACTGAATGCTTTGATGCTGGAGAACGCACGAGTATCAATCCCAGCTTTGATGCAGAACATTCAAAGTCATTATACGCAGGAGGTGATCCGTCAAATCCACATTATTCTCGGTTCGGCTGATTTCCTCGGTAACCCGGTAGGCCTTTTCAACAATGTTAGTTCTGGTGTAGCGGATATTTTCTACGAACCTTACCAGGGTCTGGTGATGACCGATCGTCCTCAAGAACTGGGCATTGGTATTGCCAAAGGGGCTTCGAGTTTTGTCAAAAAGTCTGTGTTTGGATTCTCGGATAGCATGGCCAAATTCACTGGAAGCATGTCCAAAGGTCTGGCGGCTGCAACCCTAGATAAGGAATACCAAGATCAGCGCCGTATGTCAAAATCCAGAAATCGACCGAAACATGCTCTCTATGGCGTCACAACAGGTGGAAACGCTTTCGCAACGAGTTTAGCCAGTGGTGTTGGCGGCCTCGCTCGTCACCCGCTCCAAGGCGCCGAGAAGGAAGGTCTTCCGGGCTTCGTCAAAGGTGTCGGAAAGGGCTTCTTGGGTCTCGCAACGAAACCTGCCATTGGCGCATTTGATTTAGCTTCTAGTAAGTCATTTCAATTTGAGAGGATGAGAAGAACAGGATGCTTACAAATTTACAGGTGTTGCGGAAGGAGTACGAAACACTACGACTGTCTTCGATCAAGAAGGCCTTGACCGTGTCCGTCTCACGCGCTTCATTGGACAAGATGGTATTGTAAGACCGTACTCGCAAAGGGAGGCCCTCGGTCAATTTTGGCTTAAGACCTTGGACAATGGCAAATACTTCACCGAAGACTACATTGCACATCTGGAGCTCTCGGGGAAGGAACTCTTTGTGATGCTTACCTATAACCGGATCATGCTGGTAAAGGCAAAGAAGCTCCAAACGGAGTGGGACGTTCCGCTGAAAGACATCCAAACCATTTCCAAGGAGCGGACCGGTCTTTGCATTACCTTGAAGGGCGGAACGAACGGACCGTTTGTCCCGGTTCAGGACGAAAGCTCTAGGAATTGGATTTACCGACAAATTGCCATTGCAGTCAATGCGTATAACGACAAATGGAATGCAAAAGGATAAATCGAAGATGGGGTGAGAGCGTCTGGGAAAGTCAATCTCCTCTTCAGTTCCTCTTTTTCCGAGATTGGTTTGGAAGTTGTTCTGCACTATCATTCTTGCTTTCATTGTACAATTGAAGTGCTCTTGAAGGTATATGTTCTAATCAAGGAATACAAGACGCCTGGAGTGCCAGCTATTAGGTCGAAACTTTTTGATGGGATCAGCCATCGCAATTGATTGGTGGGAGAGGCAAAACGGCACTAGGATCGTTGCTTGGGGTCATGGGCCGGCAGCTCACAATATGCAAGTGCCCTTTCTCGACGCTATCACGTCGGTTGAGATATGCAGCTAGTCACAGAGTAGCCTACTTCGTACGCAGTATATATAATATATACCCATCTGTTCCTTGGGATGATTTAATCCGAATGCTCTCTCATTGTTCTTCCAGGTCTGCGCCATCGGAAATACCTGACGTGGTGGCATGGCAGCTCGCCTCGACGCGGGAAAAGAATAGAGCATGTCATTGACCAAGCCCAAAGACGGCTTGATCTGCGCGTTGCGGCATCCTTGGCGGTGCAGCTGCCTGCCATGTCATTTAAGCCAAGTCCATTGTCATGTTGTGCTACCCAATGGTAATAGATTGGTTTAGTTTCCATTGCTCAGGAGCTAGCCTTTCAATGCGGCTCTACAATGGACATTTTCCGACGGCCATGATTGTCACATTGCGCTCACATTTTTATTTTCGTCTCTCTCATTTCCTCCAACAATTGCTTTGTTTGGCTAGTCTTATCCGAAATGAAACTAGAATCTCTCGTACCTTACCTCCAAACACAGACCGGGGGATGTGCTAACAGCAGAGGATGGCCGCCACAATGGCTCGTTCGCATGTCATGAGGAACGAAACAAGCCATGGTTTATGCTGATTTGAGCAAAGATCTCGGGGTCAATTAGTGACAAATTGCGGGGGATACCGCTTCCTCGGCCATGGTATAGTGGGCACTTTCCATGGCAGCGGCTCGTGGGTTAAACTGCCTCCCACCAAAGAGGCTTATTCAACGGACTTGGTCACGTAAACTTACAGGGAGACATCGGTGGCCTCAGTCAGCCATCTCTCGGCATATACTGTACCCCATGGCGTTCAAATCGGCTATGAAGCTCAGCTGCAGTGTAATCCATGTCTCGACCACCTGGTCTAAGAGAAAATGGAACTTCCCGCGTCAAGTTTCAATGTGTGCCACCACTTCTTTAGGTTGATTGCAAGCAACTCTTCTACAGACAATGGGGTTTGAAAGCTCAATCGCGCCATCCCCTGCATTTCCTTCTCGTTGTCTTAGGGCCGCTGCTCTTTTTTTGCCTTTCTCCGACTGCAGCACGTCAGTATTGTGGCCACTTTCGTACCCGACGCTCCTCGACATGAGGCTCCGGCGACATGATCAAGGGCGCTGCATCACTCCTGACGAGGAAGAATAATTGACATGGAGAGAGTTTTTAAGTCTAACTAGGTCCATGGGACAGATGCCACCTTTCCTCACTCTCTTACTGCACCACGGCTACCCGAAAAGAAAACACTGAACGGCTTTTCCAGTTTCCCCATATCTGTGTTACATCTCCCCCCCAGCGATTTGTTTTGCCGTTGCAAGCTTATCTGCAATATTGTTCCAGACTCGTACGGAGCAACCTTACATACACGGAACGGTTGTGCGACATTTCGTCGAGCGACCGATAGGTTGGCACAGGAGCAACGACTGGTAGACCTGGCTCACGTGTGATAACAATCAATCTGGCTTCTCTGGGGGGTTCTCTTCATCGCCTTGAAAAGAATGGGCTGCCGTCATCATCAAGCCCTCTTCTTCTATGACGGAGGGTGTCCACACCGGACTATGCGGTCTTTTGACTCTGGCCCAGCGAAGGCCCAGGCCGCCGGACCGTCCTCGGGGCCGCCCTCCCTCCCGTCGCCTTTGTTACCACGAAAATGCTTCAATTTGACTTTGTATTTGCCATCGGGTCAAATGCGTTTGAAGTTTGCAAAATGATGGTGTCATCTCTCGCAGCTTATACAATGTCCCAGCATCTGCTAAAGACGTCTCATTAATGATCATCGATGGTTGATTTTCATACAGTGCAAGAGTAAGTATATTCTGTTTGTGGTCGTAATGCACTGCAGGACGCCAATCATGCACGTTGAAGATGTAAACGGTAGTGATTGGGCAAAGCAATGCGCTACAGGTAGTAGAGGAGGAAATCTCAAGCGATCCAACACTAATCTTGCGGGGCTTTCCAACTAAAACCCCATTGATGACATACGTGAGTCCTAACTACTGGGTCATCTCGCCCTTGGTTATTTTGGTTGGCAGAAGAATACCCAGTGCCATCTCCAACCAAGGACAAATGCCAACCACGCTGCTGAGAAGTGATGACAGGCTTTATTTTTTTTTTTTTTTCCTGCTTTGATCCATCTGGTGGGCTGACCCAAAGTGTGCCAATTGACCTAGATGGATTGTGTTGATTATCGTCACTGCCACAGGTTACGGCACAGCAGTACCCTGCTCAGTGACTGACCTTGGGTAAGGTAGGTAGCTATCCAAGGTATAGTTAGTACTTGAATGTCGTCTCAACCCAAACGGTAACTTGCGCCGTCCCTGGACTTATTTAGACTGCCAAGGGGTCTACCCATCACGAAGGTTCATTGATTGCGCAACTCGTTTACATCTAGCGGCTCAGTCAGCTGGTTTTAGAGCAATTTTAAGTCGAGCGCCTTCATGGTGTCCCTACCCATGGTCGCTCCAACACTTGAAACTTGGCTGCAGCGAAAAGCCACCTATAGTGCAGCGATAGTAAGTTATACATACCGTAGGTAGTCACTCGGTCGATGAGAAATTTACGATCGATGAGTTTGGTATCTTATTGAGCTTGGCCGTATTTGCCACACTTTACACTCGAGGTTTCTCGGAAGGTTGGACCACCAAAGGGATAGCCAAAGATGTTCTCTCCCTCTCTCAAACCGTCGCTTCGCATGCAGGCAAGTAGAGCATGACACTGCATGTGAGGTCCCCTGCTCCCTCATGGCTCTGAAAGGCTGGCTCCAATTGACGAATCGGTTGCTCGGCATGGGCGTGCTTTTGTTCTGGCGTCTTTTAACATTTATGGCCTTTCCGCCTTCTTCCATTCCCCGCGAAAATGTGGTCGCCCGCGTTGCCGAACGTACCCGCGATACTGGTTCCACGGTTCAATGTCAAGCTTTGAAGTTCAAAGCGCTGTCGTGTTCCTGGCAGCGAGTTAAATTTTCAAACGAAAGCAACTCACCCTGGTCTGCCCAGTCCTGATAATTAACTATACGTCCCAGCTAGCGGCACAGTGATGCTCTGTCCGCTTCTCTCCCGCCTACTGCATCTCCATGTGTGATGGGGAGTGGCAAGGCGTATGTAGGTCATGTACCCGGACCGGTACAGCGCAGCTGGGACTTGTTCCCTTCTCATTTGAAATCGCGCTTCTTGTCCTAACTGCATTGCTGTTAGGCTTGCAAAGGGGTGCAACTACAGAGGTAGGGCAATCGAGGACGGAAAAAAACATGGCACAGCAAAAGCTGGAATGTGATTAGAAAGGCAGTCGCCTAGATCAAGGTCCCTCGGTCCACCGATCAAGCGGCGCTCTCATTCGTTTGTTGTGCCAACTCTTTTGTCATCGTGATCACCACCACGCTCCTGCCACATGAGCCTCTCGCTACTCGCTCGGCCCCAGGGCAGTGATTGAGGATTGCTTCGACCCGTTCCTCCTTAGCGCTGGTAAGGGCGACATGTCAAGGATGAAATCGGGGCTGGGCTGTCTGGGCTCACGCTACACCCATCATAGCCCATCTCACTCCATCTCATCGAGCTTGAAGGTGAGCTTGCATGGTGAACCTCCTTTACTAGTATCTTGGTGAGGATCCGCCTTTGTTTGTTTCCTCCCCTGTGGACAGGGATTCACCGCTCCCATCGTCTGAAAGCATGGAGGTTTCGGCGGCTTCTCGGCATGCTGATAAGACGTAAGCACCACGTTGCTGGGCTATTTGATATCCTTCCACCCTGCACTCCGGGGTACTGTCAAGCCGTGTCAGCAAGTATTACTGCCGCGCGGCGATAAAGTACCGCGCTAAAGGGCTTCAGGGCCAGTTCGGAGGCGTAAGCTCGAACGAATTGCCAAAACGGGGAATCAATTTAGTTCAAGAACGATGGGAGCCTCGTTATCTGCACCTCGCATCGTCGTTTAACCAGCGGCGGTCGATCGGCGTTGTGGGGATTGCCGATCAGCGACCTGTTCAAGCGAAAACTGAAGGAGCAAGGGGAGCTCTCTAGCAGGGGTAAGTAAGTAGGTAGGAAGAAGAATTCATCGTAGAGTTACATCAGGGAGGTGGCCCTTTGATTGTTTTTGCTTATGCAACATGGCTTCCTTTTTCCTTTTGACGCTCGAAGGAGTATATGTGGGAAACTTTGGAACTTGTTGATGTTGATATTGAACTAGAGTCTCTTCTTTGAAATTTTAGAAATATTTTTGTTATTTTTATTTTTATTTTTATTTTTCATTTTTATCGTGAGGATAAATGTCATCTTAAATTATGCACAGAAATGGATCGGACAAGGCAAATATCGTTGAAAGGTGAATCTGGCCGTATGAGAGGGCTGTACGGTACATGACCAGTTCAATCCTTTCCCTTCGTGCAGAGGTCTCGTTATGGGAGCGTTTGGTTATTACCTGGTGCTCATGCATAGCTTCGTATTTCGATACAGAGTCTAGCTGATATCCCTTGGCTCACAAAAGTGCGAAAAAACGAACGCCATCTGGGACGTGTGGCGGACGCAGAAAAGGCCTTGAGCAAAACACACCCATTCCTTTCGCGAGGAGATAGATGGCCGACCAAGCAATGAATTAAAATTTGTGATATTACGATCAAAGTCGACTAACGTCGCTCTCTCGTCTCGTCAAAGGCGCTGCATACGGTTAGCTAGGGCGCCTCCGGGTTTCTGAATGCCCCATTCCAACATTGGTTCGATGGTGCCCTCTTTTTAATCGCTCGACCTCCGAGATATTGTTATTATGGCTGAAAAAGATGGGACGGGGTCGTGTTTCGGTTTAGTGTTTGGCAGGGAAATGGGGGAGTTGGCTGAATTGGGTGTTTTAACTTCCCGCGTTGACGTTTCCTTATATTATTATCGCTACCGACCTAGTAGTTGGCTAGTTTTATTATTTTCATACCATCGAGTATTATTACAATAATTACTAGTAGAGGAATCATGACCGTCTTGTTATTACTAAGTTACCTACTCCGGTACGTATGGGAAAAAGGGCTTTCGCTGACCGCCTCGCCCCGGTGTGTTGGTAAGCTCGCAAGGACGCAGCCAATGGAGGGAAGGTCGGGTCTCTCTCTGGCTTTGGGACCCCCAGGGCTACACGACACGGATCAACTAACTTAGACCTGACCAGACTCTAAATTGACGTGCTAAAGTGACACACCCTGGCCAAGGCCCCTCAACCCTGCGTTTTTTCATTTCCTCTTCGCCTGCAGCTGCATCACATCGCCCGCTTGGGTTCGCTTTTGGGTGCCAAATGCTGTATTGTACGGCACGGTAGTACGGCGACGGCGGGTCGAACCGCGTCTGAAGTACCATGACTTGTTTGTGTCGCTGGGGAAGAGCGACGGTAGCGTGCCAGCACCTTGGACGACCCCAGTGGGTTCATGATCGCTGCGGCTCCTTTCCTGCTGCTTCTTCCTGCTGCTGCTGCTGCTGCTGCTCTCGTCTCACCTTTCCCTTTGGCCTTTGCCCTGTGCCTTTTCCCCACCGCCCGCCATCCGGCGAGCGGCAGCGTACCGCTACCGGTTGAGCTCTTGCTAGGTATAGGTAGGTGGAAAGTAATTCGACGTGGCGTTACAGACCCCACCTACCTGGGAGATGCCATCCTTTTTTTTTCTTTTCCATTTCAAAAGCTGCAAAACCACCTCCACCTCCACCACCCCCACCCACCCCCCCAGACCCTGTGCGCCTCACTGGAAACTGCCGTATGAGAAGCTGCACGACCTTGCTGCCCCAGCTTCGTCTCTCAACAAGAGAAAAAGAGAGAGAGAGAGAGTGAGTGAGAGAGGACGAGAGGAAAGAATTTACTCGCTCGCTGCTCTCCAGAGCTCAAGCTACGAAGAGGGCACGCCATTATTGGACGCCTACAGAGGTACACACTTCTCTCATGCAGGCGCGCACACATGCACACACCACACCACACACTCAACTACGCTGAACTTTGTTGGAGTATCGCTGTAGAAGAAGCTGTTACCTGTCGTCTAGTAGTCCACCCACCCATTTCTATGGTGTTCTGTTTCCTTACGGTCAAGTAATAGTTAACACACTACAATGACTCTTTCTTGACGACAATACTGGTCGCTCTCATGATTCGCACAAGTTTTCCAAAGTGTTCTCTCTTGTTGATTCTCTCTCCATGTCGCCTCACCTTGACTGTTGACACACACAGCTTGCATCTAGCATCTCCTGGCTCGAAGCTTCGCTTCAGCCTTTCGGGTTCCTTTTTTTCGATTGGTCGTGTTGTGTGTAGTAAGGGATTTCGGATGATTGGGCTAAAATCAAGCCACCGATCAGCTCGTCGCGAGTCAAGGGGCTGCTGATGTGTTTGACCGAGAGCATCTGCTCTCTCCACGTTCTTTGCCCGTTCGGAGGTTCTGCAGAATCCCTCTATTTCACCACCACCCCTCCTCCCTCCCCCCCCAGCCGCCGTTGGTTTTTTTTTGGCCCCTCCCTGTAACAAATCAAACACCATCTCCACCACTACCACCACTTCCCCCGGCCGTCGATCGCGCCGCTTCTACATAGCCTGGCGATCCTGCATCCCCCATTTCCCTGCTCTCCCTCGCTCGCTCTCCACTCTTTTCTTTCTCTCTCTTCGTTTTCTTACTTACTACAGTACTTCGTACTCTACCTTGGTACTTTCTGATCCGACCCTTTCAGCATCGCCTTTTTAAAACCATCCTTGTCCCACTGTCCCTGTGAATTTATACTTTTACCGGGGGGCTTCGCTGTCCTACCCGCCCGCCTTTCCTTGTCCCTCACCTTTCTCCTCTTTCAACCTCCATCTTCTCCATCTCTCCTCCTTTACACCTCTTTTACTTTCCTTTGTTTTTGCCCCATCGGTGGTGGCAAGTTGATCGTTCACTGGTAACGTTATTTTGAGGCAAACCGGTAGCCCTCTGCCCAGAAGGAAGACGTCTTTTCCCTCGTCTCTTATCAGTTTTCTTGCGTGCCGGTGCTGTGGATAAACATACGGCCACCCTCGTGCCTGGCTGTCGCAAGCCTCGCATTTTTGGACGAGAACCGGCGTGTACAACTTTGCGTGCCTCTATTTACAAGATATCCCCGTCCCGATTTACCGGATCGGGAGGAACCAATTCGAATTCGAATTCGCTCCCATATACGATTCTTATTTTTGCCTAAAGCGCTCGCTCTTGGCGAATCTCTGCTTCGCCTTCTGTCGCCGACCGCTTTCCTTTTCCTTGCTCTTCAACCGGTGGTGTTTTCCTCTGGTGGCCATACTGTGTCTTGCGAAAGTCGTGTTCTGCATCTCGTTGTTCTGCATTGCTTTGCAGCCAAGCATTCATGCCAAGGAGTTGTTGTGCATTACATCTTCGCCCCTTCCAATTCGTTACAGGATATCATCCTTTGAGATCTATCATTAAAAACGCGCTACTGCATAGCCCCCTGAGATTGAAAGCACGCCCATCACCATCCCCTGATCGCCTTTCCCTCTAATAGGCCCCGCACATTTACACCAACCCGCTGCTTTGCTCAAGATCGTGTCGAATTTGCCGTCATGGACATTATGGAGATTATTGAAGACCGCACCGTATCGTCCAGACCGGCACCACGATTCAATTGCCCAGAACCGGGATGCGGCAAGGTTAGTTTACCAGAAAAAAAAACTTGGAAGATAAGCCGAATCTTTTTTTCTAGCAAGAATCTCAGAGGCACTGACGAGTGGTAATTTGCTTTTTATTAGCAATTCAATCGAAAGTCTGACCTGCAGAGGCATCATCGCATTCACACCAACGAGAGGCCCTTTACCTGCCACATTGACCAATGTCGAAAGAGCTTCATCCAAAGAAGTGCGTTAACCGTCCATATCAGGACGCATACCGGCGAGAAGCCTCATCAGTGCCTGTATCCCGACTGCGGCAAAGCTTTCTCCGATGTAGGAACCCACATAACATGAACGCCGTTCTTTTTCATTTATCCGTGCCCTGACTCGAACTTTCATACCTAGTCGTCGAGCCTTGCGAGGCATCGCCGTATCCATACTGGCAAAAGGCCCTACCGCTGCCCCTATGCGGACTGCGACAAGAGGTACGTTGACACCGCCCCATGTTGGCTTTGCCTTTCTAATAGCCCCTCAAAAGCTTCTGTCGAAAGACAACCCTGACCAAACACGCCCGTACTCACGAAGCGGCTGCGTCGACCGAAATGTCGGACGGCGAGGTTTCCGAATCAACTGAATCGCTACCGACGCCCCAATCATCTCCCGAACCCTCGACGCTTGAAAGTAGAACTATGCGTCATGCTCAAACGCGGCCTTCTTTTGGACGATCTAATTCGGCAAACTTTGTCTCTCAGTCGACGCATCTCCCGGCAGGAATGGGCTCTGGAGCTTTCAGCCTTCCCGCACATTTGGCACCAGCGCAAGACAACACCCGCCTTATCCCGCCGGGCTATTCCCAAATTCCCCAGTCACCTCTCTATGAGCAGCAAGGCTCAGTCGGTCGAGAATTTCAGCATCCTCCCCAGCATCAGTATGCGGCTGCTGGCTCAGAGTTGGAAGTGCCAATGCATGCGACGCCGCATCATCTCCTTGCTGCCGCCCAGGTCCTACGAGCGTCATCAGAGCATGGGCCGGATCTCTCTCAGAGCCCGGCCAACGGCGCCCATATGGTGCAAAGCAGCCCCGGTGCTCTGTCTTCGGGATCGTCTGCGACCAGTGAACAAGTGCATCCCCACGGCATGTACTACGTTCATGTTCAGAATAATATGCCCGAAGTCAATTATTATGTGCAAGATGCAAATATGCCACCCCACTATCATGGAATTCAGGCGCCCTCGAATTTGATTCAATCGCGCCCCCAACAAACTGGGCCGCAAATGAGCATTCCCCCACCCCAAGACTATGGCGTCCAGCAGCACCAGCAACCGCAAATGTGGTATGACACCATGCCTTATCACCCGCCCATGGCAGTTGCTCCTGGCTTGCCTCCCACAGCGCAACCACGCTCAATCCTCAGCACTCGAAACAATTCAGAATGGTGGATCAAAGAAGAGGAGGACGACTCGATCCCGCTGCCAAGCAAGCGAGCTTCGATTTTCTAGGCTTTCTCCGCATATTGTCCATCGGAAAACGAATGGCCTTTTGGAACCAATTTTCCGGCCAATCCGGCTCAGCTCTTCTGCCTTGACATTTGACGATTCTTCTTGGCACTCTGCATGCATACACTTTAATGATTTCTTGTCCTTTTTCTTTTTGCGCCTCCACCGCCACGCATCTCGCTTCGATTCTCACCTAACGACTTGATGGCCGTTTTTTTGGCGAGTAAAAATTGAGTGGCAGTATTGCATGTCCCTCATTTTGCTTTGCTGTTGATACGAATTTATGATGTCATGTTGGGTGGCTATCTGACTGCTGTACTCGCGTTTTATTGCTATAGCTATATCATTTTGGGTACGGTCTATTCTTTTTTGTTCTGGCGGCCAAAGAAAAAAAACGAGCGGAAAACGTCGAATCTTTCATGTCATGCCAGTCGCCTTATATTTTCCTCTTCTGTACGAACTGCTACATCTGGGCGCAGGTGACTGACATTACATGGGTTTTTTTGCAGACTCCAAAAGGCGGTTTTCTGCTAGCGACTCTTCACTTTTGGGCGACTTCAACTTCGGGCGCATGTTCATGCTTGCGTGCAATTATGTGTGTTTCACGTTAGTGCATAGCGCAGTACCTGTCACATTTAGCTGCTATATTAGAAAGAAATCAATGCTCATTACTCTGAGGCATTTGTCGTATTTTTGGGAAATGGAGTCCCCCGATGAACATGTTCGTATGGCTTTTTTTGAGGCCATCGAAATTAGTCATCAGTTTTTGTCCACGTGACCTGCCTGTTGCGTCAGTGGTATGTTCTGGCTTCCGAACTCGGCGGATCGGCGGGCGGAACCGCCTTCGCGGCTTTTGAGGTTCGAAACCTCGGAGTTGCCTCATCATCATTATCAACGAAACACCAATCCGGCCCAACCGTCTAACCATTCACTGTCCTCTCCGCCGGAAGTCCGACGCTTGATTGCGTTTCCATATTCCAAAGTTGTTCTTCATGACTTGATTTATTCCAAAGAGTGGCCACCCCTCTAACACATTCTCTTGTGGCGCGGCCTCAGCGCCCGCTCGTGCTCCCAACATGGCGTTCCAAGCACCCATAGGTTTCCAGGTTAGCTTTTTGTTCCTGACGCACCTCTTTTGACTGCACTATATGGATTTTTGACCTAACTATCATATCAGAATGTGGCTTCTGCTACTACGGAGCTATGGCCATTAATGCATTCTGCACTCTTGACACCTTGGCAGGCTGGCAGTCGGCATACCCCAGTCCCATCCACCGCCGCGAATCGACGGCACATGAACGGGACTCGATCACCGTCGTCAGATGGATTTCAGACTGGAAGTGCGACGTCAGCTGCAACTTCGCCCAAGCAATTGAGTTCAAGCGCACAGGCTCTGAGAGCGACAAAGCCTGTCCTTCCGGAGTGTTTGAACAATGCTCCCTTAGCCGCTTTGCGGGCTCAGTCATCGCCAGCCATTTTTGGGGGAAAACATGATGTTGGAAATAGGTTTGCATGTGAGTTAAAAGGGAATTAGCGTCTCTTTGTCTGTCTTGCAGCTGACCTCATACCGCCACAGTCAACCAATCCACCCTCCAAAAAGCCAACCCGCTGGCCTGGCGATTAACAAACAACATTCGAAACGTTCGTCCATACTCCTCAATCTCCGCTTTTGGTCTCAATAAACCAATGATGAGACCTTTTCCTTGGAGCATACCACATCAACGATCATTCTCCGCTGGCAGCTCTTCCAGGAACCTACTCGCACACATGGAACAAACGGCAAACAACAACCCCCAGAGCGCCACTGCCCAGAACGCCTTCTATACGGCACTATTACGTGCCAACATGGCGGACATCATTGTAGAGAGGTATCAGACCGGCCGGTATGCTACCAACCCTGCCTGTGAAACGACATATCTCCGGGCTCTCGAGAAAGTTGGTCAGTCAGAAAAAGCTGCGGCGATCATTTCCAACAAAGGAGCAGATGGATCGTCTGGGGCACTCAGCACTGATCAACTCCAGGCCATTGGTCATGCAGTCGCTGCGCAGTCCAGGGGCGGCAACATTGCACTTGCGCGAAACAGAGGCGCCCAAGGTACCGGTGCCAAGGAATCTCCATTATATGTCGTCGTAGAGGAATCGATTGGAGGCACAATCTTCAAATGGGCAAAATTTCTTCTCTATTTTGCTCTCGTTGCATACTTCTCCCTCGTCCTTGCTACCGTCGTTATCGAGACCACTGGAATCTTAAAGAAAGTGGGAGGAAGCCAGACAAACGAGGCTCGACCGGAGCATCAAAACGTTCGCTTCAGCGATGTTCACGGATGCGATGAGGCCAAGGAGGAGCTTCAGGAGCTTGTCGAATTTTTGAAGGCGCCGGAAAAATTCTCTAGCCTCGGTGGAAAGCTTCCCAAGGGTGTGCTTTTGGTTGGCCCTCCAGGGACAGGCAAAACACTCCTTGCTCGCGCGGTAGCTGGAGAAGCTGGTGTCCCCTTCTTTTTCATGTCTGGTTCCGAGTTCGATGAAGTCTACGTTGGAGTTGGTGCAAAGCGTGTGCGAGAACTTTTCAATGCCGCCCGCGCAAAAGCCCCAGCCATTGTATTCATTGACGAACTTGACGCGATTGGTGGAAAGCGAAATGAAAGAGACGCGGCCTATGTCAAGCAGACCTTGAACCAACTTCTCACGGACCTGGATGGCTTCGAGCAAAATTCTGGAGTCATCTTCCTAGCTGCCACCAACTTTCCTCAGCTGCTCGACAAGGCCCTTACTCGCCCTGGTCGATTTGATCGCAATGTGGTGGTACCGCTCCCGGATGTTCGTGGCCGCGTTGAGATTCTGAAGCATCATATGAAGAATATTCAAATCGGAACGGATGTCGATGCCGCTGTCATTGCTCGAGGAACCCCTGGCTTCTCGGGCGCTGAACTGGAGAATGTCGTCAACCAAGCCGCAGTTCATGCCAGTCGCAACAAGGCAAAGAAAGTTGGCATGATGGATTTTGAATGGGCCAAGGACAAGATTTTGATGGGTGCCGAAAGGAGGAGCGCTGTTATTCAACAAAAGGACAAGGTCATGACCGCATACCATGAAGGTGGTCATGCATTGGTTGCAATGTTCACTGCAGGCGCGGACCCTCTTTATAAAGCTACCATCATGCCTCGTGGTCAGGCGCTAGGTATCACCTTCCAGCTCCCCGAGCTCGACAAAGTTTCCATGGTCAAGCGGGAGTATCTCGCTCACATTGACATTTGCATGGGCGGAAAAGTTGCCGAAGAACTCGTCTACGGGCCGGAGAATGTAACAAGCGGAGCGGCATCGGTAGGTTCAATCCCAACTTAAGGTGTATTGCAATACGAAACTGACAGATATTAGGACATTCAAAAGGCTACGCAAATCGCTTATGCCATGGTGACTCAGATGGGCATGTCTGACCTCATCGGAAATGTTGATCTCAATACCGACTATGCTCGGCTGTCGTCCGAGACCAAGCAAACGATTGAGCGAGAGGTTCGACGACTGGTCGAGGAAGGCAGAGATCGAGCAACGCGCCTCTTGACGAGCAAGAGAAAAGAGCTGGACATATTAGCCAATGCCCTTGTCGAGTACGAGTCTCTCAACAAAGAAGAAATGGAGAAAGTTCTTCGTGGAGAGAAACTACCGGACAGGGTCACAAGCCTGCCAAATGTCCCTTTGAAACTACCGGAATCCCTTATGCCACCGGGTCTGAAAGGCGCTGGCGGCGAAGGCGCTCCTCCTCCACCGGGGCGAGGAGATGATGGAGGTGCAACCCTTTAAGAGACACCATGAACATGAATATCTTTTTCATTCACTTCCTTATCACACTTTCTTATTCCACTGCTTTTCTCTCTTTCCACAGAATCGCGTCAAACTCCTGTACCTATACTCTCGGCATCATTTTACATCCTCTATCATGTGCATGCACTTTTCGGAGCGTCTAGCCGTGCGTCATCTCCGGATAGTTTTTCTTTTTCACTTCTCTCGCAACATTTTTCTGTCATTTTGTTTTACGTGTGCCCATCTCAATGTCATGCTGTCGTGCGTTTGAGTCATGGGTCATTTGCGGGCGTGCTGGACTGGGTGTTGTATTTCTATTCGATATATAGTGGCCTCCAAAATGATCGTAGAGGTCAAAGTAGGAATGTAAAGTGTACTCAGAAAAGAAGAATGATCAAAGCTGGGTGTGCCGGATAAAGTCATGCCTATAGTGTGATTTGTGCTCGAGGATCGAAATATCTAACAGTAAAAGATCCTGATCTTGCGAAGCTTGGTTTGTTGGATAGAGAGTAGGAGTCTTCAAAGTCGGCATATAGTTATTTAGATTGTGCATAAATTGTCCATTCGATCCTAGGGGATCGGTTAAAAGCCGGCGCCGGGGGATTGTTGCACCGACCCCACAGACGTGGGAGTTGCGATAACTTTGATACGCCCGAATCTTCAAGACCCCGGCTGAACGTCGTGGAGAAATTTAACGCCGTCGCAATGATCGATCTTTTTCACCGCTTAGATTTCTCAATTATAAATTAATATTTCCCTTTTCGTTGCACCTGCAGAAATCGATCATTACATCTAGCTCACGTGTATTGCCTGCCAAGACAATTGCGGATCTGGGCTTGCGGTGAGCCACCGATTGCATGTATGACGCAAATCCAAAAAGTCTTGTAGTAGCTTTGGAAGTCAACTCTCGGGAGCTTCAGATCAATCCTGTAAATAATCTGTGGTTGCGAAGATAACTTCCAGTCATGGGCTCTCATCACATACCTGCGGTCGCACATTTGCGACCGCCAGAAGCTGCCAGCGATGGATATTCTGGCCAAAGGAGACGCACGTCATTTCAAGCTGGTAGCGACTTGGATGACATGCAAAATCTAACGCGAAATGCTTCAGCGATCAGGTTAGACTTGGACCATCTGAATCTTTCCCCGAGATGCCAGCGGCTAATTTCTTTCAAGTGGCCATCGCGAAGACGGCAAAAATCATCATGTGTCGACCTATGAGCTTAGAGATGTTCAAAGACCAGAAGCCGCCAGGACTGGACCTTCATCTGCAACACAGGCAGCGGCAGTCGAGTTTAGCAGCAATCCGTCTACACGGCCGCCATCGCCAAATGCTGATTCAGAGAATCCATTTCCGGAGGGGGATATTCAACCTTCTACAAGATATCCCGAAATAGGAACAATCAAATCCTGGAGAGGGATTCTAATTCTCATCATCACAGGTGGCTCACAACTGCTAGACAACGTCTACATGACTGGTGTTAATATTTCTCTGCCGGCCATACAAAAGGAAATGGATGTGCAATCTGGGGACCTACAGTGGATGATTTCGGCATATACTCTAACGTTTGGTGGCTTCTTGCTTTTAGCCGGAGTTCTTTCCGACAGGTGTGTGACATCATACGAGAATCTTCTTTGCCTCTCTTGGCTGAATGATATTTGGAATTAACCTCATTTCAGATATGGTCGAAAGCATATGCTATGTGCTGGCTTATTCTGGATTACGGTGTGGTCCATCGCCACGAGCTTGGGGACATCGTATATTCAGCTCACGATATTCAGAGCACTTCAAGGTATTGGAGCGGCCATGACCGTTCCGTCTGCCATTGGTATAATCAGCTCCTACTTCGTCACGCACGAGAGAACACGGGCACTTTCAATCTATGGAGCAGCTGGTGCCATTGGATTCTGCACTGGTCTCATCTTTGGAGGGTTCTTGACGTCGTCACTCGGATGGAGATACCTGTTCCGTCTCTCTGTTGTTATCACCGGCGGCTTGGCTATTGCAGGATTCTTCATCCTTCCGCGGGACCGCCTCGAAGGGGTCGAGAAGCCACGCCTTGATATTCTTGGAGCGGCCGTCTCTACAACTGGACTGATTCTTCTTTCGTTTGTCCTGTCAAGCGGCGGCGTATACGGATGGAACAAGGCATTTATTATTGTTCTGCTAATTGGATCAGTCGTTTTGATTGTAGTCTTTACTCTGATTGAGAAGAAAGTCAGAAATCCAATTATGCCCCTATCTCTCTGGAAGATTCCAAATTTTGCGGGATTATGGGTCTCTGGCTTTGGTATGGTAGCGACACTATATGTGATAGACCTCAGCTAACCGGTTTATTAGTCATGTACGGCAGCTACCAAGCAATCATTTACTACCTGGTTTTAATCTCCCAGGAGGTTAATGAGCTCTCAGCCGGAGATACGGCTGTTCGATTCTTGCCCATGGGCGCTGCTGGTTTCATCACGTCCATGTCTATGAGTAAAGTTCTTGAAAAGGTCAAGGCGAAAACGCTGATGATTGTTGGAATGCTACTCTGCGTTATTGCGCCTATACCAGGGTGCCTCATCTCTGAAGGAGACATCAACTTGTGCGTACATCATACTTACACTTCACCTTACCATAGACTACAGCTTACTGATTTCAATATAGCTGGAAACACACCTTTCCGTCCTCAGTAATAAGTGTAATAGGCGTTTCGATTGGATATTGCACAGTCACGAGTATTATGCTTGCCAGTGTGCCTTTGAATGTGAAGAGCCTGTGTGGCGGAATGGTAAGCATTTCTTTTTTTTTTCTTTTTTTTTTTTTTTTTTTTTTTTTTTTGCATACATTTATTTAAAAATTTCGAAGGGTTGACTAATCATTGATTTTCGCGGTACATAGGTCAACACTGCGTACCAAATCGGCTCTGGAGTCGCTCTGGCCTTGGCTGCCGCAATTGTTCAAGCGGTTGATGTCGACAAGGGCCACGGATTGATAAAGCAATATAGTACCGGTTTATGGTGTTGCGTTGGCCTTGCGGGCATCGGCCTCTTAGCCTCCATTTTTGCCATCAAGGGCAAGTCGCTCGGAATATCTCATGAAGATGACGAACCACTAGCTATGCATTAAGGGCACCGTGTCCTGTATTTGACCTATATGGGCTAGATACATTAATTGTACAATAACAGGACAAAGCTTTATCCATTCGAGATTTATCCCTGTTTCATCTCCCTCAACTCGTTCGCGTCAAGTCGTTTCATGAGCTCTGCGCATCTTCTTGTATCTTCTCTTGTTTCCGGATACAGGACAGCTTGCTGTGCTACCCACCTTAGCCTCTCTATCCATAGCTGCCATCGGCCTTTGCTCAGGCGTTGCTCTTCTTGTGGCCACAAATCTGTTCGGCCCGGACCAAAGTATCTCTCATCACTAATAGATTTATGTGTCCGATGTCCGACAATTAGTAACCATTGAGCAGCTGCCGGTATCCTCTCGTGCCAGAATATCTTTAGCTAGTGTCTTTTCAAAAAAAAAAAAAAAAGTCCTGACTCCCGAATATAACATACATCCAAGATGGAAAAATCATAGTCCTCTTCCGTGGGCAAATAATCTTCCGGCCACCCTTTTTTCCAAGGTTCATCCTCAGGACCTCAAGGGCTGAAGAAATCAGAGAAGTATTAAATACAAATTTCTCTGGGTCTTGTGCCTGGAGACTGTCGTATGCCTCAAAGGCATTTACACTTGCCCATTCGCGAGTCGCGACAATATTTGCGCCTTTCATCAAAGTCCCCATCGCCCGTGTTCTCATACCCTACAAAACAAAGCATGTCAGAGATCCATTAGATACTTATACAACAGTTCTGATAACTTACTTTCGACCGCTTCGTTCCACCCAAAATCGAAATAATAAAACCGCTTTCGATAATCTGGCCAGTTTCTGTATTCCTCTCTCTGCTTTTGGGGAACGTTCATTTCATCCTCCGGTAAGCTCTTGACGGCTTCAACCAGTTGGAGGAGTTCGGAGCTGCTGTCCCTCGAGCTCTATAATGGCATTCTCAAGAAGAATTGCTACTCGCCGGATTTCATCCTTGATAGGTGTTTGATAGTCAGTCAAGTTCAACGTTCATGATTTGCTTTGCAGCCACGTCGGCTCTTGTTTGACCGCAGAGATACTGCTTCAATGCTTCCACTTCGTCTGGCGCACATGGTTCCTCGTCCGACGTCGGTCATTTGGCCTCTGCCTGCAAACCACGCATCGTCTGCGTTCATTGTTGAGTCTTATCTTACGCTAAATGTACTCAATGACATGTTTCTTTTCGTCTTTCTTTCTTTCTTTCTGTCTTTCTTTCCTTCTTTCGCTCTATTTTGAGCGATGCCGTCTGTCATCTTAAATCCCAGCAGTCCAGAAATACATCTACACACTACAGAGCATTTATATAAATATGACAGGGTTTTGCTACAATATAGATTTTTTTTCTGGGGTTCAGCAATGGTAAGATCACGATCGCTGCATCGCTGCAACGATGAGTCACAAAGTTGACGCTGTGACATATTATGGTGGTTTGCTGGCAACCTGGGTCATGTTCTGAACTTCTGAGGTTTGCCAAGAGATTTCGTCTCCGAAAGTGTCAGACCGTAGACGCGAGGGATGCTGGTCCGCATTGGCGTGGATGGATGAAAGATGAAGTGGCATGAGATTTAAAATCTAAGGTTTAGAGCTGTAATTTAGGGTTCATTTAGGGACAAGAAAATCATTAGTTGGCAATAGTGGAGTGGTGGATTCAAGGTCCAGTGCGCTGGAACGAGGAAACTGCGAGCAGTCCGAGTTTCGCCCGCGCGAGATAAGTTTATACTCCACTACGCCTGTGCCACTGTGCGAAAGCAATGGAGATCGGCCTTATCAAGTATTTTCACTTTTCAATTCGTCTTTTTCTGCTCTTAATCTTTTAGACTTCGTTACTGTAACATTACCATTCAGTATATCCTTAATAACCAAATATCTTTCCCGCTATATATGTGCTAAGAACATTCAAGGTTGATAAACCCATAGACCAAAAGGAACTCAAATGAGATCATCCCTAAATTATAGACTCCGATCCAATTCTACATGTAATAAAAAATCTTATAGGACCATCCAGATCGTACAGCTAATGACACCGATCAGGACAACCGTTGTGAGCAAGGCAGCACCAGCTTTGTCTCCTGAAGTCACAGGATCATCCTTTTCTCCCGTAGGTGAATAGTTGCCTCCGTTATCACCACTGCCAGCAGATGGATCACCCTTACTTGTACCATCAGTGCTGTTTACTGGTCCGACAACCCTGGAGGCGAGGCATGATTGGATTACCTCCAGGGCGGCCATCTGCTCGCCGACACCATACCTGCCATCCCATTTTGAGCCCTCTGTCCATTTCAAACCGCATGTGACACCATCAGTACCTCCACTGCACTGTGCTGCTGCTGCCTGGGCAGATGCTCGGATCCGTGTCATAACGTAGTCATATGTCCACGGTGCCATCTTCGTGGTGGCAGTCATCCAGCGCGACAGAAAAGCCTTGAATGACCGCTGATCTGTGTTGCAAGTGCCCTTGGGCTCACATGCAACCTCATACATTACGTTGGGTGGATCTTCGGCAAAGAAGATATTCGTGGCGTTGAGAATGCCGTCGACACGCTCCTTCCACCGATCCTCGCCCGTCTGCACACAAGTCAGTTTGGCCATCCATTGTGAAGTTCCCATTGTACATACAAGGTTGTACATGGCTGCAGCGCCAAGCAGATAGACGCCAGCATTGTACGACCATTGCATCATGTCGACATGGATGCAGTCAATGCTGGAGTCTGTACCATCAAAAAGTTGATAGGTCTTACTGATTAGACCAACTTTGGACGACCAGTCCCACTCCTTCTCTGCCCATTCGGAGTACGTATTGTTGCCAGTATACCTGGCTAGTCGCGCCGCAAGGTTGAAGAAGCAGCCATTGGAAATAGTGTTCTTGTAGTTGTAGCCATTGTTGAACACAAATATCTGCCACCGCAGGCCCCCATCGCACGATTCATTGTCCCAGCGCACAGCTTGAGAGTTGAAGACGCCCTGTGCAAGAGCAAGCCAGCCTGGCTGGCCATCTGGCGGGTCTGGAAATTTATGTTCAGCAGCCGCCATGGCCGACATAGCCCAGAAACCTTGGTCATCGTTGCCCTATATGCATCATAATCGTCAGCAAAAGTCATTCTTGTATTGCACCTATCTTCTCGAGATGCTATACCTCCGTCTTACTTTGGTTCTGGGTCATGTAATCGTGGTTCGGGCCCATCTGCCACAACATGGCCTGCGTGGTGACATCGTTGTAAGTGGTGTCGCCGGTGTAGTAGTAGTAGTCAATCATGGCGCCAAAGGCCGCACCAGCCTCCCACCAATAGTATGGCGCTGGGAGGTTTCCTGGGACGTCACCGGTGTGATTGCCTGTATAGTACTTCATCATACCGTATGCGACAGTTGAAGCCGCAGACTTGATAGATTCTGCCACGTCTCGATCAGCTTCCATATCGTTGTGCAACGAAACATTTTTCCCCCTCGAAAGATGCGAATAGGCGTTTCAACGTCGACTGTTCACGATCGAGAGAGATAGTCGACGTACCGTCATCATCAATGTTTAATTCGATGGTTAGGGCCAGTCTAGCGCCCAGGAGCACCGAACCTAGGAAGCATATCAGCCCTGTGGATTTCATAGCTGCCAGGGACGTGTTTAAATTGATAGGATTACGTCTTGTATATTGGAGGTCACATCGCAGCAGGTTCTTAAGCAAACGGAAGCCAGAGGTCCATGCCTGCGGCCTGCGGATAGAATGGAAATTAATGCTGTCTTGGCATGGCTCGGATGAGTCTAAATAATGTGGAGATCATTGGTAATTCAGTTCAGGGATGAGGGGCCAAGCAGAATTGGCAATGAGAGAGCCACATGTGGGACCAGTAACGAACAGGGATCTAGTGTTGACATATTGTACACCTGCTGGTGCTCTTGTAGAGCGTCAGGCCACGAGCGGTATCCGGATGCGCCGACATATTCTCTGTGGAGGCAAAGCAAGAAGACTGGGAAATATTCGAAGACAGGCTGTTGATGTTATTACCTAAAACCTCGTATTCCAAAGTCTTGGCATGCGGTTATATGTCGTATCAGTTAATTAAAATTGATTATATTGATAAGATTACTTTCTCAATCCCAGTCGTAAATTATTACAACTTTTCAAAATAAATTAAGATAATACTCAGATAATAATTTCGAGCTAATTCAGTTTTTTAAAGGCTCCAAGTCTCCAATCGATAGTTCCGAGTCGGAGCCTTTTCCGGGGTGAAAGGCTAAAAGCCGCCCTGAAGCTCTATTCAAAATGAAATTCCATCTATAATAACCCTTTCCTGGGTCAATCTGCGCCTGCAATAACTTGAGACCATCCTATGGCCTGTGCTCAAGTCGCCCCCATGTGGTGTCGGTCGTAATGCACTACTGCTTCGAGCAAAGCTTGGGTGCCCAGAGTACTATATAAAAATCAGAATCTGAGTTTATCAACCATACATGGCTAGAAAAACATACCAATCTTCTGGACTACAATACTCCGTTGGGTTATGACTGACCCCATCTCGACAAGGGACAAAGATCATAGCTGTCGGACAGTGTTTATTTGTGTAGACACTATCATGTCCGGCACCGCTTGTCATTGACATCCGCTTATCCGGGCCAACCAGTGCATCTGCAGCTGCCTCGATAGAACTGATACAGTTCTTGTCAAATTGGACAGCGGGAGAGTCGGTGTCCAATGTCCAGTCAAATGCTACTCCCCGTCCGTCCTGTGATGCAATGGCCGAAAAGGATTTCAAACACTCTTCCTGGACAAATTGGACAACACTATCCTGCGGGTGCCGGATATCAAGAGTAAATGTGACTTCCGAGGCGACAGTATTTGTAGAGGCATTTGATGGTAATTTAAGCACACCGGTCGATGCCAATGCGTCGTACCGTTTGGCAATTTCGTGAGAGGAAATAATCATTCTGGATGCAGCGAGTAAAGGGTCTTGTCGAGCACTGAGCGGCGTGGTTCCGGTATGAGCATCTCGTCCAAGGACCCTAAAGGTCAGCCATCTGTATCCTTGGGCGCCCTTGACGACACCAATAGATCTGTTGCTATCTTGTAAAATTGGACCCTGTTCGATGTGCAGTTCAAAATGCGCTCCGAGTAACGTCCCATTCGCTGCATTACTGGAGCAAGCCATGCTTCCCAGAAACCCATGTTTTTCAAGCTCTGATCGAAGAGTTGTGCTGCTGTCATGGATATCATGCAGGTTCCAGGCCGATTCAATTGGGATCACACCTGCCCACACGCCAGAAGAACACATTGATCTGGGGAATCGAGCTCCTTCCTCACTGTAACGAATTAAGTTAGCTAGAACCATATGCAATCAAAGATAGTTACCGTGTACATACTTTGTCCAATTTACAAGCCCAATATCATGAATGGTCTGGAACCCATTTTCTTTCATCGTTCGGAGTACTTCCAATGCGGCCATTACTCCAAGGATTCCGTCATAACGACCTCCTCGAGGCTGTGTGTCAAGATGACTTCCCATTGCAATCATTGGGGCAGATGATTTAAGCTTCCCTGACTGTCGTGCAAACATGTTTCCCATCTGGTCTATCGAAAGGGAGCATCCCAGTTTCGTGACCTCGGCAGCCAACCACCTTCGAACGTGTGCGTCCTCATCTGTGAGAGTCAAGCGGGCCATTCCTGTCTCCGTAGGCCCCCTGTTTCTGTATCAGATTATGATTGAAATGCGAAACTGCGATCAAAAACCTGTCAGGTACATACTTGCCATATCGATGAGCTGCACCCCATTTGCATGTTTCATGCAGAGTTTCCCAAAGCCTATCTGAGTTGATTCTAAGCCCAGATAAATTACGCCGCGAAATCTTTGACAAAAGTCTCGTGGGGTTGGTGTGCATAATGCGAGTACCGCCTTTCGCTGCTTGCATGTTGTGGATAATGCCACAATTAAGGATGCACTACTCTATTGAAAGTCCAAATTCCTATACGTAGGGCAGTAATTGCAAGGCAAGGGCTGCTTCGGCAAAACTTGGAAAGAACCCACTTTGCTTTATATATCAGCGCTGCTCGCAGCGTACCGAATACAATTGATGGCAACACACCTTATCGTCAGCTCCACAGATTCAACCATCACAACAGCGCCTTCTGATAACATTGGGGTCATGTCAGGTGAGCTTATCAAAGTTCCGTTAGTCTGGTATCAGTACTATGACTAGACGGTTAGACTAATACCAATTCTTCGCTTAAACGGCTGAACTAAACTGGAACCCGTAGGCAGCTATAACTAACTTAGTTATAGTTATATCGCTGCCAGGGACCATAATCCTCCCCAGAGAAATGTGTTGTCAGAAGGCGCATCTTATGTCCGTGGAAGGCGTCTGTTCAAATTTTTTTCCCTTCTTCCCAGCCAACAACAGTCCAGAATACTTCCAATTACGTACTTCAATTATTGCCCGACCGTTTGACTCAGAGATTAGAATATCAGAATTCAATATATATATATATATATATATATCTATATGTAATATAAATAGTATTTGCTTGTCTATCATCCCCGACATAGTTGATTCATAATTGCATACAAAGTCTGATACACTCATATCGAGACGCGCTTTCTGCTTCCTGCGCAATATGTCTTCACGTCGGCCAATCTATTTCAACCCTACAGCAGCGGGCCAGCGCTGCCAGTTTTCACCAATTGAGGGCCTCGACCAATTCCATCGGTCGCTTCCCAAATACTCTCAGTCCCCTCTCGTTTCTTTACCAGATCTTGCGGCAAAATTAGGCGTCCGCGCCATTTTCGTCAAAGATGAAAGTAATCGTTTTGGATTGCCCTCATTCAAGGTTCTTGGAGCGTCTTGGGGATGTTATCGAGCTTTGGCATCCAACCTCGAACTTCCATTGACAGCTAGTTTGAATGACCTCTCTGTAAAAGCCAAGGAACGCTCAATCACCCTAATTGCCGCAACGAAGGGCAACCATGGAAGAGCAGTTGCATTCATGGCAAGGCTCCTGGGCATTACAGCAAAAGTGTTCGTACCCGATGCAATGGATGAAGGTACGCGGCGTCTCATTGCAGCTGAAGGAGCTTCCCTGGTCATTGTCAAGGGAGACTACGATCAAGCCGTACAGGAAGCATCAAGGGCGACGCGAGCAACTGATGGAGCACTTCTCATACAAGATACACCATTAGAAGGCTACACTGATATCCCGTCGTGGATTGTAGAGGGGTATTCGACAATGTTCTTTGAGATCGAGGAGCAACTTGGCTCTCTTGGCTTGTCCAGCAGCCTTATGGTTACTCCTGTCGGTGTCGGGAGTCTGGCACAAGCTGTAGTGAGATACTGCAAATCTCGAGAAACACCCGTCTCAGTGCTTGCTGTAGAGCCAGATTCTGCGCCGTGTTTGCATACTAGTCTGACTGCTGGACGGTCAGTGACAGTTCAAAGCTCCTCAACGATAATGGACGGGATGAATTGCGAAACCGTTTCCTCAACTGGGTGGCCTGAGCTGCAGCAATCGACCGACGCTTGTATAACAGTGTCATCATACGAAAGTCACCGCGCAGTTCAATATCTTTCTTCTCACTCCGTCGCTGCTGGACCATGCGGAGGCGCATCACTGGCAGCACTATGGCATTTAGCTGAATCAGACAAAGCCGCTTCGCTTCTCAACAAAGACTCTGTCGTGGTTCTTCTCAGCACAGAGGGCGCACGAGATTACATGACTCCTTGGGATGTATCGATGGACGACGGTGTCGGCTTGACTCAAGCTCTCGTCCGTATCAACTCCTCGAATCCTACTCTCTCTATGGCCGACGGGGCCGGGGAGGGCCAGATCTCCAATTACCTCGAAGCCTGGTTTGCCCATCGTGACATTGAATATCACCGCATCGAACCCGTTACCGGACGACCATCTGTGGTCGGTGTCCTCCGCGGTAGTGGAGGCGGCCAATCCTTGATGTTCAATGGCCATGTTGACACTGTCAGTCTCTCCAGCTACGAAAGGGATCCCCTCTCAGGATCATTAGGCGAAAAAGATGGCAAGCAAGTTATCTTGGGAAGAGGTAGCTTGGACATGAAGGGCGGGTTAGCTGCTGCTTTAGCTGCTGTGTCGGCCACAAAAGCAGCCGGTCATGTTCTTAAGGGTGACGTGATCCTGGCCGCCGTATCGGACGAGGAAGATTCCTCCCAAGGGACTCGGGATTTGCTGGACGCAGGTTGGCGTGCAGATGTCGCTATCATCCCGGAACCGACCTCGAGCACAGTTTTTATCGCGCACAAAGGCTTTGTCTGGGTCGAGTTGGATATTCTTGGAGTCGCTGCACACGGCTCAAGACCTGACGAGGGAGAAGATGCTATCCTCCTTGCAGCGCGGTTTCTGCAATCACTGGAACGATACCAGCAACAATTGCCTGTTGACGAGACCCTAGGACAGGCATCCTTACATTGCGGATTGATACGGGGTGGCGAAGAACCTTCCTCCTATCCCGCAAAATGCACCATCACAGTCGAGTTCCGCACCGTTTCCGCACAATCTGAGGAATCAATCTTGAGCGACCTCGATGCAATGTTAAGAGGTATTTCCCAGGAGGATCCGCGCTTCAGATACACCGCTCCTCGTGTAACGCTTTCTCGGCCCGCACAGAAACTGGATCCTAACGACCCATTTGTAAAGAGAATGGTTGCATGCTCATCTACTGTTTTGGGACGTCACCTTCCAGTCCAGAGCGGCGCCTTTTGGTGTGATGCAGCCCTGCTGGGCGAAGCTGGAATCCCGGCAGTCGTGTTCGGTCCTGACGGTGCAGGCCTGCATAGTAAGGAAGAATGGGTCGAGGTCAATAGCCTTAACGAAATGGAGGAAGTGTATACGGAGCTCATTCATGAGTTTTGTTCCTGAGGCGCGGTGCTGTTAGATCTGATAATATCATGGCATTTGTAAAATCGATTTCAGATTAATCGTAGAGTAGGTAAAAGAGATGCATGGCATTTGGTGGGATACAGCAGCTACATGTATTGTTATAGCATTCGACGCGCCTTGCCTAAAATTTAGCTTGTTATTCGCTATACGACGGGTAAAAGTACAGGACAGTTTGATAGGCGTTGGGGTTGTCCACAGGATGCAAAATAGGCGACCCAGAGCAGCAAAGTGAAATATCACGTGATGGACCAACCACTAACAGCTTGAAGTCAAATTTTAATGACAATCCATTACGGCTGAAAAAATCTTCTTATGCAATGCTATCGAGAACTGAATGTTGAGAATATACTGTACTGATAATTCGGCCTTGAATTGACCAACAATCTACCTTTATCGATCTTATACGCCGCTAAGTGCCTCTTTCACAAGGGTCAGATATATGGACCACTTAGAAACGCCCTACTATCTACAATCTTCTCCACCAAGGGGACCTATTCAAGAGTCTGAGTCACTACATATATCTCATCTCAATGATTCAGAAATTCGCCCCGATGATAGTCAGCCGTCGTCTGCTTTGAATGCATTCAATAACTTCAATCTCTCGTCTGATGGAGGATGGCCTTTTTGGATACCTTATGACAACGCTGAGTCACCAGAGGTGCTTCAGCTTCATGGAGAGGATGCAGCTGAAGCATTACAAAGAACAAATCAAGAAGGCCTATATTATACACACTTATTGTCAGGCACTATTAATCAACCTACGCCTCGGAGGGGATTAAGTAATGTCTCGCAATGGCTAGATGGCGCATATAACCCTCCAGTCCCCTGTACTTACTGCCGGAAGCATCGTCTGCAGTGCCTCATAATAAGGACCACGCCTGCCAATCCGAATCCGGTCACATCATGTTCAAGCTGCGTTGCTCTATTTCGGGAGTGCAGTCTTGCCCAGGGAGAAAAGCGCCACCCGTCCGAGTTTGAAACCTTATCTCCTGTGTTGGGTCACCTCCATGGCGTTCCTGAGCACACGGAAGATGCAGTAAGGGACTACATGCCTCCATCAAGAAAGTTCTGACCAAGTGAAGCAGGAAAAGGGAAACCCTAACAACGACATAGAGACCCCGGCAAAGGGAAAAGAACCCAAACATTTTGTGCGAAAGGGTGCCAGAATTCTCAAGGAATGGTTCCACGAGCACGAGGAATATCCCTACCCTTCTGAAGAAGAATCCTCTCATCTATCACAGCGAACCGGCTTTACCAAAAAGAGGATATCCACTTGGTTTGCCAATGCTCGTCGGCGTCAGAAGCAAAAGATTCAGTGTTTATCAAAGCCGCGGGTCTTTCGTGCTGGATCCCCTATGCCTACTAGCAAATTGGCTTCAATGACTCCCATTGAACGATGGCGCATGTCTCCACCGGAAGATGAGCCAGCTCCAGAGTCAGCCATCCAGAGGGCTATTTCCTCCTCCGCCTCGGAATCTGACCATTGTATTGACCCGTCCCTACTTGACCTCTCCCTGATGGATCCATCTTCTCTCGATGAGGCGTCCTCGGATCTTGCTTCCTCTGTCTCCAGCTTGGGAGGCAGACTTTCAGACGCTTCATCGTCAAGTCTCTCATCGGCATGGAGTTATAACTCCTCCCAGGACCAAATACTACCGTTTCCTTTACCTGCTCGCGGATCACGTTCTATACGACGGCGAGAACGGCAGCGACAGGTGGGAAAAGAAAACCAATACCAGTGTACATTTTGTGTTCAATCCTTCAAAAAAAAACACGACTGGTGTAGGCATGAGAAGAGTGTCCATCTCTCCCTCGAATCTTGGGTCTGCACACCCGATCTCTATGAACTTCAACCTTCCATTCCCCAACCATCTGTGTGCCGATATTGCGATACTTTATCACCCAGTCATGATCACTGGGAACAGCATGAATTCTACGTCTGCTCCCAAAAGCCAGTAGCAGAGCGATCATTCAGGCGCAAGGATTATCTGTGGCAGCATTTGCGAAAGTTTCACGGCTGCACCAAACCTCCTGTAGCAGACCTCGACACCTGGCGCGATGCGGGAGAAGATGTGCGCAGTCGTTGCGGATTCTGTAACTCCTCTCTACCCACCTGGGGAGCACGTGCAAACCACCTTGCAGTCCATTTCAAGAACGGCTCTCATATGGATCAATGGGTAGGTGACTGGGGGTTTGACTCATCGGTCTTGAGCTTCTTGAGAAATGGAGTTCTGCCGTCTCAGAGGGCTTTCACGGACTTGCTTGATACATGATCTTGTTACAATTTATGAGTTATGTACCTTATGCGACCAATGTTTGATCATTTACATGACATTGAAGATGAACTCAATATTCTATTCTTTTATAAAGAACTCTTTTAGTAGCAAATAGTGGTCGAATGGACTGCTGAAATATGAAATACCCCATGAACATACATAATCAAATTACTTGGATTCTCATTCTCATCCTGACTACACTTTTAAAGATAAATTGCAAGCAGTTCTGAGTGATTTCTTGGTTTTTGTGCGAGAACTTTTCAGCATTTGGTCAATCCCATCTAGAGAATGGACTCAGCAAATTCCGTACGAGATTTGACCTTGTGCGGCATACAGTGATAAGAGATCACTTTCCCGATGTCATGAGAAGGCGCAAGACGTCAACAAGCCCATTGTCTAACCGAAGACCCACCCAACCTGCCGAATATTGGGTCTCCTTCGTCTGGGACGGTTCTATCATTTCATTCATCAATTTAAAAAGAGAGATGACCGATGCTATTATATATAATAATATTTTCTCAGTCCTTGATAAATGAGACTGTTTCAGCCTAGTGGACCTGGCGATGAGTTTTGCCCAAATGACGTCCGGTCTACGCATTGCACTAGAGATAGGCAGGCTGAATCACCGCTACAGTCATCTGATTTTAGCTTGCAAGGCAAAGAACCACCAAACCCAGCTCTCATAGCACAAGCTTCAGCTGCGTCAGAGAGTGCAGATTATCCCGAAGGAGGGGTGAGGGCGTGGCTGGTCGTGCTAGGATCATGGTCTGCTATGATTCCCTCTATGGGCCTGTTGAACAGCCTCGGGATTTTACATGCTTGGGTCAGCGCTCATCAACTTGAGGGTTATTCGGAATCAAGCGTTGGCTGGATTTTTGGAGCCTATGGATTTTTTCTTTATGTTGCTGGAGCACAAGCGGGTGAGTAGATAATTGGACTTTATATTTGGTCGGTCCTTGTCTTAATCTCCCTGGAGGAGAAGAAAAATTAATGCATGGTACTAAATCATCAATACAAGGAGCAATATTTGACGCATATGGACCTAATTATATCATTATTCCGGGCTCCATTGGGATAGTTGCAGCAATTATCTGCCTTAGTTTCAGCGAAGGCATGTATTACGTTCACTGGGGAAATCCTCTTCGTCTGAAATTATCGCTAACCAATACTTCTCCAGCTTACTATCAAATTTTTCTCTCCTTCAGTGTGCTTGGTGGTCTTTCAGCATCCGCACTCTTTACACCTGCAGTTTCGTCAGTTGGTCACTGGTTCAACCTTCGTCGAGGATATGCCACGGGCATTGCATGTACTGCTGGTGGGCTTGGAGGGGTTATATTTCCCATCATCATCCTCTTTGCGGCCCCCAAAATCGGGTTTCCTTGGGCAATCCGTATCATAGCGCTCTTAAGTGCCGTATTATGCTTGCTCGCATGTATCCTTTTGAAAACCAGACTGCCGCCTAATAAAAGCGCCGGCGCGTCTGTTGATTTCAAAGCACTCAAGGATGTCAAGTATGCCTCCACAACTATTGCAGTCTTCCTGGTGGAATTTGCTGTATTCATACCGATCACTTACATTGCATCTTATGCTGTTCATGTTGGTGTGCATAATGAACTTTCGTACGCGCTCATTGTGTTTCTGAATCTAGGTGCCGTTCCAGGACGCTTCTTACCTGGTTTAGTCGCGGATCGAGTGGGCCGTTTCAACGTGATGGTTCTGACCTCTATTGTTTGCGCACTCTTGACCCTGGCTTTATGGCTCAGCGCTGGGAAGAGCACGCCAGCCATCATCTGCTATGCAGTCTTTTTTGGCTTTTGGAGCGGAGCGGCTATCAGTCTAACGCCCGTGTGCATCTCCCAAGTGTGCGCTACTGAGGACTATGGTAAAAGAAACGGGACCACTTTTACTATTTCTAGCATTGGCACGCTTACTGGCATTCCCATCGCAGGAGCCATCCAGCAACGAGATCATGGAGGTTATGAGGGACTGATTATTTTCGGAGGAGTCCTGTATCTTGCAGCAGCCATAGCATTTGCTCTTGCCCGAGGAATTTGCCAAGGCTGGTCTCTGAAGACGAAATTCTAGCGTAACCTAGCATTATCTTCCCTATTAGATATTCCATTTGCATACTGAACGGTGCATATATGATCACTGAGTAGTAAATATTGTCGAGGATTAACTTGATAGTCTATATGAAAGTCTCTACTTGGCGTGAAATGACAGGAAAGATTCAGAACCCCAAACCAAGTACGTTCACTTGCTTTGTCCGGGCACAATATGCGCAGGGGAAATATAAAGTAATGTATAGCACAACAATGCGTGTTTTATGTCTATAAGATTATCCAATTGAGAACTAATTATCTATACGCCCGGAGATGAGAACTCGCTGATTACGGTAGAAGCTGCCAGGTCCAACTTCAACTCGGAAGGATGAGGCCGATCCGGAACAATATTCGACGATAATAATGTTACAGCACACGAAGCCGCTTCACCTTCTGTTCCTGTGTGTTGCACAATGATCTCTTCAGAGACCCCACCGGCTTTTTCATCAGTCGAAGATCCAGCTCGGACCGATGAAAGTCAATTATAAGTATCCGCTCCAGTTCAGAGTTCCATAAAATATTGTCAGGCCGGAGGTCTTGATGCACAACACCCAAATTGCGGATTTCCTTCCTCGACCTTGACAGTTCACGAGTCAGCGCCCGTGAATGCTGGAGATTGCTTGTACTTTCTCCTGCGTAAGCCATAAGCAGCATGTGTTGTATCTCTCCGGCTCCATGGAGGAAATAGACATTTTTCAAGTTAATTGCTCCAAGAAAGACAGGAACTGCCGAGCCCTGTGCTTTCCGGAGAACTTGGTACACCTCCGCTTCGCGCGAGACCTCTTTCCAAAGTCGAGATGTCGTGCCCTTTCCAATAATAGTGTAGCCGTATGCGACGGACGTGATCTTGAACGGCGCGCCGTACGCTCCACAAATTCCCAAGGGCGTAATATTATTATCAAGATCTTTGTCCAGCTGCTGCTTGATCAACTGCACGAGGCGTTCTGCAGTAATACAATGTTGATTGCCGTCTTTACCCTGTCGATGGAGCTCCACATTTGGGCAATTCTCATCCAGTGCATCCTGTTGTTGCAGGCCAATTAAGCAACGTTGTGTGCAAAATTGTGCTGCATGCTGCTGATTCCGACTGTTTGGATCATTGCGGGAGCCGCTTTGCCGGGACAACGGGCGAGGAGATGGAGATTCCACCTGGCTGAAACCCCGCTTCCGTCCAGACTCGGCATGGTTAGTATCGGAATCTGAAGAGTCCATCAGCTCTGGGCCATGCGCTGCGTCCGGTGGCGCACACCCAGTCTGAGATCGCGTTGGTATTCGACGGTCCTGGATAGTGGGAGACACCGAATTGGAGGATGGCAGATATTCGGAACCTGTATCTTCAGAAGCTATATATCCTGAGTCGGGAGGTGCCCGTTGCAGCTCCTCATTGGGAATCTGTGACAATATGTGATCAAAGCTTGTCTTCCATATATGCAATCGGGCCCTTGCAGCATTCCGCCATGCCTGCCCACGAGAACGAGAGCGAAAGCTCATCAAGCACAGGCACAGCACCCTGGCAATGGCGGATTTCGGTTGTCGAAATACCCGATCGTCCTCAGGATCCAGATCCAAGTTGGGTTCGCAATGATAGTAATAAAGCGTACTTGGATCGTCGTATGGCACACGGAGAAGGACCAGGGCGAATCCATTGGTCACGTAGGAGTACTCGAGGCCCTCTTGGATCATCACATGGTATTCTTGGGCCAGGACCGAGCTAGCCAGCAGTTCGGCGTTGTACTTCAATTTTCCAGCTTCATCCGTTGGAATAGTGTCTCGTTGAACAACTTCCTCCCAGAGATTCATAGGACGAAGGCCCGCGCGAAGGTTTTCCACAGAGAGTTTGTGGGGTGGCTTGTATTCGACGGTGGTGAGAAGGGTATTGGTGGTGCCGTTGACTCGATGGATACAAAATTGATCAGGTCTGGGATTTTGGAAATTTGATGTGTCATTTGTCTCTGACGGGCCAATGTCGACCTCATCCAGGGTATTGGAATGATTGTCGAACTTGACTCCATCGCCGAGACGAAACTCCCGTTGAGCCCTGGGTATCTTGCACAACTCAGCGACAATATCATGCACATGATCTTCCACCGCGAATCGCTCGTAAATTTCCAAATCCTTTTCACTGCTCAGCTTCCGGCTGCAAAGCCGTCGCCCAAGACCTTCTAGGTGAAGAAATGGAGAAAACAGTTGTGGTGGGTCTTCTCCCGCTGGCTGTAGGTAACCGCAAACAGAGTTGAACAGCAGCTGTTGCTGAATGGCACAGTCTGGCCACGGGAGGAGCCTTGTTGGGCAGTATTTCCCAGTGGGCGGGGGTATTGTTCCTTTCGTAGAATGAGACGTAATCTCAACTTGTAACGGTCTGGATAGTAAGCTGTGGCAGGTTTGTATGAATTCTCCGAACGTGGTTTCACGTATACGCTCTTCAGCTTGTCTTTGCTGCTCTTCAGCTTGTCTTTGCTGCTCTTCAGCTTGTCTTTGCTGCTCTTCAGCTTGTCTTTGCTGCTCTTCAGCTTGTCTTTGCCGCTCTTCCGCCTGTCTCCGCAACTCTACTTCTTGTCTCCGCTCTTCCTCGGCCCTCAGGAAGAGGGCTTTATAGTCTGGCGAGCGGTCGCCAGCCATCGACACCGTGAAGGGATATCGGCGAAGATAAAGAGAGCAGAGAGGAGGTGGAAATCTTCATTATCATCTCATTGAATGAACGAAGCCTGCGTTATCGCGGGGTTGTAGTTACGAATGTGTATGCCATCCTGGTCCTATTGAATCTGGGGATCGGTTAGAGTTTCCTTCCGGCTATGGTTAAGCTGCTATTATTGTCACTTCACTGTGATTGGTCCCCCCTTTGGCTGTAGATCGGCTCCCTGAATTGGCATTTCCCGACGTTAATTACCCCCGTACTGGGAATTGTCAACATTCAACGGTGTCACTCCCGAAGCCCCCAAAAAGTGCGCCAAAACTCCTCTCCCCGGCATCCGAGCATTATATTCTTTTCCCCTGATTGTTTAATGTCAACCTTATTGGACTAGAGTTGCTCCTGGTAGTCTGACAATGGCATACAATGCCATCGCTCAGAGAGAACATGAACAGTTGTCCGACGACGAGTCTTCTGTGACGAGCACGCGACCAGACCGTGCGGTTACTCATGACACGGGGCACGAAAGCACAAACGATAAGGAAGATGCGACCGCAGAACCACGTCCAGAGTCGAGAGAAAGCTTTGCCTCCGCCGAGGAAGATCATTTCAGCGAACGACCTAAATCTCCCGCGTCCAAGCCTGAAAAGTATGATTTATTGGAAGAAGATGACTACGAGGAGCCCATACCAGTCGAGCCCGGCAACGAAAACGCTAGCCACAAGGAGCATGTGGAAAGTAAGGGGTCGGATGGTGACCACAGTTCTTCACAAGAGAGCATTAGAAGAGGCAAACAACACGAGCCAACTCCAACTGCAGACACAGAGGAAAAGCTCTCTAGCATGGATTCCAGTACGTCCTCTCCGGAGCCAACCATGACGGTTAGAACATATTCTTCCGAGGGATCAATGAGCCGTCAACATCCAAAGCCAGGACTTCAGTCTATACAGGGTGCCTATATCGACAATGTGGAACGGCTCGAACGGAGCGCGGAGCGGTTGAGCATGGGCTCGGATATTGGAGAGGAATTACGGAAACTAAAGGAAGAAGAACGCAAATCTGCTAGTCGAAGGTCCTCTTTGCACGATTCGCAGGCAAATGGCGGTCGTTCCAAGACTCCTTCATTCAGTCACCAATTTTCAACCGGGTCGATATCGAGTTCTATCGTTGGAGTAAACAGTCATGCTAGACATGGTGGATATTCGTCCAGCGCATACGTGACCTCCCCAAAGGGCTCTATCCGCTCCGGATCATCCTCTCACTTTTCCTACGCTGGTAGGCCAACATCTCACGGGTCGCGTCTAGCCAATCTCCCCGAACCCGAATTAGAAGGCCGGCCGCTTGATTCGATGGTCACTTCTCCCGGACTCCAAAGTACACGAAGCACAACATCAATCCGCTCGCCATCTTCTGCCGCCCGGCATGCAGCCGACGACGACCCGCACGAGCACACGTCGCCATCGAGTCAGAAGGGTCATGTCACGCGGCACGATCAAAATGCAACTTTGGACACCCCAGAGCGTCCTGCTTCCACGGATACATACCAGCAGGCAAGGACATTGTTCACCGATTTCGACGGTGTCCATTACCCAGTGGAACCACAGAGCAGATCTACTAGCGGCTATTTGACCGCTACAAGCCGGGAACCGTCTTTTAATCGAAATTCGCGACCAATGTCTTTTCTAGAGCCTCTCCCAGGAGAAAACATGATTTACTATCCTGCCCCGGTACCGGAAATATTAAATCTCCCCAAAAGGTTATCCAAAATTCCCGCAGGCTTTGCGCGAGATAAGAGAAGATCTCAGGCTCCAGGATTCGATCGTGATGCCTCTCGGCAATCTGTCAATTGGTTCCCTGGCCTCTTGGAAGGCGTTGATCATAGTGAGGAAAAGGTTGAGAAGAAAGATGAAAGCAACGAGGAAAAAGGCAATCGTAGGAATACTGTGAATCTCGACCGGATTCCACCTCAGTTACGAGCTAGCGTCTTTTTTCAAGAGCCCAGCGTTGAACCTGATATCGTCATTAAAGGCGGCTCGGCCGTGGCGACGTTGGACAGTATTCTTGATGCCTCGGCAACGGCACCAGTGAATGCATTCTTGGACCACCCATTTGCTGGACAGGTAGGCAAGGAAGTATACGGCAAAGAGAGAGCAAGTCAGAGTTCGGCCGACTTGGTAGGCCGTCATCTCGATGTTCCAAAATCTCGACAATCCAACGTTCTTCGGAAACGAAATAGCGCGGGTACCCTCGAGATTGCTCAGAGACGCGAAGGTAGTAGATTCAGCCTTGCCAGCTCGGATGCACGTCTGAGTGAGGCATTGCATGGCGCCCCGTCTGAGGCAGAGCTTGCAGCGCAGCATGACGACACAACGCTGCTTGGACGCTCTGGGACGGCAGGTCCTGCATTCGAAGACGAAGGTGCTATTAACGCAACAGAAGAGCCGGACGAGGGCCAACTCGAAGATGAGTTTTTTGGGCCGCCGACTACGCTCTTGGCTGAACTGCAACTCCGAAAACGACAACAGCGTCAACGGAACCTTACAGCTGCAACGGCTTTCCCGAATGGTATGCGCTCGACGTTACTCGAGTTGGATGCTGTTGCACAGTTACAGAAGAACTCTCGGCAGCATAAGCGCGTAACTCTTGCGTGGGAGCGACCTGATGCCGCCCAAGGCGATGAAATTGATGACGAAGTACCCTTGGGAGTACTATTCCCTGGGAAGGATACGCTCATGAACAAATACAATACAATGTCCGGAGCTGATCGGCCTTTGGGTCTCATGGCCAAGCGTGACCTAGAGGATAATGAACCTTTGAGCCGCCGTCGAGAGAGACTTCGACGTCCTAGTCGTCCGTTTCGCGATGCAAGCCCCAATGCACGCGCGAGCACCATGTTTCTATCTAATCTTGATACCAATGGTCGATCGGGCGACGTTGATCTGGAGGAGCCCGAGGGAGAGACCTTGGCTCAAAGGTTAAAGCGAATGAAGACAAAGAGTCAATTGATCAACGACTCTGATAGCAAGCCAATCAATAATGACACAGCCGGCGGCGACTTTACGAGTGAACTGCTGGGCGAGTTGGGCATTGCTGAGGCAAAGTCTGGAAAAGATGAGCAAGCAGATGTGGCAAAGCAAGAGCCTGAAGCTGTTGAGGAGACCCTTGGTCAACGGAAAAAGAGACTCCAGGCTGAAAGAGAAGCCCAGTCACACGACGTTGGCGGGGAGAATGAAGCAAACTCACGCCCACGTCTTCAGGCTACTCGAAGTATGGCCGATATTCTGCAAGCATATCCCGTACCAATCAAGCGCTCTTCCTCTCAAGATAGGCTGTCCACGATGCTCGGTGCTCCAAATGCGAGAGGTGGTCGCTCTGTATCTCAAGACCGGCTCTCTACCATGCTCGGCGCTGGTCAGCGCTCATCATCCCAAGACCGACTTTCTACCATGCTTGGCGTCACCCAAGGTCAACGCTCAGCATCACACGAACAGAAGACTCGAGGACGCGCGGCTCGAAGAAGCATGTACCCGCAATTTCCCAATACTCCTGGCGTGGCACCTGCACCAGGTTTTAACCAGTACGGCATGGCTGCAAACCCTTACGGGGCCAATGCGTATAATGGCGGATACATGATGCAGAATTACTCTGCTCCTATGTCTCAATACCAGCTCGGCTCCCCTAATGCTTTCTTCTCGCCCACTTTAGGTACGAACATGGGCGTTCCGTATACAAACGGTAGCTACTTTCCGGCTCCGATGCAGCAGCCTATGAACATGAACCAGAGCATGATGTTCCAACCAAACATGTTCAATCAGGGCATGCCATACGGGGGTATGGGTGGTGGCTTTGGTGGAAACGCTTCGATGATGCAGCTCCCCCAGGTCCCATCAATGCAGAGGGATAGGATTGACCAATGGCGCCAAAGCGTCACACATTAAATGACTATATTCCCTGTCTCCTTTCCATCATTTCCCATCCCCTTATCCACTTCAAGAAACATTTTTACATTGATTCACTTTTCGGTCATACGTTTGCTGTGGAGATACCATTTTCTTTGTCCGCCTATGCATTTCTTTGCGAGATACAAGCAAGCGCGAAGCCTCAGAGCAAGTAGGCAGTTTTTCATAAAGCATTTAGATTCGTAATGATAATAGTCCATCCTTACAACGCCCTTCGCCTTGATCCCACAATGAAGTTGTACATTTCTGAAAATTTTAAATCGTGAAATTGCGACGTGGCTACACCTCTGAATTACTTAAGAGTAGAAGGGCGCCGTAGACGCTAAAGTGTGAATAGCCTATGTGTATAACCGGTCAATAACTGTTTTGATCTCAACTAGACAGATGAGTCATGTATTCTCGGTTGAGTATAGTATGCGCGAGCTCTATTATATAGATGTGAAAGTCCGCAGGGCTATACCGTATCTGCATCTTTTGTTCATTTCTATTCATCACCCAGAACATATCAAGATATTCTATTAAAACATCTGTTATTTGCTGGGCAGTCTCGCACGTAGAAAGTACTATTTCATCTGAGCTTTCAGTCCTATAGTCTAAGTGCTTCTACACTTCAAGAGTGCTGATCTGTCTGTACACATTATCAGCCCATAGGACCTATTCAACTGATAAAGAATCAAGTATCGGATTCAACAAAGGTATTTTAGCCTCTCGTTGATCCCTCCATTAAAGTACTGAATTGGTACAACCTAGAATGTCCACTCCAGGAGAGGCCCCAGAGGCAGCAAAAAGCGAAGAGAAATTCGACGTTTACAAATATCTTCCTAATTACCCGTACTATCGATCGGGACAGGAATTGCGGGCCTTTTTTGCGGCTGCTAGGGAGCATCCAGAGGGTAGACGGCGATTCATGGACGACGACAGCTATTATAGCCAGCCGAAGTTCGGATTCCTGGATCATTTCCACGACGTCGATGATAAACCAGTCCAGCCCTTGATGACTTACCTGGTCCTTCGGGGACTGTTGAATACTCCAGAAAAAATCAAAAAAGCCGGAAATCTAGAATCGGTTCCGTCCACAACGACAGCCACCGTGGACTCATCTACAAATAATGAATCTGTTCAGGTTTGCTGTATCCCAGTAGAGGTTCGTTTTGAACTGGAGGCCAAGACACCGATGGAAAGGATTGGGGTCAACGTGGATGGGGTAGGAAGAGGAGCATACTTTGTTCCGGGAAACAGCAATATGTAACCTTTTGGTCGCTCCTCCCTATTGAATCATTTATTGTTTACTTTGCTTTTTTACGTTAATTCGTAAACATGATGCCCTTTTACTCTTTGTATGTTACAGAGATAGATACTGGGTTCAGAAGCTTAATCACTTATTCACAATGTCATATAAATTTGGCATTGAGATTGAGACCATTATCAAGTTAAAGCCTTCTACTCACATTGATTTAATCGACGTCCCGACAACAGCAAGGGACAAAGACCACAATCGTGCAGCAGTACACAGGTTTGTTGCTGAAAGGCTAGGAGAGGAGTCCCTCGGTGTAATCACTTCCCACCGAGAATCTGATGGCAAGCACTGGTTCATCATATATGATGAATCAGTCAACGAGGCAGATGAAAACATGTGTATGTTATGAGCCATATTATACTACAAGCACTAAATGTTTTTTAGATGCGACAGAGATCGTATCCCCCGCATTTCCTCTCAATAGCAATTGGCAAAAAGAACTTTCCTTGGTCTTTCAAATACTTGACACTTACTTTACAACAGTAAAGGATGCATCATGTGGGACACATGTCCATATCAGCCGGGCCGATAGTGACTTCTCCATTGTGAACACGAAGCCGATCCTGAAAGCTTGCATATACTTCCAAGAAGCAATTGAGAAATGCCTACCGGTGTACCGCCGGAATGCAAACTGGTGCTGTCCGAATGTCGAGATGAGCGAGGAGTTGACAGAGTTATATCCTCGAGAGAGTGGCCAAAGCTTCAAAAGGATATTTGATCGAGTAGACGCTACTACAACGATGGAAGACATTGTTTCCCTATTCTCCCCCAGCAGGCATGCCACCTGGAATCTAAGGAACATTCTGTATCAGAGGGGCACCATCGAGTTCAGGGCCCCTCCGCAAGTGTTGACAGCACGTAGCACCATCCATTGGATTGCCTTCGCAGTGGCCTTTCTGGAGCTCTCAACGACATGCTCATTCTCTCGCAAGGAACAGGCGTCGGAGCCAGGAACTCTACTAGAGCTCCGCGCTGGCATTATGCCGGCTTTAAATTCGCTGGGCCTATCGTCCGCGATAAGCTCACTTCTCGTTTCTGAGGATGATCCGCGCATGGATGATTATGACGCCATCGAGATATTGGCCAAGAAGAGGCAGAAAAAAGAGCAAAGAGGCCTCATCCAAGCACTTGCAAGCAAACCATGACCGGTTCTCAAATTTATTCGGTATCATGTACCAGAGAACTCAGAGAATATTACATAGGAAATGCTCAATGGTGAGAATTGAGAGGGATATAATGCTAATACTGCTCTTCGGAGAATTTTATCGCGCAGGGTCAAATTCGATAGGTGTTAAGGTATTGAGATTGGAGCCTTGTGGCACGGAAGACTACTTCTGTTATTATCATCGACTGCGAACTATGATACATCCTTTGTCAACAAAAATTGCGATTGCATTGCTTCAGCAGCACATATCCCGACAACTAACGTTCGTCCATGTCTTATTTGCTTTGCTGTAGGATTCGAATAGCCTGGTCCTCACTGTAGCCGAAGAAGACAGGGCCAGTGAAAATCATGTTCTTCGACATGGACCGTGAGCCTTTCTTTGCAGGTCTCCGAGATGAAACCCGCGGCTTGCTGTCGCATTTTTTCGTCTGAGGTGTATCAGGACTGTCTGGCCGATCTGCAGACACGTTGTCCTGGCACAAAGAACTGGGCTGCTTTCTGTCTGAGGGTGCTCTCTTATGCAGCTTCAACTTTGAAGATGTGGCGGATTTAGCGGGGCTTGAATGCGTTTGAAAGGACCGACCAGTTGATAACGAGCTAGCGGCAGGCACGGCGATTCCCCATGGACGGCTCGGTGATTCCCCAACTCTGATTTCCTTCATTGGGCGATCAAAATGACTCTCCCTTTGCTCCTCGCCAGCCTCTGGTCCATCTACTTTGGCCGGTTCATCGTTTTCCAGACTCGACGCAACAGTCTTGGCCCATTTCTGTACCATGACATCCGAGTCACTCTTGTCGGCGTTCAACTCATTCGCCGGGGATCTGGGAAGAAGCGGCTGATGCTTCATCCCAAGGCCTTGAATCATGCTCACCAGATTACCATACTTCGCGTCTAGTTCTCGGATGCTCTGTTCATTGGTTTGGTAACGTTTGACGCAAATCTCATGACTGCGAGGGAGCTCATGCTTGTGGGTTTCAAAATATTGGGCAACCTCCTCGGGAGAATGTTGACTAAGGAAACGGATGGGACAACGGGAAGCAGAGCCTGCTGAAGAGTGAGGTTGCGATATATGCTCATGTTGAAGAGCCTCCACGGCAATTGGGTCTTTAGCGTCAACTACGGATTCATCCTTGTCGTTCGCGGGCGACGAATGGAGCTGGGGCTTCTGTAATTCACTTGTAGAAGCCTGAGAAGACATCATCTGTTTTTGCATCGAAGCAAATGGGCATTGTGTTCTCCCTTCGCCCAGAGCTTTCGCCTCACCAGGTTTTGCAACGTGAGGATTCGTGGCCGATGATATACCGGAGACCGGACATTTTGGGATGCTCGACATTTGGCCGGTACCAGCTTCAGGAATTTTTGCAGAACTCCCGGTAGGAGTCGCGCACCTCCCTTTCGCACGGATGTGTTTACGAAGAGATTTCTTTGATGGGAATGGGTTATCACATCGCCGACAGCTAAACATTTGAGGTGCGGGCTGTGTGCCAAGGGAAGGGCTTCCACTTCCGGAGTCGAGTTCTTTAACGAACGTGTTCCCGTGCCCATCCGGTATGTCGTGGCCCCATTTGGAGGTGAGCAGGCTGTTGCTTGGCCAACCCCTGGAGACAGCAATACGATCACGAGCTTCGACGGCAGAAATGATCACATTATAGGCTTTCTCGGCCGAGATCGAGCCAGGCCATGCCAGGTCTTGGAGATTCAATAATTTATTGGAGGTCGATGGTTGAGGGCCCTCGTCTTCTCTTAGAAAATCATGATTTGAAGCTTTGTCCTCGTCATTCAGAGTCCAGCGATATTTGTCAGAAAAATCAAGGTACTGCAGTTGAGTCAAAGTCAGCAACATGACCCAAGAATGAAAAGAGCGGGCCAAAAGATAAAATGGTAGATTGAAAGGTCAGAGTTTGTGTATGTTGTCGGTCACCGCTACAAAAGTAGCTAGAGATCTAGAGCTAAATGGTTGTCTCATCAGGAAAAAGAGAGGCGGCATAAGATAACTTCTGCCTAGCATGACACTTACCGTTTGTCGTGCTTCGCTGAGCTTCTGCTCGAGCTGGTTCCGCTTCAAGGAGAGCAATTGCACCTCCTGATACAAGGCGTCAAAGCCATCAACGAGTCGCTTTACCGAAACATCAAAATTATCACCTCTCAAGGCATCCATCAGTTGAAATAAGTCTGCAGGAAAATTTTTGTTGTATTTCCACGGATATGAAATTGAAGCTGTGAAAGAGTTAGAAGAAAGGATTAGAGGTCGCGATGAGAATTTGCGAGGGCAGTAGCCTAATAAGCGTGGCGGGAAGAAACGTCAGCAAGCTGAAGCGAAGGACTTCTGTCGGCAGTATAGCCATTTTCATTAATGTAACATAATTCCCAAGCGACCTGAACATTCAAGCGACTCAAACAGGTAGAAATCTTATACAAAACTATGATTTTTATAAAATTTTTATCTCAATATATTTTTGCTCTTTTAACTTAAAATTAAGCATAATTTTCTAGATATAAATATCTATATTATAAGTTATGTACAAGTGTTTTGTATTAAAAGAGAATTTATTCAAGAAAAGTTATAGCTAGCTTTATTCTTACTACATTCTCATTTGTACTATGTTGTATTGTTATTTTATAGAATTACAAGGCAACCTAGTAATCAATCCACTTAGGCAACCAGGTCGCTTGGGAATACATTAGTTCTTCATCTAGAACAGGCACTAACCAAGGTTAGTCTCGGTGATAACCCTGCCGGGTCGGGGCACTAGGACTCACCCAAAAACCACCGGTTCCCTACCACACCCAGCGGACACCCTAACTAGGATTTATAACTAGAATTTACTACTAGAATTTATAATAGGTTATTCAATTCTAATGCCCAGCTTGTATTAAAAGTAATAAACTAGTTACTCTAATATATATATCTAAAGTAAAGATTCTCTTTGTCAGTCAGGTCTTTGAATCCTAACTTTCCACGCTCGTTCTCATCTAAACCTAGTAAATCACGTCTCTTATTCTCCCGTGACAATAATACATAAAGAATAGAAACAGATAAAATAGCAATACAATAGCTACCAGCCGTAAGTATATTTCCAAACATATAAGGGTTTTTGTATGGTACATACCAGATGGTTAAGCCGGTCCAAAGCTCTGGATAGTGCTGGGCCTTTGTTTGACTTTTAATCAACTGTGGCCCGATGATATTACCTACACAATAAGCAACAAAAGTTGTAGATGCTGTGAAGCTCCTTTTCGTGTCACCAGCCACGTTACCAGCTCCGAGTAGAATGATAATAGCAACTACTGGACCAAAGAAACCAAGCAGAGAATATCCAGCGACCGGCACAACGGGCCTGTGACCCCAAGTCGATTTCCATATCATGGCATAGCCTGCGATCACGGGGAGACAACACAAAATCAAGGATATTACCCGGATGTTTCGCACCCGCGAGCATAACCAGCCAAGCAGCACAATTCCAAAGCCAGATATTGCGCCAAGCGGGAATTGGAATAGAATGCTCTCAAGTGAGGAATAGCCAAAGGTTGATACAATCAACGGCCCGAAACCAGCCACTGCACCATTAACTGTGTAACTGTTGTAAAGCAATATTAGTATAATCCAAGTGAAGACAAGTTTGTAACTCACGCCGAGGCCATTGTAATAGCTATCAGCCAGATCTTAATATCTAAGACTGCTTCTTTAAGCTGAGCCGGCTTCAATTTTTTATTTTTCAACCCAGTCTGCCCAGCTCGCAGTCTCTCAACGGCCACAGTCCGCTCTTCGGGTGTCAGGAACCATGCAGTGAGAGGTGAGTTGGGTATGAAAAAACACCAAATGCCAAAGAGGAAGGTCAAGCCGCCGGCAAAGATATAGATGTACTGCCAGGGTTTTAGACCACCGCTATCAATCTGAGCAAAACCATAACTAAAACCGCCCCCGATGATTGTAAACCATCCAGTAGCCGACCACCACCAGCTTTGTCGTAAAGATTGCTCTTGCTGAGTGTAAAACCCACTGACGGTCACCATGAAACAAGTCGGAATGACAGATTCAGTAAAGCCTAATTTCCTTAGTGTCAGAGCAGAAGTCAACAGAGTATTACTAGAACTTTGATCTCTTACCGAGAAAGAATCGCTGTACTAGAAGCCCTTGCCAGGTTGTCACTCCTGCAGTAGCTGCACAAATAATGGCCCAAATCATGACCATGGGGCCGAGCACAACCTTTGTGTTGAAGTGTTGCAATGTGTATGTCATAGGAAAAGAGCCAGCCAGTTGGCCGAAGTAGAAGATAGATGTGGCCCAACTCAATCTAGATGTATTTATGACGGGTGGATTGACAGAAGTGTCCTTCACAGAGAGGTGAAGATCTGCGGTCATGCCAAAGAGGGCTGCGTTGCCAAGGAGTGCCTTTTCAAACAGCATGTTTTAGTTAGTGACTTTGACAGAAAGGCATGGATCTTGATCGAGTCGAGCTATACCTTGTCATAATAGACCAATCCGTAACCTGTCTTGTGTGAGTGCAGTCAACAGCAAATAGGATGTAAATCTACGTACCAATGACCATTGCAGGCATCAAGAAGAGATCAATTTTCCGCAACACTCGTCTCTCCACGCGAGGATCGATTGGTTTAGCTTCTTCCTCGATCGAGTCAATGCCACCATTGATGACGGTGTCGGCCTTCTCGGCAGGTGGTTGTTCGTGGTCCATTCTGATTAACGTTGAATGCTCTTACAAGCATAGACTCACAGCTTCGAGTCGGTTGAGGCAGCTGTCGACGCCAGAATCACTAGCTACTCCAAAGTAGTCGACCCGATCATGCAATACACTGTGCGTAAAAGACTTTAAGTAAGCTGAAGCAAATTAAAGCATTTACCTACTTTCACCAGGCGTTGAGCTAATGATCAATGAAGGCAATGCAGTGCAATTATAGAGGGTTTTTCTACTTTTTTCAAAGGGTTAGACTTAGGAATTTATATAGTAAGAATTTATCAAACCATAGTTTAATTTGTTACTACAGTAAGAAATTACTGTAGTTGGATGAATATCAAACCATGGTTTAATTTGTCACCATGGTGAGAAATTACTGTAGTTGGATGAATGTCAACTGTAGTTTAATATAACTATTTTGTTACTGTAGTAAGAAATTACTATAGTTGGACAAATATCAACTATAGTTTAATTTGTTACCACTCTTACTACAGTAAGAAATTACTCTAGTTGGACAAATATCAACTATAGTTTAATTTGTTACTACTCTTACTACAGTAAGAAATTACTCTAGTTGAACAAATATTAAACTGTAGTTTAATATAACTAATTTGTTACCATGGTGAGAAATTACTATAGTTGAATAAATATTAACTATAGTTTAATTTATTACTACTCTTACTATAGTAAGAAATTACTCTAGTTGGACAAATATCAAACTATAGTTTAATATAACTATTTTGTTACCATAGTAAGAATGTTGGAACTATAGGTATATAGATGAGTAGAACAAGATATTATTCTTATTGATAGTAATTCAAGAGACTAATTACTAGGGAGCTACCCTTCTTGCCTCAAAGTGGCCATATATATATATTTTTATAATGATGGTTACAAGAGTTAGTAACAGATGGCACAGGGCCTACTTATGAAGTATAGAGGCATGGTATACTATATAATATTACAAGACAAGAGGTTACATGATGATAAGATAGGAAGGCAGAAAACAATAGCAGAAATAATAATCATAGTAATTGCAAGTAATCATAAGGTGATCAAGGTAATCAAGTACAATTAGTACAGAATAGATTGTTATATAAGGAGGATGGTTTTCCTATGTAGCTAGAATTATTCTATGTAGTTCTTGACATTATTGTTTTAGCATTATTGCTTTATAGTATTTAGTTATTAGTATTTAGATAATAGTACAATAATAATCTTATTGTTTACTTTATCTACTAGACCTGAATTATTATATTATCTTATATCACTCCTATCATTAAATAATATTGCAGGACACTATATTACTAGGTAAGAACCCTTGATATACTGACAGGGAACTATCTAGGAAGATATAACCTAACACCTACCTATAGGTATTACTATAACAGAAGAACTACTTAACATTAGGATAAAGATAATTTAGTAAAGGCATTTTGTTATATCTAGTAATTTAGGAACAACTACTACTAGAATGACCACAGTAGTAGTCATGACACTCAAGAAGTAGATCATGGAACTTCAAGCTCAATTAGTAACATAGCATTAACAAGTCAATGTCAAAGTAGTAGCACTAGACAAATTTAATGAAAAGAGAGAAACACTTAAAGCATGGCTTATTACTATAAGGCTATACCTAGGATTTAATACAACTGTAAGGGCCTTGCCTCGTAACTGTGTAGTGATACCTGAGATATGCAGGGTGGTTGCAAGCTGGAATAAAGTAGAGTAGGAGTGATAGCTAGGCTCTATGTAACAAAAGTAGAATGCTTGCCCTTTGGCAGAGTGTTCTACTCCATGATATATATGTAGCATATAGCCACTGGACTATCCTGTGGCTGTCATGCATGTGACATGCTAGGCACTTATAAGGGTCTGGAGCAATGCCATTGTTGGTCAGGCTGGTCTAGACCCAGCCACCATGACAATTGCCCTCTCCTTTTGAAGCAATTGTCCTCAATTGTGTAGGCTAAACCATCCCTTAAACCTCACATTCAGCATGCTTGTAATGAGGTGCTAACCTGCTCTATGGCAGGTGGTTGATGACATTCAACTGACTTCCCTAGTAATGATTTCTGGGAGGTATCTGTCCAGGTCCAGTTTTGTCTTTGTCTGGGAGGTTTCTATTATAGAGGGTTTTTCTACTTTTTCCAAAGGGTTAGACTTAGGAATTTATATAGTAAGAATTTATCAAACCATAGTTTAATTTGTTACTGCAGT